ACTGCAATACTTTCTTTTTAAGGGTAGTTTAATGTAAAACTAAGAATATATAAAGAGCACAGAGTCCCAAGTATGCCAATGAAACCAGGGGTTCCACTGTGAGCAGTGTGAGCAGCATTGTGAGGAAACTCAAAAACAAAAGACCTGTATGACAAATGAGATGAATTATTACAGGTCTTACTCCTCAAATGACTGCTTGGAAGCTAGATTTTAATTGCTCTGACCAAAATGATCATTCTTGTAGCTTTGACTATTTTCCAAGTGGAATAAATAGTATATTTTCCCCCAAACCTGTGACAGAATCTCCATGTGGAGGATGAAAAATTATATTGACAGATTAATTCATAGTGGTGTATCCCTTTCTCCCATTTTGCTTTGCTAAGAAATCAATGGCATTTGTATTAGCATACAAAACCAACTTGGCCTGCATTAAAGAAAATAGGCAAAATTGAGATTTTCAAGATCAGAAGCTACCCATAAAATACTGTGATACAATAATTTATGATGGAAGGGACTTATGAAAGTCATCTGGTCCAGGCCCCTTTTCACGCTTATTTTAAAGCTACATTAGGTTGCTCAGGGTCAATCAACAAGCACAGTAGTTACAGACACTCACTGCTTGAATAACAGTAAAAACTGAGTACCTCAGTGCTTGGTTCAAACTAAGTACAAGAAAGAAGGATGAATGGAATTTAACTATTTCACTCATTTAACGAGTGAAGGACTGATGGAAGAATGAAAATGGCAAAAACTGCAGAAAAAATGGTGTGTGTTTAAGTGTGATATTGAAAAGAGGGCTGAGTGAAATGTGACCTGGATCCACTCTAAAATTCTTAGAAATAGTGTAAAGGTAACAAAAGCTAACTAAATCACAAAGCTGTAACCAACAGCTGTGATTAGGTGATTATTCGATCACAGAAGTGCATCTGTAACAAAAATTCTTAAGCAGAAGATGTTCATAAAGCAAGAAAAAGTTTGCCTTGTCAGGCACCAGTTATATCCAATATATATTCATCCTATAAGGAAAAATCCTTTAATAACTGTGATATTGTCAACTGTCAGGCATGCCTTACTATGAGAGAATGACATGGATACAGCGTGCCTTTTCTTGGGGAAAAAAATATAGGGATCTCAGCACTCCAACAAAATCAAGCCATACAGGAGACTTTAGAACCTTAAAAAAAAAACCCCACCCCCCCCCAAAAAAACCCAACCCCCAAACCCAGCAACAACAACATAAAAAAACCCCAACAAAAGTCCAAGCAGTTTTGTTGCAAAGCAGCTGACTGTACCCCACTTTTAAAGGGTGTATGTCCTTACAGACAGATTTTCAGATCACTACATTCTTCTCACAGTCTTGACGTCTTGCAGTCAAGTCACCAAGAACTTGATGCTAGCATATATATTGTAAGACAATCAAGATGTATGACCAACTGCCATAATATATACAACCTTATTCATTTAAAAGTAATCCTCACAACTTGTATGCCTATGAAAGTGCATTTTCATTTCCATTTTAGCATGGTATGTGTCTGTTAAAACCAAATACTTGATAATTGTACTGAATATCAGAACTCCTTTTTCAGCCAGTACATTTTTAATGGATCTAGTCACCTTTCAGACAGCTAAATGGACACACAGAATACTACATGATAATCCTCTGATTCAGAGAAATTTGCATTCATTTAACGTTTATGTTTGTACTTACTGACAGCTGCAGTCATACATGCAATTTTTCATGAGAGACTGTAAGAGACTCTCATTGCTGCCTCACTAACACTGTCCAAATATCTTAAATGGAAATCTGAGTCTGGCCATTAGCTTCTAATCTTTCAAAGCTGCCTTGTCAAATACCAGCTCAAATGAATATGAATGTCTGGCTTACTGCAGAGCTTCCCAGAGGTGTAGTAGTATGACCAATTTGAAAGAAGAATGTAAAAAGAAAAGTAAACAAACAGCATGATCTAGCAGGCACAGATGCACCGTTTTCCCCTGCTGCTCCTTCTGCCCTCTTCACACTGAGGAGTTGTTTGTCTTGCTTCTCTCTTGCTGGATGTGGGTAATTAACTCTTTAGCTTTTGGGCAAGGCTAACATATCCTACCTGATTTACCTCAACAGGATGATAGACAGTGGGCAAACTGACTGCAGACTATCTTTGTCATGTACTGCTTCTCAAGAACATACATCCAGAGAATTGCAGACTTGAACTATCTTGCTGCTATAGGATCTTTCTGGTTTGAATTTACTCATGGAGACTGAGATACCACATTTACAAACATTTTTATTCATTTTGAAAAGTCTCTGCTTAGGTCTGTCTGTTTTAGATCCACCCTGAACTGTCTTCAGTTCTGGATGCACTGAACCTTCGGAGCAGCATAGGTATTCACACAGCCTCACTGATGGCTTCAGGGAAGCTGGAAAAAATAGACTCAAATTCAGCTTGTCAGCTTCTCCAAAGTGCTTGAAGGCCAAGAAGCTCTTCCCCAGTTAATCCACCTTCTGCTATTGAGCATCTCTCTTTCCATATACTTGCTGGTAGTTTTGCAAATGTTGATCATTTTCCGAAAGGGATTTATTTTCTCTTCTAAGTTTCTTTTCCAGCTCCACCTCTTCTACAGCTCTTTCCTTTAAAGCTAGTTATGGAAAAGTCTGCTTCCCAGTCTTAATCTCCTACTTGATGAATTTGTGGACATTTCAGGGACCCAATTAATTTACCAAGCTGTGTTTTATTGTCTCTTTTAATCCTATTTTCAGTCAATTTTGTCCACAGGTCAATTTTCTTCATTTATTGAGCAATTGGCTCCTGACAGATGGGAGGTTTTATTATGACATTCCTTGCAACACTGATACTGTCTATATGATGCCAGCTGTCTTCATAACTTTCTTATTTTACCCTAATTTAGTGTGCCAACAAACCTGGATTCAGATGGTAACAGCAACCTTTTCCTGTGCTGCTACCGAAGCCCTCAAGGTGTCCTCAAAATTAGGAAACATTTTGAAATGGGAGTTTAATTGAATAGAGCCACTCAGAGAAGGATTTTATGTCCTTTAAATCCTGTGAGACTAAAAATGACATGCACCACAGCCATTTCTGTCAAAGGTTTTCAATTTCAGGAATAGTCTCCTGAATCCAGACAGACTTTCACTGTCTTTCGCTTTTGAGGTTGGGGATGAGAGGAATAACATCTTAAGTCAGTCTCCACCAGTCAGTAGCGATCTCATATCTAGCTTCCAAAATCCTTGCTGCAAAAGACAGCTTTTCTCCACGGTTTCCACTGTCTTTGGTCTGGACTTGTTTACCAAAACCCAACAGTCCTCTCATACAATTGATGGAATTGTTACTAATTAAAGTTAAAAACCATCTCGTCTGCTTTCTCCTTCCTTATGACCCTTCCAATGGTTCTAGCTAGGTCTGCCTGACTTCATCTTGCCTCCTTTCTGAACAAACAGCAATCTAAATATACTTTTCTCTCAATATCAAAGCCTTTTCTTTGCTTCCATGTTTTTTTCTACACTTAACTAAATTCATCCCATTTCTGTTACCATATATGACACAGAGTTTGAGTGTGTAATGGAAGAGAATTTCACTAATAACACACTGTTCTTATCAAAGATTCAACTGTATTATTTTAAAGCATTATTCAGAACTAAAATGAAAACACAAACAGTACAGCCTGGCGTGTTTAGGAGCACCTACAGCATTTTGTGTTCACCACTCCAGAATTACATTGCTTTACAATGTATTTCTTCTAAGCTTTCTCAACTGATTGAGGAAACTGATGCTTGGTCTCCTATTGTATTGCCAACATATCCTAGTTGCCTCTTAACAAGACAGAACAACCTAGCTTCAGTTCACCCTTTCACAAGACACATGCCCTTAAGAAGTAAGACAGATATTCTTGATGCAATACACAGAAATGCTAGCCCTTCTTAAGAGTTTTGGAGTCTGTCAAAGAAACTGGTTTTGGGTATCACAGTTTCCTCTAGCCTTTCTTTTCCACTTCTCTTCTCTTCCCCTTCACTTTCTGCAACAGTTCCTCATTCCTCAAATACATGATCTAAGAAACAACACCCCAGATTAAACCACACATTGCCTAAAAATAGAGGTTCAAGTTGGGTTCTATGCAGAATTTTGTGCTGTGCTTAAACTGCTACCAATTTAAGGACAGTAATAGAAAAGGGCAATTTGTCTGAAACAGAAAAATCCAGTCACCAAAGTCAAATGGATGATTTTACAGGAAGAAAAACATGTCATTCATTAGCTTTCTGATGCAATCAATAAGCAACACAAAGAACGAGTGGTTTCATCTCATCTCTGAATTTTACCACAAAACCAGAAGAATAATTTTTTAAGAGATACTTTTTTTAATAATATTTATTTGGGCTGCATGAGATGCACGCCATCAATTGGAATTCACTGACCCATTTTTAACTTTCCAGGTGTTTCAAGACACTGAAAGAAAACTACATACACAGCACAAATGCATCTTTCATTTCCATGGGCCATGCATAGTCGAACTTTGTACAGTGCCCAACTTGCACTGCAGTATTTGAATGAACATCTCTAAATAAGCAAGCAGGCCAAGTCAGTTGCGCAAAGTATCCTGGAAAGAGACAGCTGTGCATATAAATCTTTATCTTACATATGAGGTTAATATTTCTTGTGTTCACCTTGTTGCTTTATCTGCCAAATTCAAGAGATATGCTGATAAAAAGCAGTACCTTTTCTTACATTGGACTGTTAATCCAATGTCTTTCTGATAGAACAGGTCACTTCTGCAGTTTGTCCAGACCATACTCTTGGAAATTTCCTAAAGATTCCTCAAATGCCTATTATCTGTTAATTTACAAGAAAGCAAACCAAAGCATACCTTTTTCCTATCAGAACAGGAGCAAAACTGATTTGGTCTCATATACGTATGGATTTTCAATTGAATTGGCAGGCAGTTTACAGTCAAAAGTACTTGGATTAACTTAGAAAATTATTTTATTTAGTTACCTTGTGTCAGGTTTTAGGTTTTCCACAGTAGAATGAGTTTGATTTGTAGTGATAATCGATTTCTCCTTTTCACCATCAGTTACTCCATTTTCAGTTGACACAACCTCATACTCTGGAAAAATATAGTACAGAAAAATGTGCTTAAATAACAGCTTACTTGAGCTTCTTCACTGTTCTCTCTTTTCTCATCTGATTTCCACTCCTACTGTCTACTAGGCTGTAAAGACAACTTGGGTGAATCAGTCTGGACATTACTATGCTAAAATTGTTAAGAGAAGGAAAGATCCAATTCCAGATTTCCAATTGCCTAGCCCCTCATACTTCCTTATAATTCAGTTATGGGATGGAAGGTATTCAACCTCTCACCTATGTCCAAAGGTACAGTAGTGACAAAATTCCAAACACAAATAAGTATTCTGCAGTTTGAATAAAAAAATTATCAAAAATAAAAGTAGAGTTTCTAAATGCTTAAAACTCGATTAAGACCTAATCCAGACCTAATGTTTTTAAGATTTCCAAAGGAAACTGCTCAACTAACTTGGACTGTGCACTTAGAGAATCTGCCAGTTTAGAATGAAATAATTTTGCATAAATATATTTCTGTATTTATATGATTTATAGAGTCTAACTACTTTCTTTTCATCTCACTGGGATGTATCATCAAGCACAAGCCATGCGCTAAACAGGGAATTAACAACAGATGTTTGGGAAGAAGGTACCCCTTCAGTCATAGCACTGCTGAGACACAGTCTCTAGCAGCAACCTTTGTCCTATACACCTTTTCCTATATAGCCTCCAAGGGCTGAGTAAACCATGGGAAAAAAAACACCAAACTATGCAAAAGCCTTTATTTTCCCTAGTTAAGCCTCATTTGAGAAATTATGTTTACTAGGAAGCATGGAAGGAAATGTGGATATCCACTGCCTTAGGTGCATCCAGATAGAGTATGAGTAGGAAACTTCACAGGAATTCTATTTTTCTGTGTTCTGCCTGCCCCAGGTCAATATGTCATGTGATTTTTTTATGAATTATTTAATTCATTTAAATGAATAAATGTGAATGGACATGCAAACACGTGCATGCACAGACGCAAAGCACTGTTGAGCACATCTAGTACCTGCATGTTACTCAGTGCGTAAGTCTTGGTGCACAAGTCAACAAACTTTTCTGTGGCAACACAAAGTAGCAGAGAACCAGCAAAATAGTTTTTGCTCCTGACCTTTGCAGCCTTTATGAAAATAAGGATGTAAGCTTGATTACTGTTTGTTTTTAGGAATACCAACACAATGAAACCCCTTGAACATAGCTGAAAGTCAAGCATAGTAACCAGCAAATGACATTTTGTTTCCACAATTCTATCTGAAACAGTGCATTAAAAAAATAAAATAAATAAATGTGATGCCTAAATCAAATAATTGAAAAAACATGTATAAACTACAAAAATAAAAAGAGATGACAGAAAACTTGATTTAAGTCTGTCTAACCAAGTAATGTCATACTGGTGCCAATATGAAGTAATCACTGTTTTCAGAAAATGGGATTCGATGCCTTCTCTTGAATTCACAAAATGTCCTTGGATGAGTCATTAACAGAGCAATTTTTTGAAGTTAAAAAGGAGACAAGCTCAGTAAGTTTATTTGTAAAACACAGAGTTCAAACATTTGTATTACTTATTGAAGTTAAAAAGAATGAAGGTGGTATTGCGGGAAAGCTGTTACATCTAGATAGGAAGATAGCTAGATTGAAAAATAAAGTTTCTCTCATTGAAGGAAAATGAATATTAGTCACATATTCTGCAGAAGATTTTAATCTTTCCTGGTATGGGGAAGGCTATGCCACATGTCTCAGTTATCACAGAATACTCTTACAGAAGAGAGGAAACTTCATGGAAAGTTAACTTTTACAAATGCTGATTACAAATGAACAGAGAAAAGATTCATATTGCATATGAACTGTGCATATTGCTTGCTCTATATTTCACAACACGTATTAGAACAGAAAATGAATAGTATCAGAAGGCAATTAGGTCTTGCTCTCATCATTAGAGATGTGCGCTGACAGTTTTACCAGCTATAACAGAAATGTTTTTATATTTTTGCAATACAAATGGGTGTGTTGCGGTGGGTTCATTAACATGCCCAAGAAAAATGGCAGGTCTACTTCCAAGAAAACATGCAGACTAAATGGTGTTATCTAATCTAATCGAGCTAACGGCTGGTCTGTGGAGGAGACAACAGTAGCAAAAAGGCTTTTACTTGAACGAAAAGAAGCATTGCAGAGCTGCCTGGAAAATGAAGTGTTCACAGAAAGCCTTTACTCAGTCTAATTTTGAGGTCAGCAATATTCCTTCAAAATTCCTTTTCTTCCAGGATGAAGCACATTGTGGAAGACAAGCCAAGTAATCAATCTGTTATATTGTTGGTACTTTTTAATTGCCTACAGTATCTTGTTATTCCCCTTTTAATCCACCAGAAATGCTAAGTTTCTTCCTCTTTCCCAGAAGTAAAAAAATGCAAGTTAATTTCTGTGTTGAGTGTCCTTTTGGTTTTGCGTTTACTACTTTTCAAAAAGAAAGAATAGAGGCTAAACCTAGTAATTATTTCTAGAAAGTCAAGGAAGGACTAATTTGGGGAAGAGAGTGGCCTTGCTTGTGACAGTCACCTAATTATATCCCTTGAGACACGGGGGAGCACAAAATTACAAAATGAAATATATAAAACTTTAGAATCAGTTTTAAGTAGTGTTAAGTTTGATGGCTTTGTAACAGTAGCAATGGAAAATTACTGAGGTGCATGATACACAGAAAAAAACCCCAACAGTAGAGTACAGCTAGAGAACATACTGAGAATTCCTGTACAAGATAAAGCATTATAGTTGACATAGTTTTAAGAAAAACAGTCTAGAAGAACAGGACACAGGGATAAGGAGTATCTGGGAATGGCAGGTGTCCAGGATGGGCTGCAGTTAAACTAACTGATAAGAGGAGGACAGTAGGATTATTATATCTGTGGTGCTAATGAACCAATTAAGCTGGTAGAAGCATCTACTGCGCGTGCTCCAAAGGCTGCCAGAAGCGATGAAGATTGTTGGAAGAAGTAATTGACCCTCAGAGACCACCACCACAATTCTGTACGTATGCGGGGAACTTTCTGGAAAATGATGTAATCCATATGTAGCCTCATGAATATGTATGTATGCCCAGTGACTATATAAGGGCGGCTTGTGTAGCAATACGGAGACACGTTAGGAGGAGCTATCCCCCATGTCTCCTGGCACCCAAATAAAGAATACCTGCTTGTCAGCCTGAAAACTTTGTTGGCAAGTTTGTTCCTGGAGTTTTCTCCGAATCACCCTGCACTTAAATCTCTCATGACATGCATACACAACATCTGAAAAAATCCCACTTAAATGATAAAGTGAATGGCTAAGATCAAGTCTTAGTCCTCACAGTCCTGAGTCTTACCTGTTCTACTCCCCTGTAAAGCAACACAGCCAAATCCACTTGGTCATGGCTGTGATAAGCCAGTGATTTTGCAAATCAAAGTTCTATGTCCAGCATAAAAAAAAAAAAAAAAAAAAAAGCCTGTTTTCCTAACAGACCAGAACAACCATAATTTTCAGTTGTTAATTTGGTAAACTTGTGTTGAGACATAGAAGATGACAGAAAAACTATGAATGGTCATCTTGCATGCTTACCTGTCTATGTACTGATTCCTGCATGACTCACAAGGGTTTATTCTCAATACAAAACATTTCTTTGGAAATGAAAAAAACAGATTATTTTAACATAGAGAACTTGGTGACCCTATGCTGAGTACTGCAAGTATTACACTGGCAGAGTTCTACTGTCTTACTAGATGGATGTAAGGTTTCATTGTGTCTGGCCCACTGATCAACAATATCCTCAAGTCAAGAAAGATGTGTGTCTACATGTGTATGCATTTATGTGATAAAGACTACTGTCACATTCCTAGAACTTCTTGACTAGATCTTACCAGATTCTGTACACAGAGAAGCCAGAGAAGATACTATAGCATCAGGACAGTCATACTACTTAAATATCTTATTGTGCCATCACTGACACCAATGATACAGTTGTGAAAATCTTGCTTTAATCTAGTAGCACTGTCTTACCCACACTGGAGTTTACAGTAGCACAAAATAGAGGCACTGGGACTCCCTTGGGATTAAAATATCTTTTAAATGGTATAAAACCACTGTGAAAGCATAAATAAGCTGGAAATACTGTATTCTGATACAATGGAGGAAAGAAATAAAACCAACCAGTAACAGTGTCATTGTCTGGTTTCTCCCAGTCCAATATGACGAAAGTTGGACAGCCCTCAACAGTCACCACTGTGAGGTTTGTTGGAGGATTTTGCGGAGGACGAGTAGGTTCTTCCTTGCTGTTAGCTTCCTCTTGTGGAAAATGTTCAAGAGAGCTTGTGATTGAGCAAGGCACATCATCATCTTTCTTCATGTACTTGACATGGGGGGCTAAGAGCAACAGGAAAGAGTTGTTATTCAATACAAGGTGTTTTTACAAAATGCCAATGCCACTTTTCACTTCTGGCACAACTTCCATCTTGTGGTATAGATTTTTACTTGGTGCTCCAAGTCAAACATAAATGTTTAAGAATGAAAATCAAATATTCAATATTAAGCTGCTTGTTGGTTTTATTATTCTTGCTATACCTGGAATGTGCCCTTCACCCCCTTCTCATTGACACCACTGATGAATTACCACTCTGAAGTGATTAGTGGCTGATATGCACTGTTTGAAAGAATTAACTTCTGTCATAAAATGAGATAATCAATTATTAATATTCTCTAGTAAAATGACACTACAATTCCATTTGCAGCTTTTGAGTGCTATGCTAACACAAAGATGTAAAGCCCATCATCACTTTGTTTCACCAGAAACAGTAACAAGTATAGTCCAGAGTCATCCCATCATTAAACTTGCAGTTATTAAAGTGACTGTCAAAATCTTAAACATTTTCTGTGGTACAGGACCAAAGCTTGAAACAAACTTTGAGGGAAACCTTGCTCTCAGCATCAAATATAGGAAGACTACTGAAGACAAACACATTAGTTCTAAAATTAGAACTTCTACTGTAAACAATATGCTGTTGGAAGAAAGATAGTCTTCAGAAATGCAGTATCTTTTACGAGACAAAAGAAAAAAACAAAAAAACAAAACCCTGAAAAATCTTTTAGTACAAAAGCACTTCTTCCTGTTGTCTCACCTTGCTAAACTCTCTAGGTTACAACAGCAATAACTTTATCATCTAGTCTACTATATGTTATCGTTTCAGACTATCTGAATATGCACAGCCTGGAATGAGAGGTGAGGTATATATGGGGAGTAGACATCTATTACGGTAAGTTGCACTGGGATTGCTTGCAAGTCCACAGGATGACTTCTGTTTGGTTTGGTGGAATGTGAACAGAGTGCAGTGGTACTACTGCTAGTGTACAGGAAGAGCCACAATGTTTATGGGCAAGACTGCAAAGTAGGAGGTGGTAGCAGAGAAGAAAGCAGAAGTAAAATTTAGTCAAGAATATGCTGATGGTCTGCACTACAGCCCTTTCGCCTGACATTAAAGTGAAAGGGAATCAAATGGTGTTTTGGCCTTTAGATAACCAAACAAGCTAATTTTGATGCAAGATAAGTCAGCCTTCATATATTCCCTCAAATAAAAATACCATATGCATTAAAATCCTACCTTGGTACCTTGGTTTGCCTGAAGAATCTGTTTCTGATGTAGGACTTGAGCTGAAGACAGTTGCATCAACTGTGGGAAACATAGTTATAATTTAATTTGCAATAAATAATACTTTTCAGTGTTAGAACTGTATCATTTCACAGTTCATTTGGCATTTTACATCATGGTAAAGCTGTTCCATAGTAGACCTTTGATGCCAGATCTGTCTTTTCCTTTTGAGGACTCCATTTTGGCTGTGATGCCAGGTAAACACCATACTTACCTGCTAGTATAAATATAGCCATAACCAACCACAGACTTAACGACTGCTGCTGGATTCAGTTTATGCAGTACATGAAAAATACTCTTGACCTTTTAAAAAGGATCTTTTTGCACTGTAGTAGCTGTTCAGCTGGAAGCTTTTTTCATGTTCACAGATTATATAGCACTGTTACATTGGCAAATGAACTTCTCCAAAAATAGCAATGAGGAAATCACAAATTCTGTCTTCAGAGTGTACAACTTCTACAAAATTTGAAGGAAACTGAAGGCAAATACACTGGTGAACAGAAATGTGCTAAAGCAGTCAGGATTCACGATACCAGTATTCTATTAAGTAGCCACTATACTGAACATTACATGTATATATAAATATATATATATAATGAACAACTCAAACATTACAATGGACTTCAACAGACAAATCACAACATGTTCACAAGCATTTCTTCATAAATCAATGTCCTGGGTTCAGCAGTAGCAGTCATGTTTCCCCTTCTTGGTAGCTGGTGCAGTGCTGTGTTTTGACTTCCAGCCTGGGAACAGTGCTGGTGATACCGATGTTTTCGGTTGTTGCTAAGTGATGTTTACCCTGACCAAGTACTTTGTGAGTCTCATGCTCTGCCAGGGAGGAAGGGAAGCCAGGAAGAAGCAGAGACAGGACGCCTGACCCAGACTAGCCAAAGAGGTATTCCATACCACAGCACATCATGCCCGGGGTGAGGGTGTGTGTGTGTGTGTAACTGGGAGTTACCCGGAAGGACAAGGGCTTCTGGGTGGGACTCGTTTCCTGGCAGGTGGTTTTGTATTCTCTTCCCTTGTTATTTTCTCTTATCATTGTTGTCATTTGGTGTTAGCTTTGGTGATTGTTCTTATACATTGGTTGCTGGACTGTTCTTGTCTCAGCCCGTGGGAGTTGCACTCTTTCGATCCTCCTCCCCATCCCTCCGGGAGTGGGGAAGGGAAGAGCCTGGTGGGGGAGGGGGAGGGGGGGGGCCTCGATTGCTCTCAGCCCGGCACCACTCACTGGGAGTGAGTGGACAAGCTGTCTGGCTAGGGTTTAAACCATGACAATCTAGTACCCAGCTTGCTTTACTGAGCACTAAGGTTCACAGTAAGTTCATGATAATTATAAGGAGACAAGATTTTCTGTGTTACTATAAATCCAGGAAAACTAGAAACAGCATAATTCATGACAGTACACCTAGAGCTGCATCTCTTAGCTCAAAAATTTTAAGCATACCCTCCATCAAACCCATTCCTGTATGACACTTTGAGGAGATCTGGTCGAAACTTGTGAAGTTGAAAATTTATGAAGAGCGAATTAACAACTAACCACTATGTTTACTCCATCACATATTTTTTCTTCTTAAATGGTGGCAGTTTGATCAGATGTGGAGCGCTATCAGTCACTGTTGAATAACAATTTGAACTTATGATCTCTGCAAAAAGAAATATCTAGGAAAAGAAGTGCCTTCTCTATTCACTTCACAGGTTTAAAGTAGCTACTGAATGGTATTGAAAGCTTACTAAACACAAATTGATTTCTACGAAGATGGAAGGATCACCATGCTCTCATTTACCAAGGTGTGTATCAGAAGACAGCCAGGTGAACTCAGTTAAGTTAGGAAAGTTGCAAAGTGGCATAAAGAAAATGAAATTCAACCCAGACAGAACACATTAAATATACAATGCATAAATACGGTTTAGGGAAAGGAAGTAAAGGAAAACATGAAAACCTTTACATAAATGAAAAAAAAAAAAAAAAAAGAAGAAAAAATAAAAGAAACCAGAACTGTCTTAATATGCTTACCATAATAGTCTGGGGTTGCAAAAGCTGTTGGTATCTTATATGACGTTCCTATCCTCACAGGTGTTGTTGGTCCAGCGGGTTTAGCTATAGTGACAGAAAGAGGAACTTGTGGCAACTAGATATCTTAAGGTCCTTTCCAGCCCTAACCATCCTATGATTCTATGGTAAAGGATGCATTGATTGTTTTCAAAATAGCTGTAAAAGACAAGAACTACATTCATAAAACATGCACATACCCCCAGATAACCATTGCATGACTGTGAAATCATAATCATAATGTTGTTGCCTTCCCTGCATATATAAGACAGAAGAATGTGGTAACTGAAGTCAGAACTCTGGTGAACCAAGTCTAAACCAACAAAAATCCCTATTATCCATTAATTTCTTTCAAAGTGAAAATTTATTAAAATTCTCATAATAAAGATTCTCTCCTAATTTCCTTATTAAAGACTAAATTTATTAGGATTCTCACTAGAGTCCAGTTTCACAAAGGTTCTGGAACTCTCTTGTTTCCTTTTTTCCATCCAGAAGGCTTTTAATGTTGGCATAGAAACCTGCCCATAATACTCACCCACTGCTTTAGTAAGAAAGATACAAATAAGGAATTAATCACAGTGTTAATGAGAAAAAGAAACAAGACGGAATTATGAAAGGGAAAATCCAAGAACATTGAGGTAAATTTTTCCTGTCAGCATTGTGGAACAATGTCTCCAGGGAACCGGAAGAAACTCAATTATGATAATTAAAACTAAGCTGGATAAAATACTAGTGAACACAGGGAGAAAGGGAAACCTGCCACTGGCCTCACAGGGAAGAACCAGATCATCTAACCAGAATATTCCATCTTGAATGCCTAGGAAGGTATAATACCACATAACCTGACCCCTAGTATATGGAAAAGGTGAAATTTCAAAACACTGGTGAATTAATTTGACACTTAATGTTGAAAATTAGCATATACCCTATTAAAAGCAAAGTAAAATGTATCAAGTCAACATTATTTTTAATGCTACAGCTTAGGACTGATAGTATCTTATGTTCTGTTGTAACAATATCTTATGTTCTATTACTAAGGAAACATCATTGAACAACAGCAAGTATAGACATAACATTTCAATCTTGGCTCTGCTGTTGAGTAAATATACAGCTTGTTTCATCCAGATTGAGGATTCTTGCTTCTAATCTGCTGCAAAAAAAAATATTAAGGAATTATTTAGGCCTTTAGTGCCTTAATAGCATACAAGAACCCAAATGAAACAAACCAAAAAAAGCCAACAAGAAATACAGCAGAATTGAGACCTTTATATTACCAGTGAACTACAGAGAGAAATATGAAGAGGGAAGCATTTCTTATGTTGCCAAGCATAATGAGATAGTAGTTTCTGACTACTTGAAATAATGAGTGCCTAAGAATTCTTACATAGAATCCACAGACAAAACACACATTAGGATACTTAGTATTGGCTTCAGGATAAAATTAAAATAAAATAGGAAATGTGAAGGTTTCAGTGTGCTCTTATACTGATACCAAGAGTAGGAATATTGTAGCATAGGAATGAAGCTAAACTCCGCATGTGAAATAACTCAGCTTGCCCTGCCTACCATGAGGTTAGTTTCCTGAGTGCCTGTTAGCTCGCTATTTGTAGGGGTTAATGGATGTGTTGTATATATGGGACAGAATTTCTTTACAAATAACCAGATGGGAGGATGCATTGAAGCATAATAGTTAATATCTCCCATCTGATATGCACATTAAGTAACTGCAAATGCTGTTAGCAGACACAAAATGTTCTTAAGGTTGATCTTCTTAAAGGATGACTTGCATTATGCTACTTTGCTTTCAGCTTCCTTACTAGGGATGATTTTGACATAACTATGTTAGGAAAATGAAAGGAAAACAGATTTTATGTATGAAAACAAAAGACACAAGACCTGCATGTTCCAGAAGACTAATTTCTGCAGATATCCCAGATTAAAGAAAAATAATCTATACTATAAAATTTTCCTATACCCTGCTAGTCACTTCAGTATTCTTTCATACATAATACGATATTTATGCTGAAAAGGCTGAGATACCTGGCATCCCTGGTTTACCAATCACAGTGTTTGGAGGCAGAGGTTTCCTTCGCATTTGTGTAGGCTTGACAGGAGGAGGCATAGGAGGATGCTGAGGGCCAGGTGACATGGTTACTAAATAACAAGACAATATTATTAATTATTTAACCTCAAATTTCATACAATCACAAACCCATTACAAGTTATATTCTGACTTCTCAAACTATGTTTCATGTCTGATTTAGCATCAGAAGTGGTGAGGTGAGGTTGGAAGCTGTTGTATGAGTTGTATTTTCAGCCTTAAATTCTTTGGGAAGTGTGTGCCATAGAGTGTTAAATCAAGCTTACACTGAAATTACGTAGCTGCTTTGGGATTTTGTACAAGTGTTTCAGCGACTCATTTTCTGTGTAGTTTATTTCTGTCAACAGTATTTTTTTGGCAGACAATAAGATACTTCTTCCCACAATAAATACCATCTCACTGTACTCAGAAACACCTTCAGTATCCTACTCAAAAGATTTCTGATCTTCTGTACTTTCTAGCAGATAAAACTGGCCATGCTCAGCTTGAAGCAAAAGATGTAGCAAAAGGGAAATTGTCATTAAGGACAGTTTATCCTATGCTGTACAAAAGTGAAAAATGAAGAAGTTACTGTCACTTCATGCACTGATATAGATAAAGACCGTTACTAGTAGAAACTCCTGGAGCCCTCAACTAGGTTGTTTCAATGTGCATCTCCAGCCAATATCTATTAAATTTATCTGGCAAAGTCCCTTGACAGTGAGGAGGAAAGGAGAACCTAAACCTGAAAGGAGAACATAAGTCTGAAAGGAGAACCTAAGCCTCTTAATTCATACTTACAAAACATATAATTGCCTATATTTTCCAGGCAATTATGAAGGATTTTATTATACAAAGGAAAGGCAAAGATTTTTCTTCCATTATTCACCTTTGCACTTCTGAAGAACAGGAGATATGTGCAACACATTTATGTAACAAAAGATTCCTTGTACCGTACAGGGGAAAATCCTTAAGAATAATGTAATTCTTATAATGCTGCCAGTGTCAACAAATACACAAGTTGCCTGATACTGAATTACTGGCCACACAGAGTACTTTGGGTCCTACGTATCGGACCTTAGTTTACTCTAAAAAAATAGCATGACTATGGACAAGAAGAGAGCAGATTCAAAGACTCACTGGGAGAGCCTTTTTAGAAATACTTAAAATATACAAACAGGAACATGTCCATCTTTCCATGTTCCCTTTTCCTTTTAGACTTCTGTAGTCACTTATAAACATTTTTTGTTTTTTTTTAAATCCCTCAGATCCAGACAGGAAACAATGCTCTATCTATTTCAGGAAGATGTAATGGTTTTGAAGAGAGCATTTATAGGTTTCATATTCATTCGTAATCCCCAGAGGGAGATGAAAAAAAAAAGCCTAAAGACCTAAAAAAGGATAATGAATTTTTGTATATACTACTACATGGCAGTATCTGATTAATTTTCCCTTTGACCATGGAGGACAGCATTGTCTAAGATACTTAGCGGGTGAAAACATGCAAGTATTTACTCACCAGTGTTTTCTACCTAATCTTCTGAACAACACAACCGCAATAGTTACATGCAAGCCAAAACATCACATTCACTGGACTGTGTCACACTTGAATCTACTACACGGCACTCCGGAAAAACAATAATCCCTACTCTTCCCTTCTACAAATTCCACAATGATTTGGGTAATGGTCTGTAATGATAACAGATCTAATTAATAATGTGTGGAGACTCAGCTTGTAACCTAGGACACACAAGAGTATTTAGGGATTTTGTGATAGTGTAGATTCTTGCAAGGAATGGTAAACTATTGGGATTTATTTAATGTTGGGGATCTTTATGGATTGGGAAGGTATTTCCTTGACTGTGCCCCTCTTCATGAAAGAGGAGTGCATGCAAGTCTCTTAGCACACAAGTGTCTTAACACATCAAGGTTAATTCTTCTGTGCTGTAAACTATCTTTTTAATTTCTTTTAAGTGGTGTAAGTTTGGGTAAAACCAAAAAGACTTTCTTTTCAGTCAATTTTTATGACAGTAAAAAAGCACAGCTAAAGCAAGCCCTATTCTTGGTGATGCATATGAAACAATGGAATTCTCTACCTGAAAGGTTGTTTACATGTTTGTATGTATGTCTGTGTGTATACATGTGGTATACAAAAACTCTACAACTTTTCAGTTGAAACAAATTTTTAAGAAGCTGACTAGGAAAAAGTGAAACAAAGAAAGTCTGTTTTTGAAGGCTTCTTTGTGGAAGCTGTTTGTCAGTAAAAATATATTGATTGTTTTAAAAATATAACAGCAAGACTTGAAAGAAAAAAAAACCTGACAAGCCTGGTACAGCACAGATAAAAAACCCTGTAACTTGTTAGTATAACAACTGCATTGTTGTTTTTTTTTTTTCCAAGCCTAATTTTCCCAACAATCCTGACATGACATCCTTGTCTCTAAATTGGAAAGACATCAATTTGATAGGTGGACCACTCGGTGGATAAAGAACTGGCCGGATGGCTGAACGCAAAGAGTTGTGGTCAATGGCTCAATGTCCAGCTGGAGACCAGTAATGAGTGGTGTCCCTCAGGGATCAGTGTTGGGACCGGTCTTGCTCAACATCTTTGTCAGTGACATGGACAGTGGGATTGAGTGCACCCTCAGCAAGTTTGCCAATGACACCAAGCTGTGTGGTTCGGTTGATATGCTGGAGGGAAGGAATGCCATCCAGAGGGACCTTGACACACTTGTGAGGTGGGCTGATGCCAACCTCAGGAAGTTTAACCATGTCAACTGCAAGGTCCTACACCTGGGTCAGAGCAATCTGAGTCACAGCTACAGGTTGGGCAGAGAAGAGATTCAGAGCAGCCCTGCAGAGAGGGACTTGGGGGTGTTGGTTGATGAGAAAATGAACATGAGCCAGCAGTGTGCACTCACATCCCAGAAAGCCAACTGTATCCTGGGCTGCATCAAAAGGAGCATGACCAGGAGGTCAAAGGAGGTGATCCTGCCCCTCTACTCTGCTCTTGTGAGACCTCACTTCAAGTATTGTGTACAGTTCTGGTGTCCTCAACATAAAAAGGGCATGGAGCTGTTGGAACAAGTCCAGAGAAGGGCCATGAGGATGACGAGGGGGCTGGAGTACCTCACATATGAAGACAGGCTGAGAAAGTTGTGTCTGTTCAGCCTGGAGGAGAGAAGGCTGTGTGGAGACCTCATAGCAGCCTTCGAGTATCTGAAGGGGGCCTGTAAGGATGCTGGGGAGGGACTCTTCATTAGGAGCTGTAGTGATAGGACAAGGGGTAAGGAGTTAAAACTTAAACAGGGGAAATTTAGATTGGATATAAGGAGGAAGTTTTTTCCTGTTAGGGTGTTGACGCACTGGAATGGGTTTCCCAGAGGGGTTGTGAATGTTCCATCCCTGGCAGTGTTCAAGGCCAGGTTGGACAAGGCCTTGGGTGGTATGATTTAGATAAGGTGTCCCTGCTTATGGCAGGGGGGTTGGAACTAGGTGATCTTAAGGTCCTTTCCAACCCTAACTATTCTATGATTCTATGATATTCAACAAAACTTCCTCATAAATGGGAAGACAAATTGGTTATGCATTTACCTTATTCTTCCTTTGCTATGTAGAAACTGTTGATATGAAAAAAGTCAATGCTCACAGTATTCTGGGTGTCATAAGGATATAACACTGTTGGCTGTAGTTTTTAATACATAGTGTATGTTAGTGACTAAGTAGTGACCATGAAATCTTCTTACTTTTATCTTTGTTAGTAGCATCCTGAAGGCAAGAGGTGTATTGGTGAGAATGAATAATAGTTTCTCTTTTTAATGGAGGTGCTTTTTGTGTAGGAATGGTCATGTTTTTATTCTTTCATAACTGTTAAAATTTGCTATATTGTCTTATTTTATTAACCTTACCAGAAATTGCCTTTTCCCAGGTATCAATATATTCCAAAGGTTTTTGTATATCAATGCCAGTTTGTCTGTCAGTATCCTCATGTGTATGTGCATCATCTGGAAAAAAAGGAAATGAAATAACTATCTACAGTTCTGTGTACCAAATTACGGAATACTGATACATTGTGTACGTTCAAACTCTATGTAACACTAAGCGAAAAACTAGCATATAAGACCCACCTATGTTTTACAGATTACTTACTGATATTCGTTATCTTCCTATTCAAGTAAACAGAAAGTGATCTGGGTCTAGAAAGTGTGCGATTAAATTTTTAACGTTACTTGCAAAAAGTCTGCCTAGAAAGAGAACGTTAGTAAGATTAAGAGAGAGCAGATCAGTTAAACCAAGATTGTATGTAGAAAGATGAGTACAGAGAACATTCTATTTTTTCAGCATACAGAATAAAATACCCATTGATACTTGCAAAGGGCAAAGTTCTCCTTCTCCCATATGTAAGATCTTCAGTTTTCCTCCATTTTTAATGACTAGAGCAATTCTGAACCAAACATACACTGCATTTGGAGGGCAAAGTGTACATAAAATCAAGTTTGTATATAAAAGAAAGTTCTACTTAAATGTTACATAAAGACATTTTAAAAATACTGAAGTAAATGGCATTAAAAAGATCAACACAACTATGGCTGGTACAGAACAACTGTCTCTCATAATGATATCTATAGAGCAGTCAAACTGTTAAATTAATACGTTTTCCCTATACAAAATAAGTATATTTACTTTATAAAAACTCTATATATGCTGGAGTGAGAAGATGCATTGCAATTTCATCATGGTGGCAAGGGGGTAGGGGAGGAATACCACTCCTTCCTCTGACATATGACCCCCCCTGAAAATTAATGTTTTAAGAAAACACCAACCAAACCAAACCTCAAATTTAAATTAATTATCAAATTCCAACATGATCTAAACCCTTCAACCACAGATTTCACTGGTTTATAATCTGGTGCTCAGTTTCTTTTGAGATTAAATTGGTATTTTAACACCACAAAGCAAATAATTTTCCAGTTATTTTAGTATTTGGCCATTCTTGCTAAGCATACCTTAGGAATCCAGAGTCCATAGTATGGACACATCAAACGTTTTACTTAAGACTGAAGTAATGAAACCTGTAGTAAGCTGGGAGCAGGATGCAGGTCACCCGATCCCTGTGATCAGAGTTTCCGAGCGCATCATGTGGTTTTATATAACTGCAATTTGTCTTCAGGTAACTAAAGTGGTTTATTAGATCTTCAGATATACTAAGTACCAGAGTACTAATCAGTGTTTCACATTATGGTGTTTGAGGAAGAAGAGGCATGATAAGACCAGCACCAGCTTTAAAAAGAAAAAATTTACCGTGTACACCACAGGTCATAGTCAGAGTATTTAGTTTCATTAGCTTCATCTCACATTAAATGCATCAACAAAATGTAGTAGCACATGGACTAAATCACACTAAATCACCCAAGTATCCGTTACAACTCCAATCTAGCTTAGTCCGATCTTAGTGTCTATAGAAAAGCCTGCTCCTTACAATCTAATTTAGAATCACAATCTTTTCTGAGTTAATGCTGTTCTGTCATTAGTAAAGTAGTAATGAAAAATACATCAAAGTTTCAGGGAAAATGTTCACACCACAACATTTCCCTGTTGACAAAAAAATCTCCCTTTTGAATGATTCATGGACTTTGAAGTTACATAAAAGTTTGTATTTTCACTGAAGGTCCCTCCTCTATCAAGCAGCTTGCTACATCTATCATAATATTTGCCTTATGCTAGCAAACATAATTTGCTTATTATAAGCATTTTGGCTTACCACATTCATCTAAGCTTTTAACAAAACTGAAAATACATGTACTACTTGCATGTGTGTTTGTGTCTTGTTTTACTTCTATCTTTTTTCCTGAAAACATTCATGGGGGTCTGGAGCACCTTAAAACTAACTACTGCATCTTTAATAGCAGGCATACAATTAGAAGGGTGGATCATTTTAAGGGAAGAACTGGAAAAATTGCCTTTGATAAAGCAAATTGAAATACCTTAAATCTCGAGTTTCTCTAGAACTTGGCTTTACAGCCACACTTTCAAAAATAAAAAATAAAAATTAGCACAAAGTTAATGGCTATATGACTATAATGAAACCCAACCTCTCTTTCACAAGGGAAACGGAAATGTTGCTCTAAACAAAGAAGTTTGTTTGCTGGTGGTTGTCTGGAAGCTTAATAGATCAGGAGCAGTTTTTAAATGCTTAAGACTAAATAAAAAAATAACTAAGTTATACACACTAAGAGAAATATGAAAAGCCATCTCAATAAAATGAACTAAATAAAATGGCTAAGGCATGGTTGAAAGCTAGAAGAAATGTTAGTCATGAGGAGGCAATCCCTGCCTTTTTCCCGCAGTCAAGTTTACCATCTGGCACTATAGCTAGCCAGGAGACCAAAAAGCCTGCCAGGAAACCAGTCACAATCCCATGTGCTGCTGCTGGAAAAAAACAAATTCCACTGCTTATCATCTGGGCCTTGCAGCTGCCAAGTGTACTCTGCATGAGGTGAAACGTCTTTGCACAATCAGGAAGAACTGGAGTACATTTAACAGCAGTGCCAGCTCAGCAAGGGACTGGTCTTGAAACAAGTGTCCATGGCTCTTCAGTGAATGTGCTTTTCTTCAGAGAAAGAAAAAAATGAAGTAATGTCTAGAAGTAAGTCTGAAAATATACTGTTCCTTAAAGTCCAATAAAGGCATCTGATCACATTTTAAGGGTTCTGATAAGCTAACCACAGAAAATAAGATATTTTCATAATGGAAGAAATCAATTTCCCTACACGGAAAAATCATCCGGATACCTTAAAATGTTAAAATATTTGTAAGATATCACCCACTGAAAAAGAAGAAAGATTTAGGTTAGTAGAGTTAGTAGAGTTCTCTTTTCCAAGTCTCTTCTGCAGACTCAGGAATTCTGTCTGCAATATGTAATTTCACATTTCTTCAGAGAGATACAGGTGATTTAATTGGTTACCTGAACTCCCTCTTTTTGTGAAAAGTTTTTTATGAGCAGAGAGTCCTGTAGGCTCAGACACTGCATTTGTCACAATACTGTGATGTACCTGCTTTACAGAAGACTTGGGATTCCACTTATGGATCACCAAGGAGAGTAGACTGAGAAACTGTGAAAAGCTGCAGTCCTCTCTCAATGTCATGAACGTATAAAATTCATTGGTGATTTCCTTACACTACTGAGAAGAAAGGTGCAGACTCACAGAGAGCTATGCTATGTCAGGAGGGTTGGAAGAGCAATGGAAAATATTACTTGAAGTATTGTTTTCCAGAAGAATTCTAAAAGGCACTTACTCGCCTTTTAGTATACATGGTATGCACAGCAAGGCAGTAGTCTTGTGATGATCTTTGACATGATCTACCACAATGAAGCTCTAGCTCTTCCTGGCAATTTGCACTACTATAAAGACATGGAAATAATGAGAACTAGTGGGCATCCAACAGGAGCATTTGAAACAAGATTGCTTAAAACAATACCTTAGCAGTCACCCAAAAAAACATTAAGCACAATAAACTACATTTAGGAATTTATGTCTACTATTATGCTTATACTGCTGATTTACTTAGCATGATTTTTTTTTCGTTCTTTTTAATCTACAAATGCCTCTGCAAAGGTTACTACTATATGGGAAAAGGGAAAAGCATAATATACTGTTTAACATAATTGTGTATTTGCGCATGATTTCATAAGGTGCTTTCAAAAGCCACCTACTCCTGGAGACCTGTGTGAGTTCTGCCTGTTTTGGTTATCAGACATTAGAAAGCTCACTTATAAGCAGACTGCCAACAAAATAAAAGAATAAAACTTTCTAACCCACAACTACTGACACAGGTCATTTAATACTGTCTCTGATGTCCTGGAATTTGATGGGCTCATTTTATTTATCAGAAGGACTATGAAAGGTCAAAGAGCACATACCTCCAATGAAGGCGCCCACTCTGTATGTAATACAGAAGAGTATGTCATGTTCTAAACAGGCTATTTCGAATTCAATTTAAATATTCAACTTTAAATATACAACCTCTTTTGAGATTTTGCATTCCTAAAAACATGGTGGGCTTCTCAGAAGTATATACAGGAATGAGTAGTTCAAATCATACTGAATTCAACAACATGTATTAAATTGACAAACATACACTGGAAGAAGTACAGAGAAACATTATATGGATAAAAAAGGAATGTTTACAGTACACATTGCTCAGGTTATCCTAACCTACCTAGCACAGAACAATAATATGGGATAGTAGCACTGTTAGTAGAGGGTGAACAGCCAAAATTTGCTTTGAATATGCATTTTATTTATCTATATTATTTTTTAAGCCTGCATCATTGATGAAGAATCCCCAAATTCTTTATTTAATTAACCTTTGTCTGTATTTAAAAAAAAAGCAATATTTGTATTGATAGAATAAATTAATGCTTTATTAAATAAAATGTATGGATTCATTATAAATTAGCACCGAAAACATTATTTTGATTGGATAAAAAATCAAGTACAATTGACAAAGGATGAATGATTTTTTTCAACAAACAAACCAGTATTCTGAATAAATCTTTGTGGTTAGGGATGTATGTTATCTGTGTGTGTAAGGACATGTAAATTGAAGTGTTAGCTCTCACTCTATCACCCACCAACCTGGAATTTTCTTCATGCTGAAGTATTTAAGTATGAATACTGCACAGTCCAAATACTGCAGTCTGAGTATGAGTATGTTTAACATGAACATACTGTGTGCATAGCTAGTAGCTAGCAAGATAACTGGCCTTAAGGCTTTCTTACCAAGTCTTCTGACTTGGATTTAAGCAACTGGGTAACCCTTTTCAACAAAGTGTTTTCCCGTATTTATGTAAAGTACTCACAAGGAATTAATTTCAGTAATCAAACACAATAAAATATTTTGCAGGATTCAACATGATTTAAGGTTCATGTGTCTTACCGACAAGTTAAAAACCACCCAAAACTTTAGCTCTACCTGTTGTTGGCACAATCCACTTTGGCAGTCCAGGTGCTTTTGTTCTAGCTGGTGCTAGTGTGATACTGCTAAGAACTGTGAGAGAGTTTAAAAAAGAAAATAGGTTCCATGAGAAGAAAACCCAACACACTTTTATGTGATGCCACCAATTCCACATTAGAGAAGGAAAAAAAACACCTGGTTTCTTTCTTTTTTTTTCTGATTTGGAAAAGCTTTACCTCTAATCGAAAGAAAAATACTTTTTTTTTCTTTCCCCAGCAACACTCAAAATTCTACTGAGAATAGGTGAAATTAATTAACTAATTAATTAACTTCCACCCCATCCTAAATTGAATAAACAATTATTACCTGGTCTGGTCTGTGATTTATCAGATGGCTTTGGTCTTGCAGAAGTGAGATGTGTTTTATGGGGTGCTAAAAGAAATAATGTTCAGTTTAAATATTATGTGTCAACAGAACATCAATACTGCAGTGTAATTTGCCAGAAAAGGCCCATGCACCAGTGCGATACAGCAAAATATACGTATGAGAATTGTATGAGTTCCAATCTGAAATGCACACTGAAAATGCTAGTTTTTTTAGTGGTCAGATGACTCCATCATGCAGCCTGACCAGCTACATTCATGTTTAGGCTTAGGAAAAGATATGTAATATTTACAGCCAGTTACCCAACTGTACATGGATATAGAGTTAGCTCTGCAAGGTATCCATGGCCTTAAGACATTTAATTAGGCTCTGTAAAAAACAATCAAACGAAAAACCTCAAAATAAAACACCAAACTAAACCTTCCCTAAATCAAATATTCATATAAAAACATAACACATCAAAAACTGAGAAAACAACTGGAATTATTCAGTGCAGACAATGTGTAAGGCTGCTGAAACATAGTGGCATCATCAAGGTTAAAATCAGAAGTGTTCAGCCTTTTCTTATTGTCACCTTTCACTTGCCAAATGATTTTGATATTGTAGTTGTTACAGAATTTGTATGAATCACACTGAAAGCTGAAAGCATAAGTAGTAATCACTGACATCTTGCGCCAAATTATCAACCTCTGTAAATCAATATTTTAAATGAGTTGAGCTGGCTATTTGATAGTCAAATCTAATAACCACTCTATACCCAACACTTAATGCAGCGTCAGAGAAAATACTTATGCAGGAAAGAACATATTACTCATTTTCGACACTTAAATTTGGTAAAAGCTTTACAGATTTAGATTTACTGTTTTATAAAGAAAAAGGCAAAAGTCAGTTTCATCTATGTTTGCCACACTGTACATCTGAGGATCCAATACACAGCAGTAATGTTTAAAGCTTCGTATCATCTTTGAGGCAATACTGATTACACCTTGATTTTCAGAGCAATGAGTAAAACCCCCACTTGATAAGGAGAAAAGCGAATTTTCATTTTATATATTTGAAATAGTTTAAACGTAATAATGAACAGACCATTAAACGTTAAACTGTTCTGATTTTACTTGAGATCTACAAACTCTCAAGATAACAACTTAAGAAAGTCTTAAAAATTACCTGTACTGAAGTGTGGAATTTCAGTTGCTAAAGCAGTTTTGGACTTGGGTGAAATCTGGTATGTTTCACTGGGAGCTGAAAGTGGAGATATTATTGCTTACCAAATGCAAACTATTTCCTTTTAAACATAAGACACCACAGGGGGAAACGGAAAAACTGTCCTTGTGCTAGAATCAGTGCTAGAAACCTGGCTGAAAATCATGCTTCTATACAAATAGAAGACTTTTCAAGACTGGGAAGATATAGTCGGACAAAAGAAAAAAAGATGACCCAGTAATGCCTTTACATATGACTCCTTAGCTTTGTACATGAAGTACTTATTTCTAGAAAGAATTGTATGAAAGAAGAAATGGCTGGAAAATTAAAACTAGCAACATTTTGTACATGCAGTGGAATGTGACTAACAAGTGAACACAACATGAAGATATATTAAGGTGGTTCTGTTGATTAAAGAGTAAATATAGTCATATAGCAAAGGCAGAGGAACTCAAGTTTTATGAAAAATACACTGACATTACATTCTCATTACCCAAAGTCATTTTGGACCCATCAACAACATGAACTGTTACAAGGTTAATCGATCCCAGGTGTGTTGCTCTTGGAGCTACAAGAAATAGAACATTGCTCTGTGAGAAATGAAATTGAAAATGTTGGATTTCATTAAGGATCTGTGTTCTTTGTTTCCTAAAGAGCTATCACCACATCTACTACAACAATTTTAACAGATGTGAGACAGATACATGTTCTAATTAGGCTGGATGTATTTTAATGATGGCAGCCACACATTGCAACTATTTTGCTGGCCTCCCCCCAACTTCAGTAGAAATGCCCTGAAAGTGGAGTTCTGACAGTCTTTGGTCTTTCTCATTCTGGTTATGTTAATTTGCACTTCCTAAAATTTTTCTAAAAGCTTATAGTAGTGGTTTTATCTTTCTGATATTCTTCCCTTACTCAAATATGATTGAATTTAGTGAAAGATATCTAAGTTACTGGATTAAAAGGAGAGACTGGCAGCCAGAGGCACACACTACATATCTCTTTCTCTTTCAGAAATAAGGCTAAAATAAGGAAGCTGGAAAGAAACCTACTTAGTGGCATAAACAGCAGTAGCTAAATAGTGTCGTTTATTTTTAACAACTTTCTTAACAGCAATTTTGCATATGCATTGTTATAATGATTTCAAAGTCAGAGAATAAACCTATAAATTCTGTTTTCTAAAATTCTTTGCCTAAAGCTAATTTTTTAGTGGCACCAAAACATGGTACTTGTCAGCTATGACATGACTGGATTATAACTATGCATCCCTAAATCTGCTGTAGTTACTACAAAAATAACTGATAAAAAGAAGGTATCTATACTCTTAGCATCTAGCTATCTTGGAGTAAGATTCTGACGCAAGAGTTTCAAAAGTACTTGAGAAATTGAAGCAAATGTATATAGAGTAATAAAATCCCCCCAAAGAAAAGAACACATTGACGCTGGCTACAGCAGCGTATTTTTATTAAAATTAATCTAATTCATAGTATTTTTCAAGGCTACTACCCACTAGTTCAAGACAACCAACCAGCTTCTGCTCCCCATGGAAATAGATGCAATTCATGGGCATTCTCTTTGATATAATTTATTAACATACTCTGATCTGAGCAATGAAGCTAATTTCTGTCCACAAATGAAGGATGTCACATGACTGCAGTACTGAATGACAGAAGACAGTGTAACTAAAGCAGTGCCACAGTAACACTTTTAAAGTTAAAAGCTTTAAATTACCAGGTTTAGTCTGTGGTACCTCTGGCATGAGCAGTGTTTCTTTTGGAGCTGAAAGAAAAGGAAAAAGATTATTACTGTATTTTTCAGGAGTCATGATCCAATGTCATACTTAGCCCACAGAGAATTCATGCCTCAAATGCCTGAAAAAAAGACAATAATAATTCCATGGCTTTCTGGAACCTGAAATAAAGTGGCTATCCAAACCACAGAAAAATCTTAGCGCAGTTCTGTAGGATAAATTGAGTTAGAGGCTAAAATTCTTGCTCTAAAAGAAAAATTTGACCACTGAATTTGGTTGGAGATTTGACAAATACAGTCTTCTGACCAGACATGAGCTGTAGGCTATTTCTGCTTTACTTCTAGGATAGAACTGAAACTCATCTGTATTAAGAAACATGCATGTGTGTAAGCAGAATGAAGTATAAGTGGAATGATGTTTCACAAAGTACCACACTGGAGCATGTTCTCTAGGGATTTCTTCACTGAAAAAATAAGAATACCTGTGTCTTAACATTAAGGAAACTTATTTACCCATTGTTGCCCTTGAATGGTTGCTGGTAGTAGATTTTGTAATAATTGGTTGTGGAGTTGCCTGATGTACTGCTGTTAAGGAGAGAATGTGAAGAATCTTAGAATATTAAACTGTAATAGAAACAAAGTAGAAATGCTACTTTAGAAATGCACTATTTCTAAAACTTTAAAAATGCCCCGAACTAAAGTGTAGCAGAATACTTTAAAAATCAGCTGCCGAAAGATAGTTAACTTCTGTACTTTCCTTCTGTAACAGAAATGGAAAGAGACTCAGCCCCCTGTAACTATTTTAAAGACTTCTTTTCTTTCAGGATAGCACACAATGTCAGTTGTCAATTGTACAAGCACATTGCAAAGGAATTCTGCTGCATTTTATGGATGGAAACTGAAAAAGTGCTTGTAGCGTTGCATCTCTGATGACTAGGAAGTAATCAGGGAGAACATATTCTATCCAGCCACTGAAATTTGTCAGCATCCACGTTATTACATTTTAGTCATCATTTGCTGTATTTAACAGAAAGGAGGAAAACCATTTTCGATGCATGCTAGAAATCGTCCTGTTATTTTTAGTGTAGTTTCGGCATATTTTGGATAAAGTGTAATGCCTTTCTTTGAGCACAAAGCCAGCTGTGAACAATTCCATTAAAAAGAACAAAACCCAAGGCTAAGGGAAGGAATTATTAAACACAAACACACAAAGTTAAAGGAAGGATTCCATTACCAGGTTTGGTGTGTGGCACTCTTGGTTTTTCAGATGTTTTTGGTTTGGTATGAATGAACTGTTTTTCAGTTGGAGCTGAAATAAAAACAAACAGCACCCATAACAATAATTGAAACCCAAGCTTCTTTCATAGCACAGAAGGAACATAAGTACGATCTGATCTATAATAAGGCAAACTATGTAAGAGTAAAGCTGAAAATCAAACAGCTGGAATTCCTGGAAAGAAAGAGAAACAAGTTAAATGGCCACTGACGCAGACTTCATTATATTCAAATTTGTAGCTTAGGACGAAGCAGTGAATCATATAGTCACGGACAGCATACAGTGATGGAAAAGAAATAGACAGTTGCATCTTACATCTTCCACATCTGCCATACATGAGTATCTGAGGACAGGATCTGCTTTTCAGTGGACCCTTAGTATCAGACTTGATTTATGAATTAAACACTTTGTTTTTATGTGGGAACTATTCAATCTGGTCTTCATACTGCTCAGTTAAAATTGTTGCCATGTAGGAATCATTTACTGGAAAAAGTTATCTTGGCACCAGGTAGTCTGATCTACACCAGTGGAAACGATCTTCAAAATATCTGCCTGTGCATTCTTCACCCTCCTAGCTCTGACGAACCATTTTCTACACATGAATATTCCATCAGGTAGCCCCAGATACATATACAATAGAGCACATAAACTTCATAAAGCTATACAGGGATATCAAATGAATATTAACCTAAATAATTCGTGCATACAGGGGATATATGTTGAAATAGGAACACAAAAGTTTTTTTCATTTCCTATTCCTCAGAAAGAAAAGGCATACTTCAAAGATTACTGATTGCCTATTAATACTTCATTAGTGATACCATTTCATTCTCAGAAAATTGTGGTCAGTGTTGGCCTCTGAAACTGGGGATAGAGAACTGATTATTAACAGAGTTTACTCAAGCAATACTCCTGCTGCCCAATACTGCTTGGATTTATTGATCTTTATTTGGTCCACATCTGACACTTAAGAATAAAGAATTCTCAGCTAATGTTTCATATAATTTAGCAAGTTTTCCCAATGTGAATGACTAGAAGTTAGCAGAGAAGATGGTTTTAAGAACTAGTATTTGATTTGGAGGGTCACATATCTGGTCCATTTTGGTATATGTTATGCTATGGCTGATAACTTATAGTTTCCTTGCAGTGAAGCAGAAAAGTATTTTAGGATGGCAGTACCCATACCTCATGTGCAGAAGTTACAGGATTCACTACATACTCTTTAAATAAAGTCTATTTTTATTGCAAAATATGTAAGATTTTAAAGAATTACACCATCCTGACTGGAAAGGCTATGAGATGAGGAAAAGAACCTTCAAAAGTAAATGAGCTCATGCATTATTACCCTTGTCAAGACCAGAGGGCAAACAAGTATCTGGAAGCAGAGCAAAACTTCATCATTAGTTTTTAATGTATATAATGAGAAATCCCTAAGAAGATCTTCTTTAACAAGAATAGAAAATAGATTATTATTTATGAAATACACATTATTACCCAATGTTGCCTTTGTTCTTTCAGAAACGTGAGGAATCGCAGTAGCATCTGGTTCATGGAAGGCTGGAATGATTTCTGTTGGAAGAAATGTTGATAACGCTCAGAATAATAGACTCTCTCTTTCCCTCCCTCCCCTTCAAAAAACACTTCAGCACTATACAATATACAACAGAAAAGGGATGTTTTAAAACAACAATGGGCATTTACCCTCAGAGATTTATAGCTACAGAGAGTTCAGGTGTTTTGTTTGCTTGGGGTTTTATTTCATAGATATTAAAAAAAAAAAAAGAATAATAGTCCTTCGGTGAAATCAGCGATTATCTTATACAGTTCAGTCACATTTATGGTGGGGAATCTCCTAACCCAAATACAACTGAAGGGAATCCTTAGTCTGATCTGGATGAATATATGCATATAAAGGAAAACCACAGCTTTAAGAGGCTTCTCTCACAACAGGTTCAAAATGTGGTGCAAACAACTGAAGTCTGTTGCATGGATACAAGCTGTGGATAACTTTTTATCATTGATTTAAACATACAGGTCACTACCGTTTCTTCTGGTAACATCAACAATATAAAAAAAAAATAATCTTGAATTGTTGCAGTTTCCATCAATGGTATGAGTTAACTGCAGCATTGCAGAAAATTTTTTAAGTTACCCGGATACCCAGGTAATGGCAAATGCACTGTTGATAACTCCCCCCACTACCCTAGCCTAGTGTTCAATTATCTACTGCAGCTTGACAAAAAAATCTGATAATTTACCAGGCTTCCTGTGTGAAGCATCTGGGATGGGATCTGCTTTAGGTTTAAAGGGAGTATGTTGTGGTTCTTGACGAGCTGAAAGAAAAGTCCTGTTTTAAGGGTTTATAGTCTTCAGACATAGACAGGTTTATTTCACAAACACTGCATGCCTTGTGCTTGCAAGGAAAAATAAGATCCTTACGTGAGTCTGAAAAATTGAGTGTCAGATGCATAGAGTAATTTCAAAAGAAAAGAAAATCCTGAATTAAAATGGGTGGAAAATTGATCAAGTAAGCAAAATCTGGAGTCAAGCAACAGAACCTGAAAGAACATAGACAACTACAGTAGACATGTTTCCCTCTGTATGTCAGAGCTCACAACTGCAATACCCATGACATGCTTGTCTCCTACAAGTGTCAAAGAATTACAGTGTGTATGAGAATGAAAGAAACTTACTGTGAAGACAACAAAACAGCTAGGAATCTTTCAATATCTAGAACACAGTAAAATTAAGATGGCATGTGAAAAACAGACTAATAATATATAATTGGTCCAAGGAGCAGCAGGGAAGAAATAATGACCAGCGCAAGGTAACATCTTTACCTGTTGCTGTCCTTTATTGTACAATTGTATACACAGTAGGTGCCAAAACTTCATAAAAACAAGAACATACACAGAATTAGCAATAAGTGCATGCAAAAGGGTGAAAATACTCCCTTTTACATAACTGATTTCAAATTTGAACACATATTTAAATTTATTTTTAAAAATTATTATTTATCGGCAAAATTAGTGAATATATACTCACTCAAAAGGAAGGTTCAACTGATGCTTTCCCAACCATCAGGAGTTACAGAGGTTTCGTGGTTCACTACCAAACTATTAAAATCCCTATTAAGTATATACTTTTAAGGGTCAAATTCTATTACCAAGGCACACAAACATAAAAGTGGTTTGATGTAGATATTTAGAGTCATACACAAAGGACCTCAAATATGTTTTTCTCTAAGAACTTTTGATTGGCACAAAAGATGAAATTTCTTCCAAGAACATTCTTATAATGTTTGCATGTTGTCCACCACGATATGCAGATTATTCATCAGTGACAGCTTTCATGCAGTTGAAAAGCATACACAACTCATCAAAATTCAGCCATTAAAAATACAAATCAGCTCTATCTACCTTTAAAAATGTGATCATTAGAAAACCTATTTGTCTGTAATAAGAAGAGATGTTAATCAACACTTGATTCATTGAGGAAAGACAACCCATAATAAACCCTGGATTTTCAAACGCAACAAAACAACAGTGTATTTACCAGTTTTTGTGTATGTTATGCCTGGACCTGGTGATGCTCTAGGTTTGGAAGAGACTCGCCGATTTTCTTTTGGACCTGTAGATGTGCAAAATTTTGAATATGTTACTGAGAATAACAATTCAATATAAACCTTTTGATTTTCCTGACAAGATTCACTTTCGGCCAAATTTTTTTTTTAGAAAGTATTTCCATTTGAAAGTAATTGCAAAGAGATCTCCTGACAATGCTCATGCAGAGACTAAAGACAAAGTGACAGTGCAGTGTTGGATTAACTCTCCACTCCTTTCAGCTCTATCACACAGAGCTTTCTACAGAGTAAACTGCTGTAGTTCTAACACTTAACCTTGTTGTGTTTCTTAAGCGTTTCATATGCCAAAAATCCATTGCTTATTTTACTCAGCTGTGCATTAGAAAAACCTCCAGCAAAGAAGAAACGTGGAAATTTACCACTAATTTTCAAATGGACAGAAGTATTTTCAAAGTTTTGGCAACAGGAAAGTAGCGTAATTCTACACTTGTAAATAAGTAACTGGAAAATATAAATACTTCTGCCACATTTTGTGGAAATTAAGACACTAATTTTCTGATGTGCAAAGGCTCAAGATGAATGTTGACCCTCATTTCCCTACCATTCCCGACAAGTTATTGACATGTATAATATTTAGTGGATTATCTTGTTCCATGACAGCTATATAGCAAAAAGCAATAACAACAGTAAATCACAGCATACGCTGTGTACTTTCAGAGAACTAGTAGATTTTGACAATTTTCAAACTGATAAAACTTTCATGCAGTAAAGGCAAAATATTGATAAGCTTACTTGCTCTAGTTGGAGGAACACGTGGACTGGGTGATGTTTTAGGTTCAGAAGTCCCATGATGTATATCATTAGGAGCTGAAAGAAAGAAATCCTGTTACACCATGCTAAAATTTTCTGAGGTATCAGTGTCCACTACCACTCATAACAGCTAAAAAAAGAAAAAAAAAAAACAAACCAAAACCTCAAACTGATCAAAAATTTAAATCAAAAATATTATATGGAAGCGATGCAGAAGAGAAGAGCTTTTTTAAATAAAATTGGTCTACAGAGAAAAAAAGATAACTTTCTGAGGCATACTATCAACTAAGCATGTGACAGAATTACTGGTTCTATTTAAGAAGAGGACTTAAAATAACAGAAGAGAACAAGTAGCTTCAAATACAAAGGCACCACTAGATTGTAATGGAGGTTGTACTGGAATGATTCGCAGTACCAGATCAAAATGCTAAAAATGCCTTACTCAAAGAGATCTGACTCAAGGAATCATATGACCCAAACATCACTGAAGCAATTTTTTTTCAGCAATGGAATTGAGGTTTGAGTGAAACAGAATTATTTTTCAGTCCTCTATGAAGGATTAAATATCATCTAGTAAAACTGGAGAGGAAAGGAAGTAGAGAAAGAAAACTTGCAACATGCAGCTCTGCTCACCTAAACTGTATGACTAATGAGAAGAGTGCCACCTCTACTTGTATGACTTCGAACATGCAAGTTAGAATCCTCTTCTGATCTTCCCTCCGCCTCTTACCATTAAATACTGAAGGAAATTGCCCTATGTTATGTGCATAACAACTTGAAAGGAAAGGATCCTCCTCAAATCTTTTGTAGAAAATAAGAAAAGAGACAGAGAATCTTGACTGATAAATTAAGGCTCACACAAAGAAAGGTGACAAATTTTTGCAGGTCTACTCTTAATGATTTCTGTTGAAGAGGAAAGACAACATAACTGTTCAAGTAAGAAAATATCATTACCTACTGTTGACTTTGGTTTCTCAGTTCTAAATGTGATTGGTTCCAGAACTGCATTAGTGTGATAAAAAAAACAAAACAAACAAAAAACAACAAAAGCAAGTATTACCAAGAATAATCAAAACAATGACTACTTCCACAATGATCATACAACCATCCTGCTACAGGCAATGACAGACTGTCACTCCTCTCTGAAGCTCAACACATGTCAGTATCCTCAAAATGGCCTCCAGTTCAAGGCAATAGCTGTAATACAGAACAGGGCCCAAATATCAATCTGAAGCTTTTATAATAAACCACAAAGAAATTGTGGGTGTTTTTTCACCTTCAACTTTGTTCACTTTCCTGACTTATGTCAAGGTTTTGATTCAAGCAACAGGCACAGATTTACTGGGGGGAAAAGGAAACTTAGTTGTCATTTTTCTGCCCATTTCTCCAGCAGCACTATCTAATACTGCATATACTCTGGATACCTGTACTGGGTCTGGTTGGGACAGAGTTTACTTTCTTCCCAGCAGCTCCTGTGGTATTCTGTTTTGGATTCATGAACGTTGATAACACACCAATGTTTTAGCTATTGCTGAATCATGCTTGCTACACCATCAAGGACTTCTTCATTTTTAACTCTACCCCCAAGCAAGTAGACTGGAGATGATAAAGATGCTAGGAGAGGACACAGCAGGGATAGCTGAAACAAACTGACCAAATGAATATTTCACCTCACATAATGTCATGCTTAATAGGAAAACTTTCCAAAGGGCCCATTGCTCCTAGAGTGACACTGGTCTGCTGGTGGGAAGTAGCATGTGGTTACCTTTGTATCACTTTGGTTTTCTCTCTGTCCTTGTTGAATCTGTCTTTATCTTGAACTATGATTTTTATTTTTTTTTCCTCTGCTTTGCTCTTCTGATTCTCTCCAAGGTGGAATGATCAAGGGGCTAGTGGGCTAATGACTTGGGTCAACCCACCACACTATCGAATACAGTTATTCGTGTGAGTTGTGTAACTTTCTTCCTTTATCTTTAATTAGCTCAGGGTTGTATAATGCTCTCTACCAAGCTGTGTAAACAACATTATAGAAAGTATTACACATTCTTAAATCTCTTAACATCATAAGGGAGGTGCAAAAGTGAACTGAAAAGTATAAATGAACAACTGTGCCTGATAAAGAAAAAACAAGTACACAATTGCACAATTTGAGAAATACAGAAAAAATCCTTCCTCTTTGCAATGACGCAACTCCTATCTCACCTTCACTTTTCCCAAACCCAAATTCACACAGAAAAGACCTATTTTCATTGACAACTGCACAGAAAATGCCCACTGTTGCAGTGACTTGGTTGATTATAAATCCCCTGAGTGTATATTCTTCAACATATACACTCAAGGGATACATGTTTATCTGAAGCTCCACAGCAAAGTAAGACACTGTCCTGGGTTCAGCAGTAGCAGTCATGTTTCCCCTTCTTGGTAGCTGGTGCAGTGCTGTGTTTTGACTTCCAGCCTGGGAACAGTGCTGGTGATACCGATGTTTTCGGTTGTTGCTAAGTGATGTTTACCCTGACCAAGTACTTTGTGAGTCTCATGCTCTGCCAGGGAGGAAGGGAAGCCAGGAGGAAGCAGAGACAGGGCGCCTGACCCAGGCTAGCCAAAGAGGTATTCCATACCACAGCACATCATGCCCGGGGTGAGGGTGTGTGTGTGTGTGTGTAACTGGGAGTTACCCGGAAGGACAAGGGCTTCTGGGTGGGACTCGTTTCCTGGCTGGTGGTTTTGTATTCTCTTCCCTTGTTATTTTCTCTTACAATTGTTGTCGTTGGTGGTAGTGGTGGCGATTTGTGCTGTACATTGGTTGCTGGACTGTTCTTGTCTCAGCCCGTGGGAGTTGCACTCTTTCGATCCTCCTCCCCATCCCCCCAGGAGCAGGGAAGGGAAGAGCCCCGGGGGAGGGGGCCTCGATTGCTCTCAGCCCGGCACCACTCACTGGGAGTGAGTGAACAAGCTGTCTGGCTAGGGTTTAAACCATGACAGATCTTTTTGGCGCCCAACGTGGGGCTCGAGGGGTTGAGATAACGACAGATCTGGCCGGATTAATAGCCACTCGTCACAATGCTGATTTATTGGCTCTCAGGGTTGTTCCTCTTGATCTCACAGTTTCAGTATATCGTACCTTACGTCCATCCGGTATTTGCTGTATTAGTGTTTTTCAAGTGTGGGGCTTGGTTTTTGTCTCATTGTACTTTATGGTAATGACTTGCAATACAATAGACTCATTGATCATGAAACTGATCTGGCTTATGTTCCCAGTGTGGTAACCACCTTTATACTTTGGGAGGTATATAATAGAAGTGCTTAGCAATTACACATCTTTTTTCTCCTTCTCAGGTGGTCAACCTGTGAAGGAGACATCCTTTTACCCTCCCGGTCCTCCCCCCAGACCATTTACATTTGAGAGTTTTTAAATTTTTGAATGGCCTTTTAATGCTGTTGAGACTTATTTGCTGATCGTGATGGGGATCACCATGTTGGCACGCATACAGAGTGTGTTTTGCCCACGACTGATTTCAAGAGTTAAGCAGAGTCAGGTTTGGGTCTTGTCTGGGGTCAAACGATGATATAGGAGGACCAAGAGATTTTCCCTGAGGCTGGACAGTCATGAGTGGCAGGGTGTGTGGGATAGTATGGGCAAGTATCTAGGTCAGTGGGCCCCTCCAGTACTTTGGAATTTCACCACCAAACAACTGCAAAATCCAGAAGAAGTAGTAACACACTTAAATGAGGTGTGTGGTCATTCTGGCCATACCAGAGACGGACAAATCATGGCAACGTGCTGGGGCTTGGCCTATGCTTACAGGGCCTTGTTCAACACTATCCAGCACCTTCAAAAGGAAAAAAATGTTGGTGGATCTGAGGGCAAAGCAACAGTCAGTGCAGCTACTCCAGCCCCAAGCACAGCAGCCTCACCACCCCCAGCGACAAGTAGAGTCGCTACTCAAACTTTGGCTGCAGTGAACAGTGCAGCTACCCCAGTGGCAAGTACAGCAGCTGCTCAAACTTCGACTGCAACAGACAGCACGGCGACCTCAGCTCCAAGCAGAGGAGCTACACCACCCCCAGCAACAAGCACAGTCGCTACTCAAACCACAGTGATAATTACTGCAGCCAAACCAGAGGACCAATTCGTACCAATATCGGTTGCCCCTGTACGCAAGAGAAAAAGCAAAAAAGAAGCAAGAAGGGTGAAGCAAGGTGAAGAAACAGTGTATTCACCATCCGGGCTAGCATCTGATCAGGAGTCATCATCACATGATGAAGAAGAAGAAGAGGTGACTTCTCGACCTCGGACCTCAACTGAGCTACGGAATATGCGAAAAGATTTTACCCGTCAACCAGGGGAGCACATCATCACCTGGTTGCTCCGATGCTGGGACAATGGGGCCGATGGTCACAAACTAGAAGGTACAGAAGCCAAGCAGCTGGGATCACTTGCTAGAGAAGGGTGAATTGACAAAGCAATTGCAAGAGAGAAAAAGTCTTTGGTATTGCTGCTTTGGAGACTGAGGAAATTGAGCAGCTGTCCACCTTGCCTGGTCTCTCAGAGGATCCTTCTGTTGTGGGGTTGCTGAAAGTCGAAGAACAGCAAGTGCCAATTGCGACCACAACAGTGCACCGGCGGCAATATTGCACCAACCGAGACTCCCTGATTCCCATCCATCGGCTGATCCGTAGACTGGAGAGTCAGGGAGTGATCAGCAGGACCCGCTCACCCTTTAATAGCCCCATATGGCCAGTGCGAAAGTCTAATGGAGAATGGAGACTAGACTATTGTGGCACCATTGAGTGCTGCCGTACCGGACATGCTAGAACTTCAGTATGAACTAGAGTCAAAGGCAGCCAAGTGGTATGCCACGATTGATATTGCCAGTGCATTTTTCTCAATTCCTTTGGCAGCAGAGTGCAGGCCACAGTTTGCTTTTACTTGGAGGGGTGTCCAGTTCACTTGGAGCCGACTGCCCCAGGGGTGGAAACACAGCCCTACCATCTGCTATGGACTGATCCAGACTGCACTGGAACAGGGGCAAGCTCCAGAACACCTGCAATACATTGATGACATTATTGTGTGGGGCGATACAGCGGAAGAAGTCTTTGAGAAAGGGAGGAAAATAATCCACATCCTGCTGAAAGCTGGTTTTGCCATAAAACGGAGTAAGGTCAAGGGACCTGCACAGGAGAATCAATTTTGGGGAATAAAATGGCAAGATGGGTATTGCCAGATCCCCACAGATGTGATCAACAAGATAACAGCAATGTCTCCACCAACTAATAAGAAAGAAACGCAAGCTTTCTTAGGCGCTGTGGGGTTCTGGAGAATGCACATCCCAAATTACAGTTCGATTGTAAGCCCTCTCTATCATGTGACCCGGAAGAAGAATGATTTTAAATGGGGCCCTGAGCAACAACAAGCCTTTAAGCAAATTAAATGTGAGATAGTTCACGCAGCAGCCCTTGGACCTGTCTGGACCGGGCCAGATGTACTGTACACCACGGCTGGGGAGGATGGTCCTACCTGGAGCCTCTGGCAGAAAGCTCCAGGGGAGACTCAAGGTCGACCCCTCGGCTTTTGGAGTGGGGGATACAAAGGATCTGAGGCCAGCTATACCCCAGCTGAGAAAGAGATACTGGCAGCCTATGAAGGGGTTTGAGCTGCTTTGGAAGTGATTGGCACTGAAGCACAGCTCCTCCTGGCACCTCGCTTGCCCGTGCTGGGCTGGATGTTCAAAGGCAGGATCTCCTCTACACATCATGCAACTGATGCTACATGGAGTAAGTGGGCTGCACTAATTACACAACGAACTCGAATAGGAAATCTCAGTTGTCTGGGCATTCTAGAAGTCATCATGGACTGGCCAGAGGGCAAAGATTTCGGAATGTCACCAGAGGAGGAGGTGATGCGTGCTGAAGAGGCCCCACCATATAATAAACTGTCAGAAAGCGAAAAGCAGTATGCCTTGTTTACTGATGGGTCCTGCCATACTGTGGGAAAGCTTTGGAGATGGAAGGCAGCTGTATGGAGTCCTGGACGACAAGTTGCAGAAACTGCTGAAGGAGAGGGTGAATCGAGTCAGTTTGCCAAGGTGAAAGCCATCCAGCTGGCCCTGGACATTGCTGAACGAGAAAAGTGGCCATAATTTATCTCTATACTGACTCATGGATGGTGGCAAATGCCCTGTGGGGGTGGTTGAAGCAATGGAAAGAGAGCAGCTGGCCATGCAGCGGTAAACCCACCTGGGCTGCTGCACTGTGGAAAGATATTGCTGCCTGGGTGCAGAACATGAAGGTACGTCATGTAGACGCCCATGTACCCAAGAGTCGGGCCACTGAGGAGCACCAGAGCAACCAACAAGTGGATAAAGCGGCTAAGATTGAAGTGGCTCAGATGGACTTAGATTGGCAACACAAAGGTGAATTATTTTTGGCCCGGTGGGTCCATGACACTTCAGGCCATCAGGGCAGAGATACAACATATAGATGGGCTCGTGATCGAGGGGTGGACTTAACAATGGACACTATTGCCCAGGTTATTCATGAGTGTGAAACATGTGCTGCAATTAAACAAGCCAAGCCGTTAAAGCCTCTTTGGTATGGAGGACAATGGCTGAAGTATAACTATGTGGAGGCCTGGCAGATTGACTATATCACACTGCCTACAACCCGCCAGGGCAAGCGCCATGTGCTTACCATGGTGGAAGCAACCATGGTTGCTGGAAACACACTCTGTGTCCCATGCCACTGCCCAGAACACTATCCTGGGCCTTGAGAAACAGATTTTGTGGCGACACGGCACCCCAGAGAGAATCGAGCCGGACAGTGGGACTCACTTCCGGAATAACCTTATAGATATTTGGGCGAAAGAGCATGGCATTGAGTGGGTATATCACATCCCCTACCATGCACCAGCCTCTGGGAAAATCGAACGGTACAATGGGCTGTTAAAAACTACACTGAGAGCAATGGGTGGGGGAACTTTCAAGCACTGGGATACACACTTACCAAAGGCCACCTGGTTGGTCAACACCAGAGGATCTGCCAACAGGGCTGGCCCAGCCCAGTCAGAACTTTTACATATTGTAGAGGGAGACAAAGTTCCCGTGGTGCATATGAAGAATTTGCTGGGGAAGACAGTCTGGGTTATTCGTGCTTCAGGTAAAGGCAAACCCACTGGTGGGATTGCTTTTGCTCAGGGACCTAGATATACTTGGTGGGTAATGCGGGAAGATGGGGAAGCCCGATGTATACCTCAAGGGGATTTGATTTTAGGGGAAAACAGCCAATGAACTTAATTGTATGCTGTTGCCTGCTGTGTAATACTTTTATAGCCCATCAGCTAGATGTCTTCAGGTCACCAGCGACTAGCCCTGACTTCACAGTATCACAGTATCACAGTATGCTAGATATTGGAAGGGACCTCGAAAGATCATCTACTCCAATCCCCCTGCCGGAGCAGGAACACCTAGATAATGTTACACAGGAATGTGTCCAGGCGGGTTTTGAATGTCTCCAGGGAAGGAGACTCCACAACCTCCCTGGGCAGCCTGTTCCAGTGTTCCGTCACCCTCACTGAGAAGAAGTTTCTTCTCAAGTTTAAGTGGAACCTCTTGTGTTCCAGTTTGTACCCATTACCCCTTGTCCTATCATTGTTTGCCACTGAGTAGAGCCTGGCTCCATCCTCATGACACTCCCCCTTTATATATTTATATACACTAATAAGGTCACCCCTCAGTCTCCTCTTCTCCAAACTATAGAGACCCCGCTCCCTCAGTCTTTCCTCATAAGGGAGATGCTCCACTCCCTTAATCATCTTAGTTGCCCTGTGCTGGACTCTCTCCAGCAGCTCCCTGTCCTTCTTGAACTGTGGGGCCCAGAACTGGACACGATATTCCAGATGCGGTCTCACCAGGGCGGAGTAGAGGGGAAGGAGGACCTCTCTCGACCTACTAACCACCCCCCTTCTAATACACCCCAGGATGACATTGGCCTTCTTAGCCACAAGGGCACAGTGTTGGCTCATGGTCATCCTGTCGTCCACTAGGACCCCCAGGTCCCTCTCCCCTACACTGCTCTCTAACAGGTCGTTTCCCAACCTATACTGGAACCTGGGGTTGTTCCTGCCCAGGTGCAGGACTCTACACTTTCCCTTGTTATATTTCATCAAGTTATTCCCTGCCCAACTCTCCAGCCTGTCCAGGTCTCGCTGGATGGCAGCACAGCCTTCTGGCGTGTCAGCCACTCCTCCCAGCTTAGTGTCATCAGCAAACTTGCTGACAGTATACTCAATTCCCTCATCTAAATCATTGATGAATATATTAAATAATACTGGTCACAGTACTGACCCTTGAGGCACTCCACTAGTTACAGGCCTCCAACTAGACTCAGCCCCACAGACTACAACTCTCTGGCTTCTCTCCTTCAGCCAGTTCGCAGTCCACCTCACTACCTGATCATCCAGACCACACTTCCTCAATTTAGCTGTGAGGATGCTGTGGGAGACTGTGTCAAATGCTTTGCTGAAGTCAAGGTAGACCACATCCACCGCTCTGCCGTCATCCATCCACCGTCTTATTTCCTCATAAAAGGCTATGAGATTGGTCAAGCATGATTTACCCTTGGTGAAGCCATGTTGACTGCCCCTCATAACCCTCTTATCCTTGATACGCCTTAAGATGGCACCAAGGATAAGGTGTTCCATCACTTTCCCAGGGATGGAGGTGAGGCTGACTGGTCTGTAGTTACCCGGGTCGTCCTTCTTGCCCTTTTCGAAGACTGGAGTGACATTTGCTTTCCTCCAGTCCTCAGGCACCTCTCCCATTTCCCAAGACTTGGTAAAGATGATGGAGAGTGGTCTAGCAATGACTTCCGCCAGTTCCCTCAGCATCCGCGGGTGCATCCCATCTGGACCCATGGATTTATGGATGTCCAGATTGCTCAACTGGTCTCTAACCCATTCCTCATTGACTAAGGCAAACCGCTCCGTTGACCTGACTTCATCTAAGGTCTCAGGGGTACAGGGCTCTTCAGGACTGCCTGCAGCAGAGTAGACAGAGACAAAGAAGGCATTCAGTAACTCTGCCATCTCTGTATCTTCTGTCACCAGGGCACCCATCCCGTTCATCAGTGGGCCTACATTGCCTCTGGTGTTAGTTTTATCTGCCATGTATTTGAAAAAGCTCTTTTTGCTGTCCTTGACCCTTCTCGCCAGGTTTAATTCTAAGGAGGCCTTAGTCATCCTAGCTGCCTTCCTACATCCTCTAGCAGCAGCCTTATATTCCTCCCAAGTGACTTCCCTCCAACCATCAACCCAACAGAGAATGAACTTTGATAGAGCCGGATGAGTTCCGCAGTAAAGGAACGACCAGCATCAGCAGCAACGATCCAATACTGCACACAGTCTATCCTGCCCTGAAAGATTGTTACAAGAGATGGAACCTGACATCATGGACCGAATGGACTCAGCAACATTATAGGGATTGGTCCATGCACTAAGAAAATGATCTCTTTCTCTTGGTCTGTGTGTATATGGATGTATATATGTGGGAGAGCAATGGTATATTGAAAATGTGGGATCTGAGCATGACGTGAATGGTATGGAATAAGGGGTGGATAATGTCCTGGGTTCAGCAGTAGCAGCCATTTTCTCCTTCTTGGTAGCTGGTGCAGTGCTGTGTTTTGACTTCCAGCCTGGGAACAGTGCTGGTGATACCAATGTTTTTGGTTGTTGCTAAGTGATTTTTACCCTGACCAAGGACTTTGTGAGGCTCATGCTATGCCAGGGAGGAGGGGAGGCCGGGAGGAAGCAGAAACGGGACGCCTGACCCAGACTAGCCAGCTATGTCATGCCCGGGGGGGGGGAGGGGGTGGGGGGTGTAACTGGGAGTTACCCGGAAGGACAAGGGCTTCTGGGTGGGACTCGTTTCCTGGCAGGTGGTTTTGTATTCTCTTCCCTTGTTATTTTCTCTTACAATTGTTGTCATTTGGTGTTAGCTTTGGTGATTGTTCTTATACATTGGTTGCTGGACTGTTCTTGTCTCAACCCGTGGGAGTTGCACTCTTTCGATCCTCCTCCCCACCCTTTTGGGAGCGGGGAAGGGAAGAGCCCGGTGTTGGGGGGGGGGGCCTCGATTGCTCTCAGCCTGGCACCACTCACTGGGAGTGAGTGGACAAGCTGTCTGGCTAGGGTTTAAACCATGACAGACACACATACAAGTTTAATAAGTAAAAGTAACAGTGTACTTACCAGCTTTGGTTTGTGGCACCTCTGAGCCTGGTGATGTTTTAGGTTTGGAGGTAAAATGCTGTGTTTCTTTTGGAACTGAAATTCAAAAAAAGAAAAAAGCAACTATTAAAATCTTTCAAAAACTGAGACTAACAGTGCATAATATTAAAAAAAAAATTACATGCCTCTGGAACCCTCTGGAAACACAAAAAGCTTGTATGAGAAATGAAGAAGTATGAATGTCTGGTACACAGAGAAGTAGTGCTGATGGAGAACTTCTGTAGCAGGGTAACATAAAGCAAGGCCAGTATGGATGAACCAATTTGAAAGATGAAGCATCACAGGACAGAAACTCAGTACAGAGACATGTAGTGAGAGGAAGATTGTTGTGCTTCCATCCACTTTATAGAAGACATTTGTGTAAGAAAAAACAAACAAGACGATTATGAATTGTTAGTGTAAAATCACACACAGCCCCCCTCCCCAACCTAAAGACTAAATTTAATAGCAAAAAATTATGACAGTGGAGCACAATGAAGATGTATTTATGATGATCTGTGTATACTGAGGAAAAAGCTAAATGTGATGGTCTCTGTAGGTAAAGTTGTTACCTATTGCTGGTTTTAGTTGATCAGTTCTAAGTGTTACAGATTTCAGGACTGTATCAGAAACAAAACGTAAAAGCTATTACAAAAATTGAAGTGAGAAACTGCATTTACAATTAGCATTACTTGTTCAATAACTGTATTTTGAATTATGTAATACGTACACAGCCTCATACAAAACCCATTATATTAAATGAAGTCTCTGAGAAAGTAGCGTAAGCTGAAACATAATGTGAATGTAGCTCTCCCATGGGCTTCAATGAGATATCCAGTATATATCACTCCCTTATTCACATGGCTTTTTAAGGACACAAATCTCTTCCCTTTGTGGTGTATTTCAAATGCAATTTATATATACAGTTGGAATCAGAGACTACTTGCTTGTTTACTGGATGCTATATTATTAAAGAGAATTACAGTGTACTGATCATGTATTTCAGTTATAAACTGGTATGTATCTAAAATTAAACTGGGTGTTTAAGGGGCATAAGGATTTAAAGTTTATGCTGCTTTCTTGCATTTCCCTCATTATAAGCAGAGGCATAACAGAAATGGTATCCCTCTCTGTGTCAATTCTTCTGCAGGGGTGACAATAACCAAATCTTTTAAGACAATCACAAGATAAGTGGATAGCGCTGTAAAAAAAGTTCTGTGTATTATAGATTATGAGAGAATAAGGATTTTGACCATTTTCTGCATGAGGAACTCATATCTAATACATAACATCAGATTTCAAAAATATTGCTTTATGTACAATTTACAGATCTTCAGTAAAGTGATTACCATGATTTTTTTCACATTTATCAAAAGATAGCTTACATTGATATTCAATACCCTTGTAATTTTCTGTTGACATTACCTGCACTCACGTTTAATGACACAGTAGAAAAATGCATTTTTTTTGAATACAGCATAAATGATAATCAATGCTAAAAAATATCAATACTTATAAACAAATAGTAGCTATTTACCAAGTAATTTACTTGCTCATGCAGGAAATAATAATGTAATGAAAGTAAGTAATTGTGACTTAAAAAGGAAATGTATTTATTCTAACAAAACAAAGCAGTGTGAGGAAGAACTGTACCACCTAAGTAGCCATAATACACGCTTCAATTGTTAGGTGTTTCCTTTAGTTACCACTGTAATCTGAGTTTATCAACAATATCCTCTTTCTGCTGCCATGAAGTAGCAGAGATTTATTCTTCTGCACGATGAAAAATATCTAGTGAATGCTACAACATCTGAAAACTGCAAGCAAATCACTGAACACACAGCAGAAGAGAACCCCATTATGTTTTAATTTTCTCAGTTACCTAAACAGCTGTTCAAGAAATATATTTCAATCCAATACAAGCTGTATTAGAAATAATCACACAAAGCAGTTTACCATCTTCGGCTTGTGGGATATGAGTTTTGGGTGAAGTTTTAGGTATAGAAGGAATATGCTCAATCTCCGTTGGAGCTGGAAGAGAAAATGTGGGTAATAAGTTGGTTAAATTTCACAGTAATTAGAATCTAGTATCATGTTGAACATAGAAACCTCACACCTGCAACAGAGAAAAAATGGTTCTTCATAGAAAGTAGGAAAGTCAGGTAATACTCTCCATGTGTTTATAGCAATATAAGCCAGAGAGTGGAATTTTAGTCATTTTTGAAGCTTGGGTTTTATTTTTTTAAAATAAAAAGCTGGGACAAGCACAGACAAGCAGAATTATAAGAAAGGTTATCCAGAGCTGCCAGAATAATTTTCTTGAAAAAAAAAAAAGGAAAAAAAGAGAGACATTCCAGCTCTGAAGAGAGCAACATACACAGCTGCCATGGATGTCAAGCAAGAGAATTACCTAGAAGAAAAATGGAGTTTAATGAAACAATCCTAAGGCATAAGGTGATTAACTTCGATGATGCTTTCTGTGATGAAAAAAGCAAATATGACAGCTTGCCAAGGAAACATCATTACCTATTGTTGACCTTGGTGGTTCAGTTCTAAGTGTAATAGGTTCCAAGACTGCACCAGGAACGGTGTGAGAAGGTAAGCATGGAAGAAGTAAAAAAAACCTTTAGAATTACTCCACTGGGAAGTATAAAAGCAGGTGCTAATACTATACCACAGTGACACAGATCTTCAAATTAACTTTTTAAAACCATGGACAATTGAACTTCCTAATAATACAGGTTCAATAAGAAGAACATAATAGCGCAAACTTGATGGCAACAGAAGCAAAAATGTTAATAGAAATCAGTAAATCCTAGAACAAGCAAGGGCAGAGATCACACATCTTAAAGGGAGCAAGGGACTCTTGATATACAAAAACGGAAGATGTCCTCAAACTGAGGTCTGCTAGTCCTTGAAAGCGGCATGCTGACCATGACAAAACAGTTAAAATTTTCCACTAAGGTGACCTTTCTATTTTCAGGTTGCCTCTGAAAAAGCAGTGAGTACTTAAAAAGAAAAAAAATACTTAAGATATTAAAAATGAAAATAAATGTCTGCAAATTGTTTTCTGAAGCAATTTGATTTCCCTTTGTATAAATATTATCCCAAAATAATGAATGACTTCCTTCTCCCTGTTCGAGGAAAAACGAGTTGACATTTTAAACTTTTTTTACTTTCTGCACAAATAGCAAGCCTCAAAATAGAAAATTTCAAAAGAAGTACCCTATCAGATTTAGCTTGAGGGTTATGGTCTTAGCAGATGATTTGGGCTTCAAATGTGTGGACTGTGATTTTGGACACTGGTTTGTAAAAAACAGTATTTAAACTGAAATTAAATGGTGTACCATAGAAAAATCGCATTCGCATTTATCAATAAATAAAGTCTAGGAAATTACTGTCAGCATATATCAATGAATAAACACAGAAAAAAAATGATGCTATGGGTTTGATGCATTGAGTGTTACTGGTTATGGGCAAAACAAGCAGAGGGAGGCTTTGAAGAAAGGGATAATTAAAAAGTTGGATGCTATTCTGCAAGAAAACTAGGTTTGAAAATTTTAACCAAAAGCCAAAGAAAAGAGAGCTGAGAAATGATGCTTAGAAAACATTATTATCTAATGTTGACTTTGGCAAATCAAGGTCATTGGAAGAGTTTTGAAAGTCATTTACGAAGTAGAACTTAAATTTACTGCTTCAAACTGCAGTGATTTGTTGCTAATTAACCAAAACAAATTGATTCCATTTAATCAAATCATTTAAGCACTTTAAGCACAGACTTCAAGCCATCTTTGTCCAGAAAAGTATCATATGTGTAATTAGCTTCATCCAAGTTTCAAGGAGCAAAGCTATACCTCTTAAAACATCTTAAAACACTTCACAGAGTACAATCTGCACAGTAAATGCAAACAGTGACTCAACTTTTTGAATTAGATATAATATTTCAAGAATCACTGCAAAGGACATCTTTGTTCTTAGTCTACATTAAAACATACTTATTAAACACATCACCAAATATATACTCCCCTATCAAAAAAGATAGCTATCATGTATTACCTTATATAAACTTTCCTCCTCACTAAAACTAGAAACACATAATTTTTTTTTCATCAATTGAACACAAGTTTCCATTGATCAAATGAAAAGATGAAATATTTTCCATAAATTTGAGAAATTATCAATACAATGCTCATTTATGTGCAACAAAGCACTTTCCCTTCTGCAGAAATTGTTCAGCAATTTGTACTAGAAATATGATTTTTAGATTATGTTATTTTTATATTTCATAAAGTCTTTACTGTTGCAAAAATTCTTACACTTTCTTCTTCTAATGTAATTGAAGCTTCTAATCAGACATCTTTGAAGTGATACCCTGTCATTTAGAAGGCGGTATCTCCATGCTAGAGGCATGGAAAAATAAAGCACCAAGAGTATATTTCCATTGTTGGGTTTGGACCACATATGAATAAGCAAGATGCCTACAGGAAATGATGTTTTCAACTGCACATATTATCAAACCAGTGAAAAGAAGAATGGCTAAAGATGACTTGCAATCATTACCCTCTGCAGTCTTTGGGCATTCGTATATATAGGGACTCCTAGTAGTGACTGACACCAGAATAGTTGCTGATGGAATAAAGAGGATCTTCTTGAGCAAAGTACAGGCATCTATATTTCTCAACTTCTAGTACGCCTCAGCTGCTCTCATTTCCCAATTAAAATCTACCTCCTCTCCATTATTCAAATGGAAATGCTGAAAAAGTAATATATTTACTGAATGCTTTTAAGCAACAGTAGCTACCCTGTGAGGTTTTTGCTGCTCTTTGAAAATAAAAGGTGCATTTATGCTAAAGGAACACCACTGGCAGAGGAGCTCCACAAGTCTTCATCTTGTTTTCCTGTCAATCTTGTTTGATTCTTTAGGTCTGTAGACCACTAAAAAGAAAGAGTGCCAGAGAAATCCACTGTCTTTGGTAAATCTTTCTATTATTTTTCCTGAATTTCTTCCACAGTATTCTTCCACAATAAAGGTTAGATGTGAAATATTTCAGGCGAAAATCCTAGTGTTCTTCCGCAATAAAGGTTAGATGTGAAATATTTCAGGTGAAAATCCTGAAGAGATTCAAAGTCTCTGTTACTGATAGTCCATTTAAAATATTCACATTTGATGTAGACTTTTCAAGATTAAAAGGTAGAGCGGGAAGGTGGATTTCTCAGAATGATGATGAGAGGAGAATAACATTGGGAGAAAATAAAATTACTTTCAAATCCTTTGAACCTTCTGAAAGTAGAGCATCTAATTATAACTGCCAGACAACATAAGAGGAATTTGACATAAAAGTTACTCTTGAAAGCATTGACCAATTTACCAGATTACTGAGTTATAAGTACTGAGCAGCCAGGTAACCTAGACTTTGAAGGGCAGAAAATAGTAAGACAGACATGCACCAAGTTATCAATCAGGGTTTTCATAGGCTGAGAATGTATGGTTCTCTGGTATGACTGTATTTCTGAAGATGCATGTTCAGAAGTCCCTCCAGGACCTTCATAGTCCTAGTAAGGGAGAGAAGATTGTAAAAGGAAAAACTACATATATGCACCTATCTATCTAACATTATGCTCTCCTTAGTACTGTGCTAAGACTGTGGAAGTTTACAGTCATTAGTAAGTCAGTGATCAAGTATAAATTTGGCACATATTTTTCATTATTTAGATTCGCTGTTAAGGAAAGGTGACACTTGGAGTATTGTGTGCAGTTCTGGGGTCCTCAACATAAAAAGGACATGGAACTGTTGGAACAAGTCCAGAGAAGGGCCACGAGGATGATCAGGGGACTGGAGCACCTCCCGAATGAAGACAGGCTGAGGAATTTGGGGCTGTTCAGCCTGGAGAAGAGAAGGCTGCGTGGAGACCTCATAGCAGCCTTCGAGTATCTGAAGGGGGCCTATAGGGATGCTGGGGAAGGACTCTTCATTAGGGACTGTAGTGATAGGACAAGGGGTAACGGGTTAAAACTTAAACAGGGGAAATTTAGATTGGATGTAAGGAGGAAATTCTTTCCTGTAAGGGTGGTGAGGCACTGGAATAGGTTGCCCAGGGAGGTTGTGAATGCTCCATCCCTGGCAGTGGTCAAGACCAGGTTGGACGAGGCCTTAGGTGATATGATTTAGCGTAAGGTGTCCCTGCCCACGGCAGGGGGGTTGTAACTAGATGATCTTAAGGTTGTTTCCAACCCTAACGATTCTATGATTCTATGATTCTATGATACAAGTTTAGAATTTAAACTGATCTCCCAAGTGGCCCTGAAATACAGAGGAGATCCTTGCTCTTTGACCATTTTGCCACCTATCCAAAAGCAAGGTTATCCCCATCCACTGCATATTTTGTGCCTCAGTAATTTCTGAACAAGAATATAATAATTTTTCCAACCAAAAAAATGCCAAATTCACAAATATTACAGGAAGATCATTACAAGCTTAATTATGATTAAAAAGTGTTTCTTATTATTCCATCTGACCAACCAGTGAAACCACTAATAGGGAAAGAACAAACAAGAGGCATCTGTACAAATACAGAATCATGCCACCTCCTACATAGAAACTCTTTATATAGTCATTCAGTGTGGTAACATCAACATACAGTGTTTATCTTGGCAGTTCAAGGCTGTAAAACAATTTTATACAACAGTTTCCAAATGAGGGTTTTTTTTTGTTTTTTTCTTTTTCTCTGCTGTTTCAGAAAACAACATGCAGGATTTGAATCTATATTCAGACATAGATATCTACAGCACAGTAATTATTCTAGTAATACAATACTGGATTTCCTACAATAAAATTTCGTAGGAACTGTAATCACCATGAAAAACTAATTTTACACACTATTTTGAGACTGTTCCAGGTCATAAGAACCATTTAGTTACAAGCTCCACAAGGAGTTATTTGGTCTGAAGAGAGTAATTCTTTTTATGCACAAAAAAATCTTCAAAGATAATCTGGAAAGAATTTACGAATATTGCCTGATCCCTTCCAGGATTAAGTAATACATTCTTACGATTATGCATTTTTAAGATTTCTAGTTTCATTATAGACCTTGTAGTGCTAGAAATATTTTTGTAACTGCATTCACTTGTTCCTCAGGTCCAGAAAGTGCTGGGCGTCCTTTCTCTCAGATACACATCACAAATCAAACTCAACCCCAGTGCAAAGGTGCAATTTCATTTGCTTTCATAAAATATGCCTTTACTAAATTCCAGAGCAGAAATTACTCACTCTTATTTTCACTGTTTCAGGTATGTCTACATATGCATTAATGATCACTGAATCAGTACAAATCTTATTGATTTAGTAAGGTGCTACAACCATCAACAAAGCAGGAGAATTTGCATTTTGTGGCATCTGTGCTGCACTAAGTTGGAAAACTTGTTATTTTGTAATGAAAAGCAGGAAAACAATTTGTTTCAATGCCAGGCCATGTGACTTGGGGATTTGGGCTGTAAAAGTTAAAATCTTTCTGGCTGTGCTTCAGAATTTTTTGGTTCAATACAAAAATAATACTCTTCAAGGAGCACAGTTCCCTCGGTGCTCATCTTTCTGATGGCTAATGCTGAGTTTCACAGAGAATAAAATTAAACGGAGGTATCTTATTTAAGTGATATAACAAATATTTGTTATGGAAGTCAGGTACCAGGTTTAGTTCGTGGCTTCTTGGGTCTGCCAGATGGTCTACATTTAGATACAGACGGTTTGAGTTTTGCTTCTTTTGGAGCTGAAAGAAATACACTGGATTACAACATTATCCTTTCTACTGTATCACATGAAAATCACATTCTTCATGGCTGAAATGAAGCAACAGAGGGCTACTGGGAACAAATGCAAATGGTGAAATCAGACTTGCTAAGAAGGCTTCTCAAAAATCTTCCTAAGACTTCACTACCAAACAGCAAAACCCCTGCTTGTTCTTTGCTGTAGTAGTCAGTAATAAAATTTAAAATACACAATTGTAGCTTTCAATCACGTCAAAATGTTCCTCTCACTAAGTTAGCAATTCATTATTGCAAGACACCTAACAGGTAAAATAATAATGCTGTTTATTCTTTTGAACTCCAGGTTGATTTTAAGCATTCGAAAGACATATGTAGAAAAGTAAGCAAAAACATCCTGTATTTTCAACACTGTAAAGAAATTACTGGTAGTTAGATGGAAAAACATGGACTGCAAAGAAGAGTGGCCAACAGCTATGAAACCATGTATTACCTAGTGATGTTTTTGGTTTTTCAACAGTCTGAGAAGCTTTAGGCTCCAAAAGTGACAGTTTAGGGGCTAGAAAAGAAAAATTCATGTATGATCAAACAATCAGTAGCCTTATCAGCAGTAAACTTTAGCATTACAAGGGTTCAGGGTATGTGTTTTTAAACCAGCTAGATAAGCATGCAACTACTTCCTGCTCTTACACATAATACTCTTTACTCCTTTTAGGTTTGTTTCCTATGAAATTACACACTGTATGCTTGTGGTTAAGTGTGAGAGTCTGCTTCTGAGGCTTCTTCCCCATATTTACATCCTCAGGGCATTTTCAATCCATTGTTTGATTCAGTCAACAGACAAGGGCTCTGACTGAAGAAAAGACTGCAGTCTATAAGAAATACCAGAGAATCTATACCAAAGAGGAAACCTCTACATGCCAAAATCTTGCTGAGATGAGAACAGAAATATTTTAGTATTGGTCTAGTAATGTACACCATAATATTTATTGATCCAGTACCTGAATCACTAAAGACACAAATTCAGCTCCCTTTAACCCCCAAAAGAAGAAAATTAGTAGAGATACCTATTGTTTGATCAAAAAGCAGAAAAGGAAAAAAATGCATGACATGTTGATAACGTTCCCATGGTCAAAGAATGAATTGCATGTATATGAAATTTTCCCCTTCCCCTATAAGAAAGCTCTCCTATCTCCACTAAAATGGCAATCCTTTCAATTGAGTTCCCTGCAGGAGGACTAACTGATCATGAGTAGTACTTTACTTCAATCAACAAACTTTTGCAACTAGTAAAGGTGCCATCTTTGCCATAGTATGCCTGTGTGAAAGGGCAAGATGGGGACTAGCAAAAGAGATGATAGAAATAATAATCACATATATTTTTTTATATATGTGACATAAAAAAATACTTCTGTGACACCCAGAAGTAGTTTTTTTTCCCTTCAAGTCCTTTTAGAAGGTTAAAAACTAGAGAACTTATTTATATTTTTATCATTGGAACCAAACGAGTAGAAGTGATGAGCTTGACTCTCATTCCTCCTGTCAGACAACATCAAATGACTGATTTTAGAATGCTGAGTTAGTCAAGATGCACAGATCCTGGCCCTTTTAGGAAGTTCTATTTAGATTATTTGTAGTGAATATATCTCTCTGCATACTAACTTACAAAAATAGTGCGCAAAATTACCAGGTTTCACATGCTGCACTTCTGGGGTAGCAGATGGCTTCAGTTTAGAAGGAATAAGCGGTATTTCTTTTGGAGCTGAAAGAAAGAGCTCAGATGGCAATCAAGAATTGTTTAACAAGGGTTTTCCACAACAAACACCACATGCCTTAAGTTTATACTGAAGAAAAGACCACTTAGTATGGAAAGTCAAAGACACCTGATTAAATCAGTGCGGAATGGAGATGATATTGAAATGCCATGCACTGATCAGAAATAGATCCTATGTCTCCAAAACAATGAAACTTTCCACAGTGAAAGCTCTACATATCCCAGACAAAGACAGCACATGCGTGTGCATGAATGTAAAAGGGATAGACAGAACATTTAATAACAGGACGATGGTGTTTTTCATGCAAGAGGCAAGTTTTACTTCTCTGAGGACAGTAAAACCATCCTGAACTATGTTTTCATTCAGAGATATGTCAAGAACAAGTCTAATGACAATGGAAGAACAAAACTCTATAACCAGGAAGAAGAATAATTATGCATGTGAAATGATATACTAGAAGAAATGCTTTCATATGGATGAAATGCTCAAAACAAAGACAGAGCTTTTCACTAGGTGAAAACAACAAGATTACCTAATGTTACCCTTGGCCATTGAAAAGGATGAGAAGTTTTAGGTGTGAAAGATTCCAGAATGGATTCACTTGTTGCTGTCGGAGAAAATGGTAACAGTCATAAGAGAGCAATGAGGTCATAGCGGAAATTCTTCTTTCATAAGCAAAACCAAATTTGTTTCTATAAGAACAACAAATACTTCAACTATGTTTGGACACATCATTTTAGTATGCATTTGACAGAAATTCTGTCTTTTGAACACCACAGAGCTTCCGTGACTATAAATCATCGTATTTGTGAAGCGTAGAAATACTGGATGTTCATTTCCTCCTGCCCTCAGTGCAACTGGTCTAGATCTGAACCACTGCCAAGTAAGATTTTAAGTTGAGCATCTGAAAATTTTGAGGTTTCGTCCGCCACTTAAGGGAGATGGTATGGTGTAAATTGTAGGAATTTAATAAAGAGGACATGTTGAACAATCAATTATCAGATATTAAAAGCAAACAGAATCTGGAGTAGAAAGCTGACAAGCGATATAACTGTGGTTTCAGTCCAAAAGCATTGAGTGTCTGTAACTGTTAACCAATTTCATGCTTCATATCCTTTCAATATCCAATTTCACTCCTTCATATTTATAAGAAGGCTACAGCAGTAGAATGCAGCCTACAGCACACACAGAAGTATTTTCATCAGCATAACTGGACAAAAAATACTGTTTCTTTAATTATCTGTGGCATAGTTTTCAAAATACTGAAGGAGAACTATGTGACTATGAGTTACCATATGCATCGTAAGTGTTAAAAAGCACCAATTTTAAACCACTAACAGAAATCTAAATTCAAATTTCAGGTGTTAGGGTCTTATCCAAATGTGCACTGAAAGCGAGGATTATCAGTGAACTCACTTCAGTGAGTTTAAGAGCATGGTTTGAGCTACTGAATTAAGAACAAGCTAGAGATTATTGTACCTTGTCTAGCATCTGCTATTTCAAGCTTACTAGGTGTCACATGGCTTGAAAGAACAGCTGAATGCCATTGAAAGCTATAAAAATCCCAGGTTACAGTACCTGTGATTACTAGTTCTACACACAGGTTCTTCAGTTTAGAAAAAAAGTAAAATATTACAGGTTATAACATATTTAAATTTGCAGTGAAGAGGTCAACCCACAGTAAGCATGTCTTACCTTGACAATGGAGCAGTACTGTTTAGAGGGGGAGCTGACAAATAGAAGTGTAACCCAATCAAAGCTAGAAATACTTTAGATAGCATGGTCCACATAGTTTAAAGCTTAAGCGCAGAAAAAATAAAGGTAAAAGAACAAAAGTACTTCTAACACCATGCCTGTAAGAATGAAGTGCTCCAAAAAAGGCAGAAAAAAACCCCAACCCTACAAAACTAAAAAGCACTGCAAATATATTTCTGTAAAAAAGACTGCCTTAATTCTCCTCAGTACTTTGCTTTCTGTTAAGATTTGTTAGTGAATTTTAATTTATGAGTACATACACACATAGAAAACAATGGTAAAATAAAGAAAACCAAACTCCACTGCACAGTAAGAAATACTAAGAAGCTTACTATGCTGACATAAATAACAGTATACAAATGTGTATATCCATCAGAGTGTAACAATTAAGCTTGAAAGAAAAAAAAACAAGTAATTTTAAGATTTGTATCACACTTAAGGCATAATAATAATTAGGAAAAAAAAATTACTTCATTTAAGTATTCTCAGAATAGCCCTAGTAGCATTCTGAGAGACAAATGTAAGATCAGAAACACTATCAGATGAGTTTCTCAGCAGTAAACACAAGTTATCATGTAAAAAAGGGTACTTTTTCTATACTGATGGTCATGACTCAAGCAGAAAACTAGTATGGCAGATGATCAAAATATCTGGGATGAACAGAATTACCAAAATTACTATCAAAAGATAGTGGTTTAACTGAAGTGGTTTAACTGAAAAGCTAATACATTACTATTACCCGTAGTTGTTGTTAGCACATGAGGTGTTCTGGAAAGTGGAGACACACATTTTTCCAGGTCAGCTGAACTTGTAACTGCAGAAAAAGGTAAATAACCTTGAGAGATAGATTCATATTGGTGCAGACACAGGGGGGAGGAGGGGTACCAGGTGCGGGGGAGGAGGGCGAAAGCTGGAGGAGAGATCAGAAAAAGATTGCTTTACATTGATGTGCAAGATGGCAACACCACTATACTACAGTTTCAGAAGATTTCCAACTTGAAAATAAATGAACAAACCCCTAAAGTTTTGAAAAAGTCACACGTCCCTAACAGACACAACAGGACTCCCAATTGATCTGTGTATGTCTAACATCAAAAACACTGCGATTTGACTTCACCTGAAAAAGAGACCTACATATTTATATTACATGCAAATATGAATTTCTACAACCAGCTATTCCTAATACCAACACTTTGCTTGTTTCAGCTGAACAGATATTAGTAGTTTGAGTTAGAGGTTTTACTATATTACTACACATTATGTCATTAAAAATAAATTGTGGTATTTTATATAATAGACATAACATAAATTGACATAGATTTTGTAACATAGTGAAGAGCTAGGAAGTGACACAGAAAATTCAAAACAATACTACTGAAACATTGACTGTCAGGTTTAGGATAATTTTCCTTCACGTATTTTGCACATTAAAATCTTGGCTGTGAATACAAATTTAATCTTAGATATATATGAACCCAGTAAGAAAAGTTCCAAGGTGAAATAATAACATAACTTGGACAAAAATCTTAGTAACAGAGAAAACTGCAAAGTAAAGTGCATAGTATGACTAACAAGATATTTCCCAGGGTAAAACGTCCCAGTCAAGAGTATGTTTTCATAACTGATAATGACACTATATAACTGGTGGACCTTATAGCTGAAAGATTAAAACCACCCAAACCAATATTGATTCCTGTGGGTTTCATATTTGATCCTATGACACAGAATATCATCATGTAGCTATATAGCCTAACTACCAACACTGCAGACAACACCAAGCAACCAGAGCAAACAGCATGTAACTGTAACATCCTTGACACACAAACAAATTCTAAGCTATGGAAGAAACAAATACAATTTTCCAGACTCTATTTTTGATATTTCTGCAGATGCAGGCATTTGGGATGGGAAAGTAATATGATCAGAGTCCAGTGAAGCTGGAAAACAAAACAAAACAAAGAACTGTTTTCGGCAGCATCTGAACCTACAGACTGAACTAATTTCAGGCCACTACTAAGGAACTAGGGACTTGAGTCAGGAAAAAATCTCTGGTGCAGATAGAATGGATTTTCTAATGTCAATGTGCAAAGATGCACTGGTGATTTAAATGATAAAGAAGCTGTTGCAAGAAACATGAAGAGATAATCAAAGACATAAGACACCATAATGAAAAAATATGAAAAAAGAACATAAAAAGTAACTAAAAAAAGGGGGGAAATGCAAAGAAAGATTGCTTATGCCTTGCAGCACAAGATGTTACATAAAAAACATAGTTTGAAAACATTATTTAAAAATAGAAATAACAGAGATGTACAATTTCTGAACACAGAAAATATTCTCTTGCAGAAGAGAAGGCAGAAGGATCATAAAAGGATTAATATATGTAAAGAACCCCAGCATCATGGGAAAAGACCCTAAAGTACATGACATACAGATAACAAAAATATAATATTTTTCCAGTGCCATAAAAACACCCTTCAGAATCAGTTTCTGCTTCTTAGGTGGAGACACCAAGAAACACTGACAGCACATCTCTACGATCCAACTGTGTCTCAGTGGGAAGGATACATTAATAAAGAAGGATACATTAATACAGTTCATTACAATACTAACTTGCACTTGACTTCAAGTCTGGGGACTTACCAGCCTGCCCATATCATGCTTTTATTACCTCATGGGCCAAAAATTACTGCCAAGCCGCATAACTGGTCTTGCACACCTGCCAGTGTGAAAGCAGCTATCGCCACGAGCATCTCCACCCATTGCCATCAACTGCCATAGCCAATGCTTAAGTAAATACAGCTTTTCTGTGAACAGCAGTTTCAACCATACACTTATGCTTCACCCTTACACAGGCCAAAGAAAAACAATGGTTTGGCTAAAAGCACAGCAATAGCTCCTGAGAGAGCACTTCCCATCTGCACTGTGACCAGTTCTGCAAGAAATGCAGCATGGCCAGGCACCAAAGGCTGCCGGTGTTTCAGAGAAACATGCTGTGATTCACCAGAAGCTGAAAAGAGGCATCGTCCTTACAACCTTACATCCCTGATGTGACCCCAAAACCAGCAGTAGAGCAGAGCGCTCCCACTCCCAGGTACTGGCAACATAAAGGTGTGGGCAGATGACAATGGGCTGCCTTCAAAGTCAGCAGTGAAGCAACCAGTGGCTGCACCCTTGGACCTGCAAACACTGGTGGGCAGCTGAACCACAGAGCTGTCCTCTTGTGCCAACCCAGATCAGCACAGCCAGGATTTGCACCTTAAGAACGCTGTCGTATTTGAATGTGTCAGAGAAAGGAAGGTCTGCTACCAAAACAAATGAAGCAGGGCAATGGCAGACAAAGGCAAGGTGCAGTAATGTGTTCTCTACGCAAGCTGCCATTCAGTCCCCACAGAAAATGCTTGTCAGAAATGGAGAAGCGTGGGATGAAACAACAGAATCACAGAACAAGTGAGGTGAGCGCTTTGGCAAGCCAAGCTGCACCAAGTCTTCGTACTCTCCATGGAAGATGAGACGGATGCCAGGTGTTTTGAGGTGGGAGGCATGATAGGAAGAGACAAAGGGGAAAATGGAAAAAGAAGGGGGTTTGCTAGTTACCCATCACAGTTGGATGCGTTGTCAAGGAGGAAGGAGTGGTGGACTTCAGCCTGGGTCTTCGAGTAGCTAAGATCAAACACAGAAACCACCTTCAGGTCCTCACACAGGATGCTGTTGCATGGTTGGTATCAAGACAGAGCTATAAACAAGGAAATGCGGACCTGCTTGGAGCAGGCTTCCATGTCACGGCATCACTCCTGTAGTGTGCATGATGCCATGTTTCAACTGGCATAGGTAGCCTGAGGCAACAGAGTAAACCTAGAAGTGGAATCTCAGAAAAAGCAGCAGAAAAGCTTACAGGTGGAGCAATTTCTAATCAGGAGCCATAAAGGAACAACCGCATCATTGACCCACTCTTTTGGACACCAAAAAATCTGAACTGGCTCACTGCTGCAGAGAAAAGCATTGCCAAAGTAATCAGCGGAGGAAAGGAACCACTGACACTGACTATTTACCCTTCACAGTCCGTGTGGTTTTCAATGAAGCAGACGAGGTGGATTTCAGCTCCGGTCTCTGGGTTGCTGCAGTCAGACACAGAAACGACCTTGAGACACTCACACGGTTTTGCCACAGCAGCACAAGCAGCACTAGTTCACAGCACCCCAAAGGTCCATATTTAGGTTAACACACCCCTTCTCCTTGGAGTACCTTGTGACTCAGTGATCAAATCAGCAGGTAATTGTCTTGCTGTGGTTGCAACTAGCACAATACTGTTAAACTCAGTAGCTAAATGACTCTCCATCATCAGAAAAATGTCTAAATGTCTACTTTACCAACACACGTCTGACACTTTCCCAAAAGATGTTACAAGACCAGTTGTTGCAGACTGAACGTGGAGCAAAGAGACCTACTTTTGGACTCAGAATTCAAGATGACACGTCATGCGTTCATCTCAAATGCAAGGAAATACGAATTCTAAATTCTTCCATATTCCAGCTCTAAAGAATAAAATGCACATTATCATTTGAACACTCAGTCATAACTCCAGCTCTCTTTGAAGCTCAATAACTTCACCACAATTTTTTTCCTTACTGTTCTTGTCACTAATATTATTATTTTTTCAAAGAACAGACTGTGTAAGTCCTCACCATTCCCCTGAAAGGCTTCATCTTTCCCCATGTCATATAAAAGTTCCCATTCTTTCTTTAGGTTAGTCACTGAATCATAGAATCAGCTATGTTGGAAAAGACCTCTAAGATCATCAGGTCCAAAAATAACATGCCTATTCATCAAGCTTGAACTTCATTGTGGAATGAAACAGGGAAAAATTGTTTATGTCCTATAAGTAAACTATGAGACAGCTATACCACATCAATAGCAAGACTAAGAGGTAATAACACTATGCTGCTTATACATTGGAATTTTTCATTCTAGAAAGAATTTTCAAAATAAAAACTACATCTACAGACACACAGGAATTTAATGACAAATACTTTTCCCCCTCTGTCCCTGCAAAAAGTGATGGAAAAAAGCATAGGTTCAAACATCAGACTCACATCATTAGCATGTCAAGTGTTTTCACAAGCCAAAGTGCATTAACAAACCTAGTATTGCTCAAAGCAGATGAAAGTTTTGTCAAGTGATAGCAGGGGAAAAGAAACAAATATGAAATACCATATTTACCCTCCAATGTTCTTTGACTTGCAAGGTAAAGAGAGGTAGATTTCAGCTTTGGTCTCTGGGTAACTAAGATTAAACCAGAAAACTGCCTTCAGATATTACAGATGAACATTCCTTTTTCAAAGCAGTGTCAGTACAGAGTTTTAAATGAACGAAGCCCATATTCCATTCAGCTTTTACATAAATATCTGCATTCATTACAGCATTATTCTTTTTTTAAATGAGGGTGACCTAGCTGAGTTAGTGTAGAATACAGACAGTTAGCCTTTTAGTGAACTAGACCTATAAAACAGAAGATTACAGAGGGGGATTGAGAAGCTTAACAGTTATCTCATTGTCATTATTTATAGAAATGACTGACCACTAACACATTTGGCATTGCCACTAAAAGGGGGAAAAGGAAAATTCAAAAGTTATTGATTAAAATAATGCTTTTCATATATAAGTATTGCCAAAAAGAAATCATGCTGGAATATTGTTTACCCTTTACTGTCTTCCTGGTTTCCAGTGAAGAAAAAGATGTGGGCTCCAGTACTGGTCTTGGAAGAGCTAAGGTTAGAGACGGAAACTATCTTGAGATGTTACAGCAGTCTCTCTATAACAGCATCACTTTAATCGCATCCAGAAAAATCAGTATTTAAATTGTGGCTTATCAAGTATACTTTTCCTACCAAATAAATCATACAGCAATTTTTTGTCACTCCCTATAACCAAAAACCCCAACCACTAGTTGAACACTGTTCCTAGAAGACAATAATGGCAGTCATGATGTTCCAGAGCTGCATTTTAACTGCAGTAAATAACAGATCCACCAACTAATTTTCAGGCATCAAATATTTTCAAACTATTAATTGAGAAGTGGTCAACAAATATGTAACCAGAATCCCTGCCTGCTTCAAAGATACGGGCAAGTTTTTGAAATGACCACCTTATTTTAAATCTGAAAAAAACCCTAACCCCAAACTAAAACCCAGCAATTAACTAGCTCTGATTACTATACTTTTCACTATCCTAAAAAATCTGAACTTTGAGGTTAAAGTAACATATGCCTGGAAGAAACAATAGCTTCTCTGCAGAAAGATGCATACAGATGAACTTTAGGATTTTCATCAAGAGCTGAGCCAAATACTAGAAGAAATACTTGTTCCTTCTTAACCAAAATCTGTATGCATCTTTAATGGAACAACAGGAAAATGATCTTTTTACATGTTGGTATGAAATACTGGTCTTTTAGCACTTTGTACCAAAAATCCTTTATAGCTTCTGACCAAGGAGCGGTAGACACGAAGTAGTTCTTTAACAGGCTTGCCATTTAGACTCAGAAGCAAATGTGTTAACAGAAGAAAAAAAGCAAGCAAGTGGCAATGTGATGAAAACTAAAATGTAATCCCACATTGCTCACCCATCAATTTTTGTCTATAGTTTCCAAAAGGATGAAATGTAGACTTGAAGACTAATCATTGTGTAGCTAAATTATAATATGAAAGTCATAATGAAATAAGCAGTCTCTGCATAAGTGATAACACTGTGGTTTTAAAAGAAAAAAGTAAGTCTCGGTTGAAAGTGGTTTTCATTACTTGAATAACCACATCAGTTTTTTAGGTTCTGTAGAGCACAATATTAATCAGTCTTCAAGAGGCAGAGTTCAAACAGGCTTGAAGAACTTTTGCAAGTAAACATTTGCTAGAAACAGTGAACAAATGACCAACTAAACAATAGATTCTTAAGGGAGATCATTAAGTTCATTCAAGGACCCACTCCAGGGGAAATAACATATAAGCAAGTATTTCATTGCAGGCTTCACTGGGTGGCTGAGCAGCCTCACCCTCCTTTAGTTGAAAGGTTCTTCTATTTGCTCTCTTTTCTTCCTTCCCCTTCCTTCCTCCCTAACATGCACATGCAAAACTAAATCCCAGAATTCCTTAGGTTATTCCAAGGAAGTCCTTTAAGTACAAACAACATAACATTCTAATGGTTCCCATCTCACACATACGTTAATTAAACATTATTGTCATATCTAATTACATTTTTAACTCTCCTTCAAATCTGGGACTTATTTTTGCATGTTTACTTTGAATTCCAGACTAGATCACACACTATTTTCTCAATTCTCCCAAACACTGAAAGTGTTGGGAAACTGATCCCTCTGGTTTGAAAAGAGAGCAGTGTAACTTTCTTTATTGGCAAAGCATGAGAATGAATAATTGAACTTGGATGTGCTATTATACAAATACATAGAAAACCATCACCGAAACTTTCTGTTAAGGCACTTGATTGTAAGTTATTGATCAGTATGAAAGATGCATAATCATAAATACTTACTAAAAACTCTGAAGAATAAATGCATAAAACTTCAAACATCTCCATTTATTGAATTTAAGAATATTTACTTGAATCGAAAAGCTTTGCCATTAACCCACAACTATAGGCAGTTGGACAGTTACTTAAAGTTTCCTGCAAAATACCCCTTTAGCCCACTTTTTACTGCAAAGGAGCTCTAGCAGCAACTTGAAACAGACTTTGGATGGAATTATTATTGAAAAGAAATTAAATATTTCTTCATATAGAGTCAGTAAAAGCAGATCTGTAAGCACTAATAAAATTGTATTTGTTCAGTGTCATTTTATAAGACATTGGTAAATTTTAGCTTATTTTCTGAAGACAGGAAGAAGAATAATACTAAAGAATAAATGTTGGCAAGGAAGAACAAGAAAATTATATAATTTAGATTATGATATATCAATAAGTGTAATTTAAATGTAAAAAAATACCATCTTCCAACCAGTTTAATTTTACTGGAGTCTGATATAACAGGTATCAAAAGTGTGTTTGAAAAGCATCTCGTCTACCATAGATGCACCAGCTCAAGATCAAGTCGCAAATATTTTCCTTAATTGCAATGCTGTGCAGTTTAGTTTAAATATGTGCACACATGTGATAAGCAAGCTTTTATTTCTTTTAGTCTTGGACATATGCTGTTGCATTTACTGGCAGCAAAATGTCTACCTTAAATAACTGCTTTAAATATATTCAAATGAAAGGACTTAAGGGTGCATTTTCCAGTATTTTGAAGCCTACATATTCACTGTTACTGATCCTGTTATTTCTATGGGACATACTCAACACTATCAACCATTAGAACAGTTTCATTGAGGGGTTTAAACAAAACTTATATTAGCTTTCACTCTCACCCATATGCAGTATTGCAACGTAAAAAATGAGAACACTACTAGATTTAATAAGACACATCAAAGCCTATTATCATCAAGGACAGCAATATAGACTTGTAAATGTATTAAGAATGATGACCAAAATTAGAAGAGAGTATTTAGTCTGGTATTCAAGAGAGCAAATTAATTATGACAGTTCTGTAATTATTCTGATTAATTTCAAACTTAACTAACAATATACCATAAGTAAGATGAAATCTCTGTGAGAATTTCTATTTTAAAATAACATTTTCAAGTATTACCAGGTACAACTGGTGGCATTTCTTGGATGCTAGATGTTTCAGCTCTTGAAGAAATGGGTTGCTTTTCATCAAAAGCTGAAAGTAAACCTGGAGTTAAAATGTGAACTGACTTCAGAGCCACAGGATTTTGACAGCAGCTGTTGGAGAGTTCAAGACAACACCTATGTGAGATCAAGCAAGATGTCAGCAGCTTTAAGGATGAGCTGTGAAATGCGGTGTCAAATAAACAACATAAACACTGAAACTGGTGTGAAATGAAGTAGGGTCAATTCTTCTATCTCATGCTAGGTAGAATTCTCAATGTTTTGGGAGGGGAGTTTGGTTGTTTTTTTGTGTGTTTATTTGGGTTTTGGTTTGTTTTTTTTAAGTACTTATGCTTAGAAAAAAAAATGCAACTACCAGAAGAAAATTAAAGGCAACATATGTTAGCAGAGGTCTTTTTGTAGACTATTTAGTCAGTGTGGTTAGTTATTTTTCAGCTTTGATTAGACAGAAATGGCCAAGTTGTGGATGGACAGACAAACAAGACTAACATCAAGTAGTTTTCAAAGCAACGTACCTGAATGAATCTTAGCATTATCCACAGCTAATGGAAGTGATGGCAAGGGATGGAAAAGCTAATGGAATTACATGCTATTTACCCATCATGCTCCCTCTGGTTTCCACGGAGGGATGAGATGTGAATTTCAGGCCTGGTCCCTGAGTAGCTAAGATCAAATAAGAAAACAATCTTGAAACAATGAGTGAGATTGGTCTTTAGATAAGATAACCTTTGGCCCTTTATTGACAGGTCCAAAAGATCTAAATTTATATTAGATTTCTTGTATAGATAACTCTAACAGATATTTGTAGTAGCCTGCTCCATTCTTTGTCTTAGGGGTTGGTGGTTTTGGGGTTTCTTTGGATACATGACAACTAATTTTGCCACATTTACTACAAGGCCAGCTGGCTGCATGTGATTTCAGAATTCTGTTCAATAGCAGCAGCTGCCAGGAACCCCCTTGCCCCCACACTCTAGTTTACATGTTCCAGATAAGTCTTTTAAATAAGGAGCTGCAAATGTTTAATGCTGTTTTGATACAGCATATGCCTTCACATTATAAATTAGGCATAAGTTATGAATCAGGGCTTACTTCAACCTGAACCTCACCCCCCCACCCCCCCCCCCACCCCCCCCACCCCCCCTTTATGCACATGAAGTTGGAAATTGTATACATCCAGCATGGACAAAAGCCTGTACATGACTTCTTTAGGCAAAGAGACAGAGTAAATTAACAGCTCAAATAAAAAGAAGCATTGTTTTTCTGCACACAAAAGCCCACTATTTGACATCAAAGGTAGAAACTTTATAATTTAGTTTCTAAACACATTTGATACAATGTGGGATTACACATTAAATCCAGCTGGCCTGCATTTTGGAAAGTCATGTGGGAAGAGTTCACTGTGTTAAAAAAAAGCAGGTGGTATCAACCTAAAAGAATATCACAGAATAAGTGAAACAGCGTAACTGAGGAGGGCATCAAGCATGTTGGATGCTGAAGAGAGTTCCATCAAATGAACATTTACAGTGCAAAAACTTGAAACAGTATGAACTTGTATTAAAATTTTCAGCTTTAGAAAGACATGATTCCATTCACACAAAGACAGAAAATACATCAGAATCACAAAAAACTTGATCACACTATATATGTGTTCTGTAAAACATGAAGTGTTGAGATGCTTTAGAATTTTTCCTAAAGTCTGAAACAAAAGAGGCTGAAGAGTAAGTTTTCACAACCAGAAGTCATTAAAAGAAAATATATTGGTGTTTGTCTGAGAAATTATCATATTAGACATCCAGAAAACATAATAATTTACCAAGTTCCACTTTACTTGGTTGCAAAGGTATTTGAACAGTTATTGTAAAAAAAACCCTAACCAAACAAATACCATGTTCAGCTTGAACCTGTCAAATCACCCTTTATCACAATAATTATTTATGTAATCATAATTTTGAAGTATAGGATTTTAGGGAAATTACACTACACAAATAGGGTATTATGAGTGAAATAGTACTGTCATTTATTTATTTGAATAAAGTACCACCATTTATTTATTTGAATAACTACCCACTGATGGCTGCTGGTAGTTACATTTAATTCAGGGAATCTGTTGATATGGCACTTTTGCAAAATCATAGACTCATAGAATCATAGAATTGTTAGGGTTGGAAATCAGGATAAATGACTTGGGGCAGGGCTAAATATTGATGTAAATCAGTAATTATATTATGAGTAAATTCACATTGAAGCAAATTACACATAAACAATTATAATCTGAGTCATCTCTTAAAACTTTCAGAAAAATCATAATTTGTGTATAATATAGAATTACAAAAAAAAAAAAAAGCTATAATACTCCATTATTCTGTCATGAGAATCCTAAAAGCCAACTGTTTCAATGTTGTAATCCCAAATGCAGCAATGTATCACCTTCCTCCTGTAATAATATTAACCCCAAGGTAAAGAAATGTAAATTAACAATACAACCAAAAGCAGGACATTCCTTGTGAGAATTCCTAACACTAATAAAATTACATTTTCAAGAAACATCATTACCAGATTTTGTTGATAGCATTTCTGGGATAGCAAATGTTGTGGTTCTTGAAGAAATAAGCTGTGTTTCATCAGAAGCTGAAAAAAGAATCTGAGTTTTAAAACTTGCAGCGGCATCAAAGCCACTAAAATACTATGCAGAAGCTGTTCTGTAAAAAGAAACGATACAAATAAAAATCCAGACAGAAAATGGATTAAGAGTCAGCTGTAGGATGATTGATAGAACAGCAAACAAACTGACATCTCCTATGGCATGGATACAACACGAGTTTGATCAGAGTGGTATTCTCGCAGCTGTTACATTTCCAAGACACAGAATTTGTATCTTTTGGAAGATCTTGGGTAGAGAAAATTTCAAATATGAACTAAATCTACGTAAGTTGCCTACAGTAATACAAGAGTATGTTCCTCAGTTAGTCAGAGTAGAGTGTTTTCAACTTCCTTAATAAAAAGAAATAATTGACATGAAAGTACTGCAAAAGAAACTCAAGAGACACATTTTGCTTAAAGATAATGACTTCTGGTCTTACCTCACTGCCACAAAGCTACTTTGGTATAAACAGGATTACTGACAAAGACCACCCTTTGGTGGAAAATGGTTTAAAAATAACTTGATGTTTTTATGACAATATTTTAATGAAAATAAACACAACAAAATTCAGATTCTATCAGATAACTAAGACCACCATTAGAAAAATTATGCAGCCAGCATGAAAGAAACATGCTCTGTTTCTACAGGCAGTGGTATATAAAAAACTGGAGTAGGTGCTCTTGATGTTAAGAATCTATGTGGCCTCATTTTTACGTCAAGAGAGTTATTGATGTGGTAGTTCTGAGAGAACATGCCATAGAGAGCAGTAGTGCCACACTGACTAGCTGCTAAAAGTTTTCCATATAGTGAAGATGTTTTGACTGAAATGACCTTGGACAAAATTAAGTTCTCAGCTCTAAAAGGATACAAAAATATTGCATTCATACAGAGGCAGGATAAATGTTAGTACCAACCATGGAGTATTAACACAGCTGGGTCATGTTTGTGTTCAGTATGAATACTGCGATAGACAAAAGCTAAGACTTTACTAAATTTATTTGTGATGAGAAATAAAAGGACCACTGACCAAAGTTTAACAAGTAAGACTAGGGAAAACATGCATAGTGTATATATGCATGTTGTAATGAGGTGTTCTCCAGATGACAAAAAACATTAATGATCATTTACCCAATTACACTTCAATGTTGTCAGGTGTAATAGGTTTGAAAGGTGCTTGAATATTTACTGTAATAGAGACATATTTTCATCTGTTAGGATTTTAGATCACATCGCCTTTCACAAATACGTTGCTAACAAATTCACTTTTTCTGTAGCTGTGTTTCCTAATTCGCACTTAAGCAATACAGGACCACATGCAAGAAGATATCCATTAAGGAAGTTTTGGACTTATTAAAATAAAAAAACATCAGCACTGAGATGGTATGTACAACTTGAAAGGACCAAAAAATAAACATCTATTTTATACCAAAGAATTCAAGGTCTGATAAACCACTGCTTTGTGCCTTCGGCAGCTACTCAGCCCTGCACACAGTGAATAACCAACCAAACTGATTTCAGAGGAATTTATCCACGTATTCTACTAATAATACATCAACAAAATAAGAGTACGAAAGTGCAAGTGAGTTTAAAACCCAGGCTGGAAATAATATTACATTATTTACAGTATTATTCTAGTTTGAACATTCTGATCAGCGAAGTATAGACTTGCTATTCTTGAAGTTATTTTGCAGTTTATACCTTAAGTGTGCACTTTTTAACATGCACACTTAAATGATGAACCATCACAACATGACATCATCTGCAACCATAGACTTGAAGGTTAAGTGTCTGAAGAGTAAAGAACTGAAAAAACATAAAAACATATTCTGCAAAATTTTATAAAAAGAGGTTAATGTACAAAGATGTGTAAACACACACATATGATGCACAAAATGAAATAGAATGTCATGAGTAGAATGGAAAAACCTTTTGACAGTTAATAGGAATGTAGGACTGAAAATGCGCAAAACCACTGCATAAAGGGAGGCAAAGGGAAAGCAAATTTTCTAGATGATGATACTGAAACAATTCCAATTATAAAACCTGGCACAATTAAAACAATATAGAAAGGGATCCAGACATCACCAGAGAGCAAAGGGGAAGGCAATACCCTTACACCAGTAACTTTATGAGTTTTATTATAATAACAAGTGTCCAATTTCTCCACCATGAAAACAAGAAAGTTAAGAAAAGTCCCTTAAGTGATGCAAAGCAAGGAATGTAACTTCCCTGGAAAACACCATGAAACATGTGACACATCTAAGATGATAGGAAAGGAAATCAAGCATCTACAGACAGACGCGTCACAATAACATTGCAAGAAACTCAATATTCATTGCAATTTTAACTTGCATCCAATTTTAAGTCTGGGGGCTTACCAGCCTGCCCATATCATGCTTTTATTACCTCATGGGCCAAAAATTACTGCCAAGCCGCATAACTGGTCTTGCACACCTGCCAGTGTGAAAGCAGCTATCGCCACGAGCATCTCCACCCATTGCCATCAACTGCCATAGCCAATGCTTAAGTAAATACAGCTTTTCTGTGAACAGCAGTTTCAACCATACACTTATGCTTCACCCTTACACAGGCCAAAGAAAAACAATGGTTTGGCTAAAAGCACAGCAATAGCTCCTGAGAGAGCACTTCCCATCTGCACTGTGACCAGTTCTGCAAGAAATGCAGCATGGCCAGGCACCAAAGGCTGCCGGTGTTTCAGAGAAACATGCTGTGATTCACCAGAAGCTGAAAAGAGGCATCGTCCTTACAACCTTACATCCCTGATGTGACCCCAAAACCAGCAGTAGAGCAGAGCGCTCCCACTCCCAGGTACTGGCAACATAAAGGTGTGGGCAGATGACAATGGGCTGCCTTCAAAGTCAGCAGTGAAGCAACCAGTGGCTGCACCCTTGGACCTGCAAACACTGGTGGGCAGCTGAACCACAGAGCTGTCCTCTTGTGCCAACCCAGATCAGCACAGCCAGGATTTGCACCTTAAGAACGCTGTCGTATTTGAATGTGTCAGAGAAAGGAAGGTCTGCTACCAAAACAAATGAAGCAGGGCAATGGCAGACAAAGGCAAGGTGCAGTAATGTGTTCTCTACGCAAGCTGCCATTCAGTCCCCACAGAAAATGCTTGTCAGAAATGGAGAAGCGTGGGATGAAACAACAGAATCACAGAACAAGTGAGGTGAGCGCTTTGGCAAGCCAAGCTGCACCAAGTCTTCGTACTCTCCATGGAAGATGAGACGGATGCCAGGTGTTTTGAGGTGGGAGGCATGATAGGAAGAGACAAAGGGGAAAATGGAAAAAGAAGGGGGTTTGCTAGTTACCCATCACAGTTGGATGCGTTGTCAAGGAGGAAGGAGTGGTGGACTTCAGCCTGGGTCTTCGAGTAGCTAAGATCAAACACAGAAACCACCTTCAGGTCCTCACACAGGATGCTGTTGCATGGTTGGTATCAAGACAGAGCTATAAACAAGGAAATGCGGACCTGCTTGGAGCAGGCTTCCATGTCACGGCATCACTCCTGTAGTGTGCATGATGCCATGTTTCAACTGGCATAGGTAGCCTGAGGCAACAGAGTAAACCTAGAAGTGGAATCTCAGAAAAAGCAGCAGAAAAGCTTACAGGTGGAGCAATTTCTAATCAGGAGCCATAAAGGAACAACCGCATCATTGACCCACTCTTTTGGACACCAAAAAATCTGAACTGGCTCACTGCTGCAGAGAAAAGCATTGCCAAAGTAATCAGCGGAGGAAAGGAACCACTGACACTGACTATTTACCCTTCACAGTCCGTGTGGTTTTCAATGAAGCAGACGAGGTGGATTTCAGCTCCGGTCTCTGGGTTGCTGCAGTCAGACACAGAAACGACCTTGAGACACTCACACGGTTTTGCCACAGCAGCACAAGCAGCACTAGTTCACAGCACCCCAAAGGTCCATATTTAGGTTAACACACCCCTTCTCCTTGGAGTACCTTGTGACTCAGTGATCAAATCAGCAGGTAATTGTCTTGCTGTGGTTGCAACTAGCACAATACTGTTAAACTCAGTAGCTAAATGACTCTCCATCATCAGAAAAATGTCTAAATGTCTACTTTACCAACACACGTCTGACACTTTCCCAAAAGATGTTACAAGACCAGTTGTTGCAGACTGAACGTGGAGCAAAGAGACCTACTTTTGGACTCAGAATTCAAGATGACACGTCATGCGTTCATCTCAAATGCAAGGAAATACGAATTCTAAATTCTTCCATATTCCAGCTCTAAAGAATAAAATGCACATTATCATTTGAACACTCAGTCATAACTCCAGCTCTCTTTGAAGCTCAATAACTTCACCACAATTTTTTTCCTTACTGTTCTTGTCACTAATATTATTATTTTTTCAAAGAACAGACTGTGTAAGTCCTCACCATTCCCCTGAAAGGCTTCATCTTTCCCCATGTCATATAAAAGTTCCCATTCTTTCTTTAGGTTAGTCACTGAATCATAGAATCAGCTATGTTGGAAAAGACCTCTAAGATCATCAGGTCCAAAAATAACATGCCTATTCATCAAGCTTGAACTTCATTGTGGAATGAAACAGGGAAAAATTGTTTATGTCCTATAAGTAAACTATGAGACAGCTATACCACATCAATAGCAAGACTAAGAGGTAATAACACTATGCTGCTTATACATTGGAATTTTTCATTCTAGAAAGAATTTTCAAAATAAAAACTACATCTACAGACACACAGGAATTTAATGACAAATACTTTTCCCCCTCTGTCCCTGCAAAAAGTGATGGAAAAAAGCATAGGTTCAAACATCAGACTCACATCATTAGCATGTCAAGTGTTTTCACAAGCCAAAGTGCATTAACAAACCTAGTATTGCTCAAAGCAGATGAAAGTTTTGTCAAGTGATAGCAGGGGAAAAGAAACAAATATGAAATACCATATTTACCCTCCAATGTTCTTTGACTTGCAAGGTAAAGAGAGGTAGATTTCAGCTTTGGTCTCTGGGTAACTAAGATTAAACCAGAAAACTGCCTTCAGATATTACAGATGAACATTCCTTTTTCAAAGCAGTGTCAGTACAGAGTTTTAAATGAACGAAGCCCATATTCCATTCAGCTTTTACATAAATATCTGCATTCATTACAGCATTATTCTTTTTTTAAATGAGGGTGACCTAGCTGAGTTAGTGTAGAATACAGACAGTTAGCCTTTTAGTGAACTAGACCTATAAAACAGAAGATTACAGAGGGGGATTGAGAAGCTTAACAGTTATCTCATTGTCATTATTTATAGAAATGACTGACCACTAACACATTTGGCATTGCCACTAAAAGGGGGAAAAGGAAAATTCAAAAGTTATTGATTAAAATAATGCTTTTCATATATAAGTATTGCCAAAAAGAAATCATGCTGGAATATTGTTTACCCTTTACTGTCTTCCTGGTTTCCAGTGAAGAAAAAGATGTGGGCTCCAGTACTGGTCTTGGAAGAGCTAAGGTTAGAGACGGAAACTATCTTGAGATGTTACAGCAGTCTCTCTATAACAGCATCACTTTAATCGCATCCAGAAAAATCAGTATTTAAATTGTGGCTTATCAAGTATACTTTTCCTACCAAATAAATCATACAGCAATTTTTTGTCACTCCCTATAACCAAAAACCCCAACCACTAGTTGAACACTGTTCCTAGAAGACAATAATGGCAGTCATGATGTTCCAGAGCTGCATTTTAACTGCAGTAAATAACAGATCCACCAACTAATTTTCAGGCATCAAATATTTTCAAACTATTAATTGAGAAGTGGTCAACAAATATGTAACCAGAATCCCTGCCTGCTTCAAAGATACGGGCAAGTTTTTGAAATGACCACCTTATTTTATTTTTCTGATCTCTTCTACATTACCCTCTTCTAGCAACATTTAATGATTCACTAACCAAATCAATAACTGCCATTTCCTGTGATTAAAAATTCATGAGGTATTCTTAAGAACAGCAGCTAAATCTGTTTCCACCTATGGAGAAGCTTTTGTATCCAATATAAAAGAACCTGATATGCATAAAAGTAGCAGATTTGACATGTTAGCACTTAACCACTTCGAATAACAGGCCTCCATAAACATACAATCCTTCATGAAAAAAAAACCAACAACCCCACAAGACAATCTGTCCTATTGCTTACAAACATAAGAAAAAAAAAATCTTATCATTCCAGCATTTCATTCTCAGTATCTCAAATGTTGTAGCAGATGTAACTGCTATCTCTTCAGTTACGCTTTTATACAGAGCAACTTAGAGTAAACTCTCCGTTTAGGAAAGCATCACTGTGACTTTGAGAGACCGACTAGATGTCAGAACTACAGTGAAGAGAGATATCATTACCAGCTGAGATTGGTGACATTTCTGGCATGCTAGATGTTGTGGATTTTGAAGAAAAAGCCTTCCTTTCACCTAAATCCAAAAGGAATCTTGTATTAAAAGGCTTAATTGCCTCAGATCTACTATGGATAGCACAGGACTCAGCAGACAAATGCTGCATTGGTAAAACTGAAGTACAGGGAAATTTGCTTGCAAATCAGCTAGGCATTACTGGTCTTATGAACCGTTAGGGGGTGTGGACTCAACGTGGAAACCATGTGACTGAATTATTCAAACTAAAGAGGATCATAGAATGGTTACAGTTGGAAGGGACCATAAAGATCATCTAGTTCCAACCCCCCTGTCATGAGCAGAGACACCTTTCACTAGACCAGGCTGCTCCAAGCCCCATCCAACCTGGCCTTGAACATTGCCAGCGATAGGTCAGCCACAACTTCTCTGGGCAACCTGTTTCAGTGCCTCACCAACCCTCACAGTGAAGAACTTCTTCCTAATATCTAACATAGGAAAAATATCTTATTACTAGGAAAGAAATCTTATCACTACTTACTTATTTTAACATAATAAGAATTATAAGTTGTAAGAAAACACCTTTTGATCCAGAAAACAGTCAGTGGGTCAGCCAATGTAAAAGCTAGTCAAAACAACCTTTTCACAAGATTACACAAAACCAACCTGTTGAGTGCTTAATTCCCTCTCACAGTTAAGTTCTCCCAGCATAAAAAATACCCCAACTAAACCAAACAACAACCCCCCTTCCCCCACCCCCCCCAAAGAAAACCAAACCCAAACCCCAAACTGAGAAAGGCAGGTACATGGCTGGGAACCTCAATAATGAGAAAACCAAACCCAAGAAACTAAAGGGAACCCACATCTATGACCCCAGTCTTCCATCTACAAAGATGAAGGATGAGTGCAGATGAGATCCTGGTTAGTGGCAGCAGTAAGTGGGGAGGAGGCCCAGTTAGAATTTCTAAGGCCCGGTTAGAATTACTAAGGCCCAGCTAGAATTAAACTTTGCTAGGGATGTGAAAGATAACAGGAAGGGGGGGTTGGAACTAAATGATCTTAAGGTCCTTTCCAACCCTAGCTATTCTATGATTCTATGAATTACATTGCAAATAAAAGACAGACTAAGGACAATGTGGGCCCCCTCCGGAAGCTATAGAGAGAACTGGCTACCCTGGATTTGGAGAAGGCTGAGGTTCCTAATGACTTCTTTGCCTCAGTCTTTACTGGCAAAGGCTCTGACCACACCACCCAGGTCTTGGAAGGGAGATGAAGGGACTGTGAGAATGAAGACCCTAGGCCCACTGTAGAAGAGCATCAGGCTCGAGACCATCTTAAGAACCTGAACATGCACAAGTCCATGGGACCTGGTGAAATCCATCCACGGGTCCTGAAGGAGCTGGCAAATGAAGTTGCTAAGCCGCTGGCCATCATATTTGAAAAATCATGGCAGTCAGGTGAAGTTCCCAACAACTGGAAAAAGGGAAATATAACCCCCATTTTCAAGAAGGGAAAAATGGATGACCTGGGGAATTACAGACCAGTCAGTCTCACCTCTGTGCCTGGCAAAATCTTGGAGCAGATTCTCCTGGATGGCATGCTAAGGCACATGAAAATCAACAAGGTGCTTGGTGACAGCCAGCATGGCTTCACTATCTGAAGGAGGACTATAAGGATGCTGGGGAGGGACTATTCATTAGGGACTGTAGTGACAGGTAATGGGTTAAAACTTAAACAGGGGAAGTTTAGATTGAATATAAGGAAGAAGTTCTTTACTGTAAGGGTGGTGAGGCAGTGGAATGAGTTGCTCAAGGAAGTTGTGAATGCTCCATCCCTGGTGGTGTTCAAGGCCAGGCTGGACAGAGCCTTGGGTAACATGGTTTAGTGTGAGGTGTCCCCACCCATGGCAGGGGGTTGGAACTAGATAATCTTAACGTCCTTTCCAACCATAACTAATCTATAATTCAATGAATTAGTGGGATGGTGATAACTAAAGCAACACAAAGCTTCCAAAACCAGCAGCAAGGATAAAAAAAAGGGGGGGGAGGGAAGGGGGGGAGAAAAAAATTTGCAACTAAATAAAGTCATCTTATCAATTTTATCCAGTGCTGTTTCTAATAAGTGAGGTTCTGTAGTAATTTTGGGCATGGATATTTCCAACTCAGTATATCTCCAGCTGCAGGGTGTGAAAAGGGGTAAGTAAATACCCCTGAGAAATAACTTTATGTAAATAAATTCAGAAGGAAGATGAGAAATTTTACCCTTGACTGCTCTGCAGAGTATTTTTAAAAATTGCTGTTTATTTATTTATGAACTCAAACTTCTTTTTCCAAGTATTTTCAATACCTTCACTAACTAGTTAGCTGAAGATAATAGTCTAGTTTTTGCAAGTGTGCAAATGTTCACAAAAATTTTGATAAACAATGCATATATAGTTTTACATGTACTTAAATAGCACCTGAAAAAACAGCTGTACAACTTACTGTACCACTTAAAACACATCTTTCCAGGAAGTTAAGAATTCTTCAAAAAATTTAGGAAAAAAATGTGATCTGGGGAGGTTAAAGTCTCTTGGTACCACTTCATTAACTCAACTCTCAATTTCTGTCCCAGGTATCCCATGTAACAAAATGAACGAAGTTGATTTGAAAATCATTGCCTGGGAATAAGATGCAGTGTAGCAGGTTTGAACTCTTGAAAACTGTACTGCAATGCCAAGAACCAGTAGGTTATACAGCAGAGGACTTAATAAACTATAGTTGCATTACTCAGAGTAAAGTGTTGGGCAAGGAACTGCTTTCCTTCCCCCTTCACCACCTCCTACCCCTTCCTCATTACCCTCATCTCTTCTGCACATACTTGTTCATATTCAAGCTTAAAAAAATTAAGCATCCTCACATCTCAAAGGTTACAGAAAAAAACAACTACCTATCTCCAAAGCTGAAATCTAAAGTATACCTTAGTCAGAAAAGGTCTGGACTGAGATATGTTTACTTTCTTATTTCAAGACAATACATCAGAAAAATCACAGCAAAAATGTGTATGGGCATTGAAAAACAGACAGAAAGAAGGAGAATGAAAACAATTTCATCAGTAAAAAAACTGTAACCGTCTTAAGCTTTGAAAATTTTAAATCTTTTCCTGACACATCCATTTTATCAATACTATAGTCTTTGTTTAAACTTGTTCTGTGAGGATGCTGTTACAGGACTTGAAAAACTAACACATGGGGCAACACACATTGCAAGCAAGAAGGAATAACTGTCTGAAATCATAAACATGGAAGTAGCACCAACCAACCAAACAGAAGGGTATGTTTCTGAAATAATAGCACTATAATTTACCAGTGCCTCGTATTTCTGAAGCTGTAAAAGTTTGGGGAGTAGAAGTAACATGAAGAAAGTCACGTGAAGCTGGAAAACAAAACCAAAAATAATGTTGTATCGTTTTGAAGTGGTAAGAACCATCATCCAACAGCACCATATTATTTTATGAGCTGAAGAAACTTCTAGGTAATATTTAGCACATTGTGTTCTGCAGAAAAATAAGACTCTGAAATGTACAATAACCAAGTAAGTATGACTTGAAAAAAGTTCCAAAACCATACATAAATGCACAGATACATAAGGCAACGAATTACCAAACTGTCAGCAGAATCACACAAAAAGAAGCTGAACTATAGAGTTAAAAAGAAAAATATAAAGCTGCTCAAAAAAGAACAAATTACAAAAAATAGTAGCAAATTGGGACTGCATGGAATTTTTTTCTAGAATTCCAAGAATCAAGAAGGAAGACATATTGGTGCTGAAACTGGGAAAGGATGACAAAGCAGGAACTGTACCAAATGAAACATACAATATGTCTGTTGTCAAACATGAGAATGGCTGATAGTTGCAATCAAGCCCTCCTTTATTAATGGATTTTCTTCAAAAATTAATTTCTTCCAAAAACGTATTCGTCAGGCATGTTAATGAAGTGAAATCTTTCCAACTGGCTCTCATCTTACTTTGTTTTTTTTTCTTCTTTTGGATAACTGTCAGTGGCCCCAGGTAAATAACTAGCTATTACAAACTCATCTATAAAATAAAAGAAACCCGTCACAGAAATTATCAAAGGACCAAGTAGTCAGTGTCTGAATCTTCAATGACATGTTTTCATAGTGCTAGTTTTGAAATCTGGGAACTTACAGTTGTGCCTATGCTTACATAAAAAGGCTAAACACAGAGCTACATTTTTAAAAGATGTTGGAATTTCTGCAGTTTCCATTCATTTTTTAGGACTGAGTACTTCAGCAAATCAGGATATTACACTTATGAAACTCAGGTGTGGACAGGCCTATTTAAATTTAGTATTTACTGTAAGCCCAATTGAATTTTAAAGCTAAGAATTACAGGCTGTAGCCAAACTACATGTAAAATCCTCCAAACTACTAGTTCAGTTTGTCATATAAAATGTTATAAACAAACCTGCTATTTGATACAGCACTTTCATACCTTCAGTTACTCTTCATTTGCTGAACAAACTGTCAAACTGAACAAACTGTTTAATGAGAGGCACTGTCTCTGAAAATTCCTATCTGCCAAGAGGATTAATCTTATGAAAAATTGTTACCAGATCTGGTTGGTTGCACTTCTGTGGTATAAGATGTTCTGGATCCTGAAGAAATAGGCTGTGTTTCCTCAAAAGCTGAAAAAAGAATCTGAGTTTAAAATGCTGAGACCTGTGATTTAATGGATTAACATCAAGAAGCTTAGTGAAGGCTGTTCAACTTCAGATGATGCTAATGCAAAGCTAAGCAAGATGGTAGATGGCCTGAGACACAAGACAATTGTGTCATGGCAAGAAGACATGACGGCTGGCAATACAGACTTCGGACCCTGAAATTTGACTTTCACATGCCTGAAGGAATTCTTATCAGCAAGGAATTTTATCTTATTAAATTTTCTGGGATCAGTGGCAGCTATACAAAAAGAAATAAGCTAACAGTGAGATACGACAACACTGTATTTAAAGCTGTCTTTAAATCAGTAACAAATATGTTTTTCAGCTGGTCACACAGACACAAGAATGGTGAATAAGCAGCTCTCTGCGAGTGTTGGTAGTCAAGATTCTAAAGCAGATCTCAAAATTACCATTTGCAGATCTACGTGATGCTAAGAAAATTGAAAAAAAGTCACAGAACTAATCTGCTGATTACCCATCTCCATCTCTCTGGTTTGTGAAGAAGGTAGAGATACGGATTTCAAGGCTGGACTCTGAGTAGCTAAAAGCAAACATGAAAAAAAAAATATCATGATATCAAGACAGTGGTACAAAAATCTTATTTTTAACTGTAATGAGGAATTTTTTGTTTGGTTTGAAGGTCTCTTCTTTCTACTAATTTTTACCCTAATCAAGCTTTGACATATATTATCTTATAAAGCTGAATCCATATTACTTAAGAGGTTTCTCTTCTCAGAGGAGCAGCTCCAACCCCAACTCTCCAATCAAAACACATTTGATCTTCACAGCAGTCACAGGTCTGCATAAACTGTTTACTGTTATACTATGTATAACTATTTTAAAAGGAGATGTAATGGGAAAAGATAAAAATAGAGTACAATGAAGTCAGTGAAACAATCATGAAAGTAAACAGCATCCTTTACCAGTTATGTTGTAATGACAACTATTACAAAAACCTTACGGTTATTTCAGTTTGAAGTATGGATAACCTGAAGTGTACTTTAACGAAAACAATGAATCAAGGCAGAATTGGGCATTCTTATCTAAAGACTATCATGAATGTGTTTCCACCATGTGCCAGTTTTGCACTACTGTCCTGCTTCTAAGAACCAGATCCTATTCAAATGTGTGTACAGGTCAGTAAGTACCATTCTTTCCCGTAAACTTATTTGCACCAGTCACTTATGCTTATTTAGGTTATGATATATTTGAAAGAGAAAATTTCCATCTTTGTTTTTAGTAGGTCTTTATCTAGATGAGTTTTCCTGAAAAGCAGTTATACCGGAATTTTAAAAACAAACTTCTCTGAATGCTTGGGATTGAGAAAAACATTCTCAGCTAGGTGTAGGTTTCATTTCTAACACAGGCAATATAAATATAACCCAAAACATGAACAGACTTTTATATTTTGTATTTTATATTGGATCTGCTTTCCTATTTACTTTCAATACAGCTTATCACATTAACAAATATGATCTCAGTTTACTACCCTGGTATAGCTGGACTCAGCAGTTGGACCAGATGATCATTGTAGGTCCTTCCAACTGAAACTATTCTTTTCTGTATTTATAGAAAAAAAAAATACCAACTAAAGCTGTATGATTCACAGCTTTTGGCAAAAGCTTCCATTGATGCATTTATATCCAGTAAGAACTATGAAAGATCTCCCAAAGACATAAGAGCATTAAAGGCATGTTAACAAAGTTATCTTTTCAAAAAAAGACTGAATTCAAAATACAGCGACCACACAGATAGTTTATAAAACAAAGGAGATGTCTCCCTCTGGTACAATCAAGATAGAAAAATAGAGGAAAAAAAAGCCATGAGGGGAACTAGGGCAGAATACAGGTCACACACGCTTAAACTTCAGAAATTAAATTTTGCTTTCTTTCCTGATTTTGTGACAGCAGGTCATCAAGGCGTGAAGAGGCAGAGTGCAGAGAAATCTAATCCATATGAACCTCACCTTTGCTCTCACAAAATATTTTTGACTTCAGTACTGATTTCATGGGCAGCACAGATGCTCCAGCTGACCCAATGGCTGGGCCCAGCTTCACATAATTAAATAACACTTTTGCTAAGTGAAACAATTTGGCAAAAATGGAAGACATGAAAACAAAACCAGAATAAATACTTGAAAGAAACATGTACTGTGACTCAGCTATTACTATTTTACTTTTATCCCTGAGACAAACACAGATTAGGTTATTGTGCCCCTGTAGAAAGCAAAAATGCTTCTCATCCCTAATAATCTTCAGGTTTTCAGCCACATTATAGCAAATAGGTCTTTAAATCATTGTATCTCTCTCTCTCTTTCTCCAGTGCTGCCTCTAACTGGATTTGACCAAACTTCTTTCACCACAGTGAAAACAAATATGTATCTCCATCCCCACAAACGTATCTGGAAAAGAGCCATTAAAAATTGTAGTAAATTAAAAAAAAAGATAGTTAAAAGGATTTTCACATTCTTGAGAATTTGTTTCAAATACTCATTTCAAGAAATAAGGGAAGTAAGGGTTCCTGGAAATTATTTTAAAATTCGGCAGACTGCAGTAAGTAAAAGTATGCTGCCTAAATAAAGCAGCACTACTACATAATAACTTCTTGACTAATGTTGAATGAAATATAAGTCCACACTGATTCAAGGTCACTTGTTAACTAGTGTAATAGCTATTTATATAGATAGCAGCAACAAGCAGTTTCAGTAGAATGAGACATTTAGGACTAACACAATGACTCAGTGTAGAGAAATAGAGGTCTGTTATGTAAGCACAGGTCTTGAGAAGGGGAGACATAGGAAACAGCAAAGAAGAGTACAAGCGTGGGATAATAAGAGATGGGGAGTAGGAATTGGAGACCCAATGCCATAAACAACTCGGTGATGATGTATTATAAAAACTGCACACCTGAAGCTGGACAAAATTTACTTTGAGTTAACAACAAGAACAGAGAAATAGCATCTAACATACACAAAAGGCACCATATATGCTAAAATCAGATGTAAGTTGTCTCTCAGCAGAGGGGAGAGAGAGGGAGAAATCATCAACATGAATGTCATATTCCTCCCAGCACAGGACTCCAGATGCTTATAACTTGCTGAAATATCACCACTCACCACCGACACAAGCATGAATGCGCCAAGCTTAGGACCCAGAGATAGTGAGTGGAAGGGTGAGCAAAACACCAGGAAAAAGGGTAGAAGCTAAGAAGGTTTTCTATTACTGTTTTAACTACGTTACTGCTATTATTGAGGCTTTCTGTATGGAAGGACTCCACCTGCATTAATATTCTTTGTTTTACTCTAAGAATCAAATCTAAACTAATGATGATTGTTGAACTATATAGTCCATTAAGGCGTGTTCCCTCTTTGCCCATATGAAGATTTTGACCCTAACATTTTGACTCTAACACAGGTAAAACTATTTTGAAAATGTGAGCAGTGCCATACTTTCTCAAACATCAGGCGTTTCCAAAGTGTTCTGAAGTTCATCACCAAACAACTGATGAGAAATAAGCAGATTTATGTATATTTAAACTGCAACATCTTCTACAAATTATGGCACTATTTAAACAGAACATACAAGTATTTGGCAAACTGCATGAAAATCCACAGAACTCACGTTCACTGCAACAACACTCCAACTGTGAAATGCAGTCTCAGAAGCTCATGGTGTACAGTACTTCTAAGAACATTACAAAACTAAGAGTACAGATTTTAGCTAAATATAAACTGCCGTCATCAGACTGTAGATAAAAGTTATCCCATATTCTCACAAGATTTTGTTTGGTTGGTTGGTTTTTAAAATGAAGCATTAATCTGGAGAATCCTGTCATAAAAATAAAGCAAAACCAGGCTTATAATGAAAGAAGAAATTTGCAAATTCTGTGAAGAAAAAGCTAAAGCCTACCACATTTTATAGACAGAATATTATTGCAGCTGAAGAATTAAAACCTACTGACCACAGAATCAAAAAATTAGATAATTTTCTGCTGACATTTACAAAGAAAGCAATTACCGAGCTCTGTCAGTGGACTTTTTGGAGCATCAGAGATTCTGGATCCAGAAGGAAGAGGCTGTATTTCATTAGAAGCTATAATAAAAGAAATAATCAAGACTTTAATTGATTAAGAACATTACAAGGCACAGCATGGATCTATACTTTGGCTTATAGACCACTCACTCCTGAACCCAATGATATTTAATAAAAAAAGAAAAAAAAAATTAGTTCCAACCTAGGAAAAAAATATCCACACAGCTTTCTCATTTAAAAGGATGTGTGGAATTACAGAAAGAAATCATCTTTCCCCTAATAGTAATATTAAGATCCATCAATCACAGGGATTTAGTAATGAACATCCATCACTAACTATGATCACTTAGTTTGAAATTAATCACTGACCCGTCTTGATTAAATTTTGTATTTTAATCTTTAAAAGTATGGCAGAAAACCAAGCAAGGTTCATTATCCTTAAAAAGAAATTGATCAAAGTTATAAAATTTGATTGGCCGATGACTGAGCTTCAGGAATTACTGAAAATCCACTTGTGACTGTAAAGGAAAAAAGACAAGAGAATATGTAATTAACATGAATCAATAGGATTAAGTAAAAATACATTTATTGAGAAGCATTAGCAGTCCTCTTCATGGGAAGATCTGTATTTCAGTCCTGCAAATGCTGATGATCTTTTCCTTTATCGTATATCATCCTGTGTGTATGTCATCTGGGCCTTAAAGAAATCTAAGCAAAGTTTAAAAAAAAAAAAAAATACAACCTCAAGTTTAGATTTGTGTTCAGAATTTTACACCATTTGGGGGTTAAAATACAGGCAACAAAATCAACATTGGAGAATTTAGAATTCTGAATGCAAAGAAGTAAGTAGATGCTGGTTGAAATCCCAGAACTACTACTTCAATCAGAAATCTCTCATTCTGAGACACTCTGAAAAAAATCAGTAAAGTTCTTTTTTCCTCCAGGAACAAATACAATTATATCATGTCACATGCAATACAAAACTTTACTTTTGCATCACTATTGATGCTACCTAGATGAACCTGTCAACAGAAGAAAAACAAGGAGGTAATTATTTCAGTTTAATCACTGAAGTTAATTTTACTGATGGAAATTTTATGTGATGTCAATCATACAGACCACATAGACAGAAAACATTGAATCACCTCATCAAATCTGCTAGTAATAATCGTACGTATAACAGCCACAGTTCAGCCAGAGCTAGATGCATCCTAATTTACATTTCATGTGTGAATTGCTGGAAACACAAAGGGAACCAGAAATCACTAATTAGGACTTCTTTTGGAGCAATAAAAAGGGAGTGTAGCAAGTAGCAGAAAAGGTGTGCTGAGGGGAAAAAAGCATTTAATACACAAACAAGGTAAAAAGCAGCAAAACTAGTTACCCAGTATGTTTTGAGTTTGCACCAATTTGGGTTTAGGCGTTGATTTAAATTCCTCAAGTCCATGTTTTTTCTCAGCCTGAGCTAGAAGAAAGAAGCTTTATTTACTTTAGAATCCCTTTAAACTTTTCTTTACCTACTGGTGACCAGCAGCATCAATATAGCAAAAAGTTTCAGTATTCATTAAGTTTAATAAAAGACCATTTTAATTTTAAAACACAATAGAAGAGAGTTTTGTTTATTCCAGCATGGTCTCCATGCTTTTTCCACAATCTACTGAGCATGGTTTAAGCAAGAACTGATCACGTAGGTTTATAAGGTTCTTCTTGCATTTCCTAAAGAGAACATACCATTTTCCACATTATGCATAGTTACATAAATGCCACTACAGCTACAAGTGTTACACTATTTTCTGCTTTTCAATGCCACAAAAGCTGGAATCTCCACAGGTGCTGCCTTGTTGGGATCAAATTCAGTTTCTACTACATCAGTTACAGTGCTGTTACTTTCCAGTGGAAGGCGTTTTTTGTTCTAGAGTGAAGTTAAAGGAATTTATCCTTATGAAGCAGTGGATGAAAATTCATCCAGAAAAGCTCCACAGTTAACAAACCTCAGAAGTACTTCAAAAGCTAGCATTTCTTATTGGTGAAATGCAACCATAAAAAAAATAAACAAACCAACAACAGGAACAAAACAAAAACCTCAACAAAAAAAGCTAATACAGAAAGTTAGAACTCATTATTCTTTGGGCTCTTTTTAGGGGTCAGATGGCTTACACTCATATGTGTATGTCTCTTGTCAGCTAAGTTAGCTGAGCAAGCTGAACAAAAAATAGCATGCCTACAATTGGGATAAAAGAAAGCAAGGTCTCCTGTGGTCTGCACAGGACATTGAGGGATGATATGAAATAACATCAGACATTTTTGTAAAAAAAGATACAAGAGGCAGAAAGTTTAGGATTTAAATGTAAAGAAAGAAATGCCTCTATTGTCACAGCATGGAATACAGCAAGAATGATTTCAGAAAACATTTCTTAAACAATTTTTCCTCTAACTTCTCTTAACCTTCTCATTCATGTTCCTCTATTCCTCCACAACTAGAATTAAGATATTCTGAGGGAATCAATAATCTCACTCCTTCCCATACCCCACATGAACACAAGAAGAAGCCTTCAGGAGCCAGAAGGACAATAGAAGGAGCAGAACTTGGGGAAACATGTCAACAAATGAATTATTGCCACTAAACATTAACTCTAGATAATTTTTCATTTCAAGCCTATTCTCTATTTGACAAAGGTATTTTGATAGATTTCTGATATAATCTGTTACATAAAGAAATAACTTGCTCTTTTATAATTTTTTTTTTAATTTAAAACAGTTCTTCCATGTCCTAGACAGCTGTGCTGTTATTTCTAGCTGTTATTTTATTTCAGTTTCCCTGTGAAGTGCTGTTATTTCTAGCTGTTATTTTATTTCAGTTTCCCTGTGAAGTTAATGAAAGGGCTCACAATTCAACTGAGAGAAAAAAAAAGCAGTGGTAGTTTGAGTTATATTAGACAGCATTTTAAAGATTGAAGGGGGGTGGGGAAGCATTTTGAATTTGTGCTGTTGTGTTAAGGATAAATTTGTCCTAAGCGGAAAATATCATAACAAGTCTGGAAAAAACAAAGCATGAAAGAGCTCACTAACCAGTCTTTCCATGGAAGTGCATGCCAAGGGAGGGGAGGCCTGAAATTAAGAAAATGATGGGATGCCTGGCTGACAAATACACCAAAACCAGTTACTGAACTATGTCACACCACAAAACACTCCCTTTGACAAAGGCCCAGTGGAATAGAGGCCCAGCTCACTGAACATTTCAGCTTGTTGAAATAATTCAAGCTCCTTTCTTCCCTTCTTGCCTGACTGATGACACAATGGCTGCTACAGCACATGGCTCCTTTTAAATCAGTGTTCCATTGTCAATTCTGGCACAAGTTCTTAAAACTTTCATAGCAAATAATTGCTATGCCTTAACTTTCAAATAGTGAAGCCTGGATGAAATATAATGAAGTAGATCCTATTGCTAAACTCAATTAATTGTGCCCATGTATCACCCTGTCCTTCAAACACAACCCTTGCAAAATGCTGGTGCTCAGATCTCTCACTCAAAGTCTGGCTCAAATGCTTAAGTATTCAAGTTATTTTTGCATATGCAATGACCAGACTGAAATGACACTTGAAGAACTTACTTTGTCTTTTAAATGATTTACTTTTACTTCTCTATTTCCTGCCCCCTTTTTTTTTTCTCTTTAACTGAAATATTGTAACCACAATGAACACATTCTTTAATGTAAATAGTGTCATACTCTTACATCAGCACTGTGATCAAGAAAGAATGACTGAAAGGAATGGTTACCACAGCAAAAGATACGGAAGTAAAATCACAGAGGAAGCATGGAGAGGAAGATGAAAATTATTCTAAACATTTCAGTAAACAAATAATGGTATAGTAGCTGTAAGAATATATTAAATTTCAACAAATGCTTCTATATCGCTTGGCACTAAAAAGACTCTGCTTGCTCAATTATCATGCAAAATGAAACACACCAGCAACTTAAAAAACATATAATTCTGTGTTTATGGTTAGAAATACTGCATGCCAGGTACATAAACATCATTATAGAACACAAAGGAACTGGAATGGACTGATTCTCTCTTCCCCAGGTGATGTATCATTTCTGGCATCACATTTCACAGCATTTACCTGATTAACCAGTAAATTCCAGCACAAGGATGAATTATTTTGGTTAGATGAATGCATTCTTGAGGATTACAATTTTGCAGGAGAGCCAATTATAAATTATCTTTCATTTCTAATTTTCACAAAATGGCAAATTCTGTGAAATGTATTTGTAGATTGCAGTTACTCAGACAAGGCAATTAATTCAGTAAAATAACTGCAGAATCTAAGTCTACAAGAGACCACAAACTATAAATCAAAAAAATTTGAACAAAAAAAATTATTTACAGTTTTTTAAAAAGTATTCACATTTTCAAATGTGAGGCAGTCTGTTTGTTACACAAATGCTAAACTTGTCATGTTCAGAGCTCCCTTTGAGAATAAATTCCTTTGGGCGCATCTTTGTTTTCCTCTTAATAATTAGGATGAACAGAAAAGAGCTATTCATATGAAGGTTCTGCAGCAAGTAATTGATGGTTAAAACTAGAATTTAGCAAACACATATCTACTGAATGAAAAATAAAATTCCACAAACATTTTCAGAGAGAAAAAAAAAGATGGTTTGTTTAGTCTAAAAGATGGTTGCCAATCATTACATGAGTTTGCTGCATTATTTCATCCCACACTTCTTTTACTCCCAAATATTCTTTGGGAGGGTTTTTGTCTACTTGTTTGCTTTAATTAAAGACTGAGTTGGTCTCACGACATAAAGTATCGTATCTTTGATATACATATGGAATAAAAATATCCACAGTCATGTTTAAGGGCAGTATCTGTGTGAATTGTGTGATATCAAAAGAATAATGTGCTACACAATTTCAACCAGCCAGGAAATACTTTCTGTATGGAATAGCATAATGCCAGCAAGACAACATAATATGACTAAGCTAATCCAAAGCACACCATCACTATATTGTTTCCACAAATTCCTTTTTATTTTTAAGACTTGCCACTGTTTAAGCCTTCTTTCTCCCTTTCAGCAAAGAAGTTGACAGAAGTCAACTACTGTCTCTAATGACAGCAAAATCAAGACAGCAAGCATAATGAAGTCTCAATTATAGGATAAAAGCCAAACGACAAAAAATGAAGGTAGGTATATGACTACTGAAGCAATTTTAGATGTGGGTTGATAAAGAAGATAGTGAGTCTCTCTTCATCATTTGACACAAAATAATTGAGTTCTGTCCAATCTTTTTCTCAGATCACAAATGTTAAGCCATAGGGCTATACTTGTCTTATGACTTGATAAAGTAGTCTATGTTGCACTTACTTGTTCCCTAAGCAAAGGAAGCCAGTAGATCATGTGAGTTTTAAAACATCACTTCGTGTTTTTTAACAGTATAAGAAATTAGCATCTGAGTAAGTCCTTTTAAATAAATGATATTTTTTCAGCCACAAGTAGATGATAAAAGACTTCAGTCTTCAAAATATACAAGGTAAGATACATTTCACAGTCATATAACCTTGAATATGAGTCTAGAACCAAATTTTATATCCCTTTCCCATATATGTGAACAGCTTCCACTTACATTAATAAGACCAGTAAGTCCACAAAGACAGTGTGGTCAAGATTAATGTGATCAAAACTGAACTTAAATGGATCATCATGTTGTTATCCTCTAAGCCTCTGAGCTTGATACAGTGATCATTCCATCTTAAGGTCACGCATGCATTTTGCATAATCATACTATTATCTCTAATTTGCTTCTTCACATATTTCATGGAAGTTAGAAGTTCAAGGCGCATCACCAGAAAACTCATTTTGCCATGCTTCACAATTTCAAGGTATCCAGCACCCCACAACGATACGGTTGTAAGTTTTTTATAAACCTAACAACTTTCCCCTCAAATTCAGATTTTATTCAGACTTTTATCTACACCTGCCACTCATGGTTACTAATTCAGCCACATTATCCTCCTGTTTTCCCATTACCGCCTTTAACCGCAGATTGAGCAACACAAAGATGAAGTTAATTTTAGCTAATATATTTGGAAAAAATATTCCACAGTTTCTAAAAACAGAATTTTCATTACCTGGGAGAGACTCTGGAGAGATTTCTTGAACTGCTGGTGTTTTGGATTCAGCAGGCCACACTCGAGTTTCATTCTTAGCTAAAGGACAAAATGTAAGAGAGTAATTGCAAATCTGCTCTATTCTACTACAGATTTATTTTTATCCTACTTCAGTTTGCCAAAGTAAAATGAAATGGACAAATGTGGAAAGCTGAATACCTTTAGGAATCAATGAACTTCCACTGTAAGCTCAGTACAAACATCTATCTAGGTATGTTAAACACGTGCTTTTTTGAATTTGTTTTGTTCATTAAATGATTCCTTAAAAATAAAATTTACAGCATGGAAATTAATGCCTTATGAATCATTACTTTCATAGTGCAAAATAGTCCTCAGGGTTTTTCATTTTCTAGCATTTCAAGCATTAACAGCAAAAATGCTTTTCAAAAGTCAAAGATGCAATATAGCTCTAAGCATTATAAAAGAATAGTCTAATAAATTTTCAAATACAATGGAAATTTCATACTAGTCATGTCCTTATTTTCAGTTACATTACTTCTAAAAATTACAGTAGTATGACAATAGCCTTCTATTTCAACAGATAGAAAGATATTTCAGCAGTGGATATAAGAAAATTAATTAATTTTGACTTGAATAATACACTTGTGGGGTTTTTTTTCCACTGAGGACTAACGCAATACACTTTGTATAGTAAGATTTTTACTAGTTTTTATAGAAAAAAAAAAACAACAAAAAAGCCTTTGAGAATTCAATCAGTATGATATTCTTTGATGCATTATTTTGACTTTTCTAAATAATACAGAATTAGAGTAGTTGCAGCGTGTCAGCAAACTATAATTAGTCATAACTCCGCACACAGATAAGTCTTATTGCATTTTATTGTAGACATACATCATTCCCAGACATCAGTGAAAGGTATCTGTATAGATTTGGATAGTATGTCTTCTTGTCAATTATATTATACATTTAAACTCTTTCTCAGAGTACTTTTGCTTTACAAGCAATGATGCTTCCATGTTTTACACTCCTTTGAAATCCAGTAGTTATTTGTGTGTATACCAATGTACTTCACATTCTCTATTAAGGAACACATAGTAAGTAGAACAGAACAAAACATCACCTCTCTGCTCTGGTTATTTTCACAAAGGTGTCTGTGTAAACTACCATAAAAAGTAGCTCCAAACTGGCATTGCACCAGCTATCTATTTTAGACATATCTGAGCATTCAAATTTAGAAGTCCAAGTTCTACAGTCAGCCTGCTGAAGAAGCTTGACATCTCTAGGTCAACTGAAGTTACCTTTGTCTTTTTTCCTGTCTTTTGCTCATTGTCACATTCTCCCATTTTTACTGTGCATACTTCTTATGACCTTATACCTTCTACCTTCTTATACTGTATGACCTATCTGAAAAAACAGTATTGTTTTCCTGCATAATATTATTTCTACTTCTTACTCAAACACATTCAAATATTTTCCTACTATCTAACTCTACCCTCACATGTACACTGTATCTTAACAGGAACAAGCACTGCTGTTTAATTACTGCAAGGCAAGCCAGCCTGAGAATATGCCATGGCCATCAATGGAGTAACAGAATAAATTAAACAAAGCAGAAATAAGAAAGGAAAAAAAAAAGAATAAAATCTGATGCAGTTGTTTGTAGTTCAAATCAAGTATTAAGCCAAGCCAAAAGTCACCAGCTCCAGAACTCTAGTCTGTGAAAGAAGTACTGTGAAAACGTTAGAGGTGACCTTATAAGTGTCTATAAATATATAAAAGGGGAATGTCACGAGGATGGAGCCAGGCTCTACTCAGTGGCAAACAATGATAGGACAAGGGGTAATGGGTACAAACTGGAACACAAGAGGTTCCACTTAAACTTGAGAAGAAACTTCTCAGTGAGGGTGACGGAACACTGGAACAGGCTGCCCAGGGAGGTTGTGGAGTCTCCTTCCCTGGAGACATTCAAAACCCGCCTGGACACATTCCTGTGTAACATTATCTAGGTGTTCCTGCTCCGGCAGGGGGATTGGAGTAGATGATCTTTCGAGGTCCCTTCCAATCTCTAGCATACTGTGATACTGTGATACTGTGATACTGGAGGCATTATTAAGGTTTGTGATGATAGTCGAATGCTAGTTTGCAGATCTTAAACAAAAGCCTCAATTAATCTTGTTCCTGTGGTTTTCAGGCATATTCAAAAGATCCACATGAAACCTGTACTGGAATGTTCTAATTTCTGGTTACCATTTTTCATTGATTTTTCATTGATTTAATTACAGATAATAAATAAGACTCTCTTCATGAAACAATTTCTCACATACACTCAAGCCAGGACTCATATAATTAAAATTCACTGAAAATCCAGTCTTTCAAATTGACACACAGACTTTCATTTTTAAAGACATATATTGAAAGATATAACCTAGGAAAAAAAAAAAAAAAGAAAAAGCATAGACTGTAAAACAAAACAAACCCCCTGAATTCCATAAAAATAACTAGATTACTCTTCTCCATGTATCAAAGCTACTTCAAATGGCTGTGAAATACCTTAAAACCCCATTGAGATGTTTTAAAATAAGTAGATTTCTATGAATTTTTATAAGTGCAAGCTAATCATTAATTAGACAAGTAGAAAAAAATAAGGTAAAGGAGGAAAAAGAAGGACTTTTCTTTTTGCACATATGATCTCACTTTGTTACACTTCTGATACTGCTCATGAACAATACAAGCTTAGTTCATTTCTGCTTACCCATTTTTTTTGTGGATGCTTGATGTATGTCATCTATTGGCAGGAGAGGGGGAAGTTTTTGCTGAGTTTCATTGAGACCCGGAACAATGAGATGCACTACACAGAAAGATGAGTGTCATTAATTCCAGAAGGGATGAAAAATACAGTCTACCCTCTGAGATAGGTGAGCAAGTACTACTGAACCACTGGGAGTTTAGTCTGATTATCTGACACATTAGTTAGTCTTATTCAGTAATTATCAATCCTATTTGGTGCTATTTCCTCTTTATATCACTCTTTGTATTACCATTTCACAATTAATCAGAAATGAAAACATTCAGTCGTGGAGTTCTGCTGTATAACAAATGCTTGGACATTCTGTCTGGTGGGCCTGGAGGATGCAACACTAAATATGGTTAGTGAGTATCTCAGTCATAGAAATATGTTAAAACTCTCACAAAGCAAACTTAAGCCAAAGTTATGCAGCTCTATAAAGTATGTCCATATGTACAAAGGACTAAACACCTTCCTGAATCCAGGAATAAATTGGTCATGAGGGACATGATGCTGTGAGCCTTTCCTATCTACTTCAGACAGACCAGTAGTTCACCACGCTAAGCACAATGATAGTCCTTTCCCTATGATAGTCTTTTCCCTATTTTTTCCCTGGTTTTCCCTATCTGTTCTTATAGGTCAAACACAAACAGAAAGCATGAAAATGAATGCCTTCATAGAAACAGTTATGGCCGAGATCTAACGTTAAGCTCTAGTTACAAGGAAAGTTACAATACACACAACTATAACCTAATATATCAGAGGTTTGCCTGTATGTATACTACCTTAAAACCAAAAAGAAATAAAAAGAACCCCTCATCTCAGTAAGATCTTTGCCACAGAACTTTATTGAATTATGAAAGAAGTTCTTGGCTTAATCAATGATAATATCTTCTTTTAAATACTATGATAATAACATGATTCTATTTCTCTTAGGCTACATCATCCTTGAACCATAGGTACCAGCTGCAAAATACCCTTTGATATGCAAGAAAAGAACTATCAAGATCAAGAAAACTGAAAGTATTTACACAGTTCTAATTTTCAGCCAAAGATGAGAAAAATAATAAAAATATCTTCTAGTCACCTAATATTGCTCCTGGGAGCGAAGAATTACCTGAAGTCTTTGACTGCGTCCGGTTTTGAATAACTGTGGAGACAACAGAGGGATATTAGAAGATAAATTTTAAAAACCAAAAAACAAGAAACAAAACCATACATGAGACAAGCTTCAACATTCCAAAAATCTTCTTTCAACATAATAACTGGAGATGAGGACACCATCCTAATCTTGTCTGTATTTACACTGAGTTCAAGGGACTTCAAACTGCTTTTCCTCTACATCACCTCTTAACTGTGCATCTCTCTCTCCCTTAGTGTATCAGGTTTATATCCTTGCTGAAGAATGACATTCTATGCTTATATTAATATAGGGCCAGCTCCAGGCCATCTTATTACCCTGCTATTCACAAGCCTTCAAAAAAAAAAAGTATGTATGCCAATACAGTCATATTTTACTTGTAATACTGTATTTTGCTTTCACTCCACCCTCCAGTGTTTTCCTTTTCCTGAACTGTCAACTACCTTCAAAGACAATTTGCTTAATTTTATTAGTTAAAATTATTCTCTATACAGTTTCTGTTACCAAGTTTTAATTGCAGTTTAGCTTCTACTAGCTATATTTCAGTACTTAATTTTCAAAGATTACTACTATGCTACCTCTCCCTACTAGAGAAACAAGCATTTCTAAAGGACAGTATGTGTAAGTCTACTGTAGATATCTCCACTGACCAGGGAAAGGAGAAGAAGGGAGTCTAAGTCGAAGACTTAGCTGAAGATACCCACAAAAATGTTGATAGCATGAATCTTATCCATACTGCTGCCCTTCACACCTGACTATCAATTTATGCATATCTGGGAGATCAACATACCTGGACAATCCAGTCGAAAAATCAGCACTGATCTGTGTCCTTTTAATGACTCAATTAAGTCATTGTTTATAATGCAATGTAGTAGCTCACTTTATTAACACAGTTAGGTAATAGCTTAATAGTACTTGCAATTAAAATACATGGTAGTTTGTAATGTTCCACCTATTCTAAAAGGAAACTTTCATGACATTCACATCCAAGTCAGAGGTTCAGAGGTTTGGTTTATTTTTTATTTTAATGTTAAGTTACTCTTGCACAGTGTAAGAATCAAATAAATAAAAAAAGGCATACAAATTTACCTTGTTTGATTATTGTGACAGGGACCAACCTCTTATTATCACGCAGTTTAAGCTGAGAGGAAAGAAGAAAAAAAGCCTTGGGATAACTGCCAGAATTGAACTTTCTTAGCAATAAAAACAGAGGGCTTCAATCCAATACCATGACTGCCCCAAGTTAACACTGGATATGGCCCTCGCCCTGGCCACTATTGCTTCAATTCCCATGGGCTAGTATAGTAATACAGCATTTTTATCTCCTTCTTTTTCAGCTTAAGACATTTTGCTTCACAAAACCAGTGTTTGGCAGCTTAGGAATCCTGAATCCTTTTTTCTTTTGAGAATCTCTTGAGCACTCACTGGGGAATAGACCAGAAGACTTTGAAATGCTGAAATTTTAACTACAACAAAACATCTGAAACATACGCATATACAAATTTGGTCACAGGATATATATATATTCTCAGTAATATATATTTAGAACACAAACTATTCCAGAAACAGGTGCACATTTGTAAACTATCAGCAGTCTTGGGTGCTTAAAGGAGATTAACTCAAAGTAATTTTATTTGGTGAAATTATTTCCAAAGTATAATTGGCCAGCCACCCATATTCTCACATCTTTATGCTAAATACTCGGACTTTCCTGCTGCTCACTTGTCTTTAACCCAGATTACCTTTTGCTTAAGTGTGGATCTTTTCCAGCGTTTAATACCACAAACATAAGAAACACATGAATGGACCCCACATTTATTAAAAGTAAGAAAACAGCTGATCCCAAAGATTATATATCACTATTCACTACCACCCATGGGCACTGGGAACAACTTCTGAAAGCTTAGTAATACACTTGGGCGATGAGAAGAGGTAGACTGTTAATGACAGCAATACAAAACTAATAAATACAATTAAAGTGGATTTTTTTTTTTTCCAGTTCTATCTGAGTTACAAGAATGAAAGGAACTCAGACAATTACCCTTCTGTGTTAAATGTACACCACTAATGTCTGAATCAGTTAATGTTCATTTTGGATTTCATGACATCTGGTCTATTTCATGTGAAAGAACACTTCCACGAAAATTAAGCATTTGAAGACAAAGCTTTAATTATTTACCTAAGGTTTACTACTTTTGCTCTATTCTAAATATATACATATATATAAAAAGCTTTAAAAGCAATGGCTGGGTACACATCAGACACATTGCAAAGTCTAAGAAGCTGGAAAAAAGCAAATCTCAGCAAGTAGGATGGCCCTTTCCTCAGGGAAATGGAGCGAGGCTGCTTGTTCTGTGGAAGGCATTACTCTCTGCTGCCTAGTAACGGTTTCACATTGGCATGAACATGATATGAAATTAACTGGAGGTTTCAATCATTGACATTAATGAAGGATAAAAAATAATCTTCCTTTTACATTAGTTACTTTCCCTTTATTTCTTAACCTTTGTTTATTAACCTTGTTTATATTTCTATTGTGCCTTCAAATGAAAAAAAATCTGCAGCAGATGATCAGCTTTAGAAGTAACCCTGCTTTTCATATGACTGAGAAGAGGGATGAAATGCATTTATCAGAAGGAGGTGTTCATTTTACTGTATTTATCATCAGAAGCCCTACAACCAATATACAAATCAAATCAAAGAAACAGCTCTCAAGCTGTAGTGACATGAAATCCATTTCCACAGCTGATATTATTACACTGCTCACTTGCACGAATCTGAAAGTGTTGCTTTTGAAATCTACCAATGTTTCATCAATCCTCTCCTTTTGGTCTGGAAAAAAGTGTCTATTTTAGATATTTCTATGTCTAATAGAATCTACTACTTGGACAAACAATTTCAGAAACATCAGAATGTCATTTGTAGGAATAACACTATTATATATTATACAATTACATTATTTTCCAAACAGACAACATAAAGCATATAGGTATTAGGAACAGTAGTTATTAAAATTAGTGTGGCATCTCCACGAATGAAGAAAGATGGTAAGTAAGGTATTTATTAATTTCAGAGGAAAATTAGGGTTGTAAATTATATCATAAATCAGGCACCTTAACTTCTGACCATAATCCTATGGTATAATATAAAGGACTGAAGTTCTCAGACATGCTCTCAAACGGCATATGGCAACATTACTTTAAGAGATACTTGTTCTTTCTGCCTCTCATATCCAAATATCCACAAATAACTGTCATACACATAAGAGAATCCTCAAGGAAGCATTACGATCAATCTGGATTGATTAAGTTTTCGAAGGGCGGGCACGTTTTCTTCTAGAGTTTTACAACTGATAGAAGCTGTGAGTCCTGCTTTTTGGCTGGGGAAAAAATAAATATATATATCCAAGAGGACCCCACCTTTCAAACTGCCATTATGAAATTACAGAAACCTAATCAGACAGAAGAGGAAATAAATTTCTACTGCATTTTCCCCACCCTACCACCACCCATTATTTATGGGAAAAAGAATGACCAACTCTAGAACTCTCCTTTTCTTCCCTCCTCTCACTAGTTGGAGCTTACACAGCCCCAGGAGCTTAGTCAAACTTAAAGGATGAACCTGCCAAAAGAAACACAAGCTGATATGTGACTAATGTTGAAAGGGCAGAATGACTAGATAGATCTGTAATGTTGCTTTAATAAACACCCTTTAAAAATGTCTCTTCACAGAGAAGAGTTCGGACCATGCTGATAGGAGCCAGTTGTGTCTCTGGAGCAAAATAAGGCACAAACAAAGCTTGGCCTAAATAGCACTCATGCTGGCTTTGCACTTATGATGTGATTGCATCCCCGAAACATACCCCACCTAATACCTTTGAAGCTGAAATAATAACGTAACTTAAGAGCTTGCCAGTATCTGCTTCCCAGCCTCAGTTTTGTGGCTTTTTGTACCACTAAAGTGAGAAGGATAAGAGATTTTTTAGAATAATCTATGAAATGTTTTCGTATTTCTGTGGAGGCTGATAAAACAGTACTGCTCTGGAGCTAAGCCCTGTGAAGCTAACTAAAAAGACTAGATGTTGGCTCTAGTCCTCCTCTCATGCTTGAGCTGTGCAAATATTTGGAAAACGGTTTTAGCTTACTTTCTCAGGACTTCTCTTGCATAAATAGAATCCCTACTTCCACAGAAGCAGCATAACAGAGTCAGCATCCTGGCACACAGGGTTTGCTAAGAAGAGTAAAGTAACTCAGCTTGCACTCTGTATGTCAGAATGAATTTACCTGGCCTTGGGATGTTGTGTGTAACTTTAAATATGCTAATGGGACCAATGGGAACAACAGTAAGGTTGAGTTTATCACCAACATAATGAGATGAGCACCTTCTTGAATAAATAATCAATTGGCTTCATATTACTTACAGATAAAAGAGGTTGTCTTGAATGTGAGACACAACTGTGCTTCCAATAATCTAAGCATTATGCTGCTCTAACTCTGTATGTAATGCTATAATCAAAGTATTACTGTCCTAAATGAATACCTAATTATTTCTACAGGAAAATGCATGTAATGGACTGTGATTTGATTCATGAAGGAATTACAGGTTTGGTAATTAAAGACCATTGAAAATATTGCACAATATGAAGAAAGAATAGTGAGAAACCATACAGGACCAGTGCCTACCAAGAATGTATTTGGAAAATTAGGCAGAAGAGAACTGTGAAGAATGGATTGTTCCCTCATAACAATCATTACTCATGAGTCAATCCTTTAAAATGTCTGAAGTAACAAGGATTTCTAAAACTTTCCTCGGGAAGTTATCCCATAGTCTAGTCAGGGACAGTACCTTAAAAAAAAAGCAAAACCACAACAAAAAAACAAAACAAAGCAAAACACAGAAGATTAGCTGCTGAAATTTTCACTCTGATGAAAAATTAAGCAAAGGAAATAAGAAGAAATTTTAACCTCATAGTAGAGGTGGTAACGCTCGAAAGTTATGAATAAAATGTCTCTTTTTCACTGTATTAAAACTAGTCCACTAACAGGTTCAGCTGACATACAAATGCTACATTTCTGCTTCGGCTCTTGGAAGCGAAAAGTATCTGCGTGTGTGAATCCACAAACATATGAAAACGCACCCATGATTGCTTGACAGCTGTTCTGGCAAATACCAGATGGGGGGGGGGGGGGGGGAAGCAAACAAAAAAGGTGGAAATTAATAAATATTGGTATTTATGTATTTATTTACAATAATCTTGGAATGCTGTGATGAAACAGTTAAAAATTCTACTTTGCCACTTGCAAGGATTTAATGAACTGCCTACCAATTTTGATAAGCACATTAAATTGCCCCTTCCAGCTTCCTCTGGTTCTACAGTTTCCTCACACGTAAGAACCACTAGTGAATCCAGTAGGATGACTAAGGATTTCAGAAAATCTGAGTATTCACAAGATTACTCTATGAAATAAAAGCACTACCTTATCACAAAATGAACTGACCGCCACAAATACCAAAGGTTAACAAACCTGACTAGCACAAAGAGATAAGCAAATTTTTATGTTTAGAATTCACACACAGAACACCATCAGTACCATGTTCGTTAAACCAGAATCAGTTTATGTCATCATCTCAGCTGAAGTTCCCAATCATTTAATCAATTCACATATATAAACACTTCTTCATAGAGTTACCTAGTTTCAGATTTAATAGTTTTTTTTTTTTTTTATATTGGCAATCTGTGGCCAAAATGTCTTTCTCACTTTAACAGAGAAGCAAACATTTCACCATACAAAATATAAACATGGTATAAAATAAAAAGACTGTTTCTCATACCTGTGTCTGGGAATTAGGTACCAACTTGTACACATTCTGGAGCTGTCCATTTACCTTTTTGCCTGATTTAACAGAAAGATAATTACATAGAATTATTTTTGTTTTGTCCAAAGCAAAGTAAACCAAATGTATTCACCTTTTTCAATAGCTAGGAAAGTTAGGAGGCTTAAATACTATGTATAAAAACACACTGTGTAACAGTTTATTTGGTCTCATCTCCAGATTAATCAAATCACCTGCAAAACCTCCTTTTAACATTTTTACAGAGAGAAAATTAAATGTATTCTTCTTATTCTACAGCAGGAAGTAGAAGAACTGAAGTCATCATTGGGCCCTACTAAGAACTCAGAGGTGCCTTCTTGAATAAATTTAACGTAACCACAACATTAATACGCAAGGAAGAAACTTGAAAGGGGAATTTCTGCATCCCATCTCTCAGGCTGGTACTAGGACTGGCTAAAGGCAGCATGTTTTAAAGTCTCCAATAGTCTTGTGCTCTTTAAGTGCTCTTCTAAAAGAAATACAGATTTACCACTGGTAGCACAGCACAAGCGTATCACTTCGCTTTGGGTCTGACATGATTTCCTTTATCTCAGAATATAAACAAAGTGACCCAGGGATTTAATACCTGAAATTTTTCTCTTATGTTTTTTTTCCTAGCTTCTTAGTATTAGAAACTTCTTGTAATGCAGATGCAGGAGAAACCTCCCAGCACCTCTTATATTCTAACATGATACTTCACACTTCATCTACATCTTCCACCTTTACACCTTACTGCTCCTTTTGTGAACAGGCATGTAAAGACGAGTCAAGTTAAACATTACCATATTTCTTCATACTTCCATCCAAAACAGATAAACATTAGGAACAAATCAACTATAAAGAAATATCAATTGAAACACATTTAAGTTGGCAAGCTATCCTGAAAAATCAATCTTTCAAAGTGCTTGATACTTCTCAGGAACTATTTGCTTAACCACAAGGCAAAGCTGACAAATGTTTCACACTGATTTAATGAGAAAATCATGCTGAGATGGTCAGAAATAAGACACTTTCATCTCCTTTGATAATTTTTGGTTAAGTAAATGTAGAACCTTTGCCATGTCTTTTATGTCTTCCTTGAATAATGAATTAAAACCAGATTTTCCTCCCAATTCCTCCCAACATGTTTAGTATATAACAAAAATTTGGTCTGTGGAGTCAATAAATACAAGAACATGCAAGAGGAATTTCAGTTTATAGTCATTTATATATTCTACAGTAAAGAAAGAAAATCTATAGTGATGGATGTGTGTTTTAGTTTGAAATGCTTCTTAATATATAAAAAAAAACTTGAATTGCTACATGACAGTAGTTAAAACAGGCTAAAAATTGGACATTTTTGCTGACAGGTAAGCTCCTATGCAGAAAGATGGCTACAAATGAATAATAAATGTTCACTCTTTGTTTACTGCCTGCAGCTTATCTACCTACTATGCCCTGACAATATGAAAGGCTTGAATCTGAAAGTGCTTACAACTTTCTGATTAGAAGATAATTTATCAGTAGAACAGAATGCAGATAATACAGGGTAATAGTAAGCTCCTTGGATTTAGGTGCTTCAGAAGCATCCGCCAAATACACAAGTCTACATTCTAGTAAAAAGAAATCTCATTTCATAGAATATGAACTCTTACCAGAAAGTATCTTTCAACCAAACTCTATCTGTCTCCATAACTTACAAGAACCATTCTTCTAGCCTATTAAAAATGTATAGTCTATAAAAAATAGCATTTAGAAATACATTCCATACAAACAGGTCTGTTGATGACAGTGGACATTTCAATTATTCTTGAACACTGCATTAAACTATAAACACAATGCACTCTTCACTGCCTCCTGCTCAAATATAGTCTAGCACTTGATGTACAGATTGCTTTAAAATGTTTAAATGTAGGAAAAAAAGCCATTTAGTAAGCCCTCTTTAGAGCTATACAGCAGTTCCTTCTTGTGAGGCAGGTATGGGAAAAGACTATCATGCTTCTCCACATTAAGTTCATGGTTTAACAATGGCATTATTCTGGACTGCAAAAATGACTCTATGAGTACTGAGCAGGTACTTAAAAGTTATAGCTTTCTAGTTCATGAAGAAGGCTTGAAAAGTTCTTTATTAGGGAGTATGAGGGCTTTTGCAATGTTACAAGCTCTTATCCCTTCTCCTCAAGTATATCGAGCTGTGTAACTTGCCTACAACTTGAAAATGGAAACTTCATATGCATAACGGTCTCATGAGAATTCCCATTTTTCACATTTTGAGTCAAGCTAGAAGTACCAAGAACAGGTGTTCGCAGCATCTTCTGACCAACATCCTGCTCATAAACACCTTTATGTAAATGTCTGAGGAAAATGAATGAAATCAGACAGCGTCTGTTAAGACAGCTCTTCCTCTTGTTAAAAGGGGGAAGCTGCCTATTTCCTTCAGCAGTACATGATGGGGTTAATTTGGTGTCAGTTTGCCTGCATTGTCTTGGGACTTTGGAGAAAAAGCTTAAAATATGACTGAGAGAACAGCCAGAGATGCTGTACACAGCTTCTGTGAAAACCCAAATAAAAACATGCATGACAATGCATGTTTCAAACTCAATTTATGTAATTCTCTGACTGAAAATTATCTTCAAATACAACTTTCCAGCAAGGCAATAAAGAGCCCAATCTGCTGCAGATAGTCTACTATTTGCAATGAGTAGAGAACAACTCTTCGAAGAGTAGCTGGCAGTTTTTCAAACACAAAATATTTCTAGTTATACCAGTTTCTAAAGAATTTATTAGGGACATAAGGAATAGCATTTAAACCTGATCAGTAGCTTACTCTACTGCAGTAGAGGAAAAAATACTGTCAAACTAAGTAGCTGTTTGATTAATTAATGTCAAATACTTACTAGACAGAACTGTCTTATGATTGGAAGTCTTGCTCCAAATACTATCTTCTAGATTGTCTTTAACTCCAAATTCATAAAGTGTGTTTGGCTTCAGATTGTCCACCACTGTCTCTGTAACTGGGCAAAGCTGAAAAACCCATTTCTTGTCTTTACCCTTTTCTCTGTACCGAACTGTATAGAACCTGCTCAACAGAAAAATAAAATAAAAAATAGTATTCTGCACAAAGAAATGTATTACAACCATTTTTGTTAGGAATTACTAGAAAAGTTTCTACCCACCATTGTTCTTGTTCTTTCTGGACCCTTATTGTTATCAAATATCAGAAAAGCCAGTATACCTTCCCTGCAAAAGCAGTACCAGCCCTGTCATCTTCTAGATATATGTATGTTCCCCATGATACAGGCCCCAACAATATGACTGTTATACAAAGAGCAAAAGAACAGTCTCCTTATTAACAACCAACCATGTGTGTGAGGTTCTGACCACAAACTGCAAGCTCATTTTGCAAGCAGTTCCTTTGATTCTGACATAACGCAGAACTAGTTAACCGAATCATGAGTCAAGGACAGTAAGGAAGCCTCAACCAGGTTCTCAAATTCTTCTATATTCACCCAGGGGAAAGTGTTCCCCTCAGAATTAGTCCAAAAATGTACTAAAGGGAAAGCCAGTAATAGTTGGCATTTATATTATAAATGTGATCTCATTCTGTGATTCCGTTATGTACTGCCCACACTTCAAACAAGAAAGTAAACCGCAACATTACTTTCAGCAGTTTAAATTAGTAACATGATGAATTGCTAACAGATTATGAAAATAAAAATATTTTTATAGAAATTTCCCAATTCAGTCAAGCAGCATCTCTCTAAAAATGTATGACTGCAATGTTAACCAGTAAATAACAACACGACATAAATGGTGAGAATTATGGCACAAGAGCTCCACTGCTTACTAGCATCTCACTTTCCATATATGTGCTGAATCACTGCCAGAGTGGGGCAGAAAAAAATCTCAGAGAAGTTTCACAACTTTTTAATCCAAATATTACTGAGATGTTTTACACATAACTTTAATAAAGCATATCTATTGTCCATATCCATCTTATATTTACATCAGCTAAAAAAAAAGAATGAATTCCATCCAATTGCATTTTTCCACACATCAATAGAGCAAATTAAGGCCATAAATCAAACACAACTCTAAACAACCAGATACATGCCCAGTAATCGTTCAGGAGCAAAAAGAAGAAGGGATTTGGCTTGTGAGATTTAAGCCAGATATTATATAGGGAAATACATGTAGGGAAAGGGAGGCACTTTAAGAGAACAACAAAAATGTCTTGTAATCAACTCAAAAGTTATCAAAGGTCCAGATTAAAATGACTTTATGGACCAAACATAATACTGCCAATGCATAAAGCTGCTTTTGCCAAAGCTACAGAAATGCACCTCCAGACTAGCACGTATGTGGAAAATGACTGTCAAGGACACGAAAATTCCTCCTTCATTATTAAAACACAACCTAAGACAAGTGCCAATCATGGAAAATAATTTCAAACACAAAGTTTCACTTTGTTTACATATTTTATCTCATAATAGTCAAATTTGTTTTCTTGGCACCAAAAATACAGGTTCTCCTGGTTTAGTTGCTACAATTCAGCTCATTCAGGTATTTTACCAGGTTATGAAATTAATATTTATCTTGCTTACATAATGCTTTTCATCAGCTCTACTACTTTGCATTCAAAGCAAGCCATAGTTTAACCCAAAAGTTGGAAAGGAAAGAAATATGACAAGTAGTAACTCTTCTCTCTCATCTTATTAATTCCTGGGCTACCAAGTAAAAATTTGCATCCTTATTTCAGGGGGCTGTGATCTACTCACATTTCAGGTGCCTATGTATCAGTTGGACTGACAAAGAATCTTTAAGAAGAAATTATTACTAGCATCAAAATGAAAATTTCTTCTCCTTTATCCTCTTAATCTGTTCATACATAATCACACAGACATTAACAGACAAGAAAAACTTACTTGAAATCTCTGTCACTATCTTGCAAAGGATGTAACATTAATAAGCAAATCCATCTGCAATATAAATGCATCTTGCTGGACCTCATACAGTCTCTTGGCAAGGGGTTTAGAATTGGCAGACAGATCTATCATGAAAATGTGAATCATGAGTAGAAAAAATTTCCTTCTCAGCTTGCCCAAAAGAGGAAATTTTGTTTTCATTTTCATCCTTAGATTTTCCTACCTGTTCTAGTTGAATGTGATAGAAATAAAGTGATTGTATGTGATGGAAAGAAACCAGTGTACTGATCCATTGTGGTTATTGAACAGTCTAAATTAATACGTGCATCTGAAATTATGAGGAAAAAAACCTGACCAAAAACGTGCCCATAATGGATAGGCTTTTAAGTGGCTTCTCCCACTTGCTTCTACTGTTAAAAATATTATATTACACTGTGTCCACACCTGCAGCCTCCTTCTCCCTGTTTGTTGGGTTTTTGTTTTTTTTTTTAAATTAAATAACTGAATTTAATTAATGAATTAAAATATGGAGAACACCTGCATTCCAAAAAATATCTTTCATTACAAATCAAAACTATTAAAAATCTGACAAGATGTGCCACACTATGACATTAGAAATAGAAACATATAGCATAGAAGAAATGTGCTCTCAACTCCCAAGATTTCCAAGACCATAAAAACTTCACCAAGGGTGTAATTATTTCAATGGAAGCTTGTCACCAACACTAAACACACTGACTGTGGTGACAGAATTTCCTTAACAATTTCAATAAAAGCAACCAAATGCAGTTCCATTTACCAACTTGTAAGTCACAATTGTTTGAGTATTAATAATATCCAAATTGTAAACAACATGCACTTTTGGGGAAATGCAGTCATTTGTTTATAGAGTATGAATACAGAAATGCCAAGTTTTGTCATCAAAGAATAACAATTCATTGTTAACCTGACCAACAAGCTGCCAAATAAAGCTCAATTTCAGTGCCTGCCTGAGAACATTCTAGTGATTAAATTCTGTTATCATTTTAATTTCTTCCTTTTACAAACCTTCCTTTCAGAAAAAGATACAACATCAACCAATCAATATATATAACTGAAAACATGAAAAAGTAATAAAATCCAGTTACTGCTCACATATTGCTACTAAGAGAAGCAAAATTGTATGATGGATAAGAAAAACATTAAGTTTTCATGACACTGCCTTGATAAGAATTCCACCGCAATTTTTCCAATTTAACCAAATCTCTTCCTAGCCAGATTCCCAGAAAATGCTTGTACATGCAAATATTTGTGCACAAAAATTAGATACTGGAAATCTTATAAGGCAGATGGTTTTATGAGAGTTCCAGAGTAGTACAGTTTATATAAATATCATGAGTTTATTTGGAACCATATCCAAACCAAAACTCCAAACAATTTAATCATGACGATTTTAGTCACACATAACAGAAAACAAACAATGAAGCCTTGGAGATATAAGAACATTCCTTTTCTGTGTTTTTTTGTTGCCATAGATAAAAGATTATAAAACTTATTTCACTTTAGTGCAGAGGAATGTAATCAGACATACACACGTACATATTTATTTCTTTATAGTTCATTAGAAGACTTCATTAGAAGCACAGTATCCATTTAGTGTTAGAAAGTACTAAAAGAAATTGTTCCAACTATGATTCTTCATATACTGAGTGTTTCACAAATTGGCATACGAAATTAATTATACCATTTCCTTTTTATTGCCAAGTTTACTTTAAAGTAACGTATAAAAAGATGGAAAGAATTACATCACTGATGGTTACCAGTTAAGTCTCTAAAGCACTAATTTAGTTTTCACTGTTACATGATCTCTAACATTCACTTTTTTCACTTCTATTTTTTAGTAGAACAACTGAAATGAATAGTTAGAGGTTCTGAAGAATAAGATGCTGGCCACCAACAAATCTTCCCATGTTTAAACAAGCTTTTAGCATGTACTCCCACAGCAGTAATTCAAAAGCATCTGAAACTCAGTTATCTGCTGCAGTAGGTTTTCCTTAAGGAATTCTGGTAAGTTTAAAATACGTTTTCTATGACATTTGCAACAGATATTGTGATTAATCTGGCAGCTGCACAGTGACAAAGATTTGTGGACAGGCACAAAAGGAGATGTGTGTACATACCTTTCTGAATTTAGGGTTTAAAAAGCCCTACTTGTGTGCTGTGCAACATAAAGATTAAATATGGATTCTTCTGTCTTCCATCTCTTTTTTTCTTACTTTTTTTTTTTTTTTAAAGCCTCGGATATAAATTAAGTAAACCATAAAATCCATACTCCTTGCAAATATTAGGACATGAGGACGTTTAAATCATGGGCAAATAAATTTAAACAATATAAATGCAAATTTGTCAAAGTTCTTAACTGAGATGTATTTCATGAAAAAACAAACTTCTTGGTTTTAAATTTCTATTTCATATTTATTTGGAAGCATGCTTTTTTTCTTCTATACAATCTACTTGATAGAGTAAAATATAGTCTTCTCTCAACAAAACCTGGTTTTGTCGTGCATGGAAAAAATACCTTGTGCTCCTTCCCTCAACTCTCTCTCCTAAAGACCTGAAAGTCTGCTTCTTCAACACCCTGCTCTGTTTTGGCATCTGTAGAATTACTCTAACCTAAGCAAAGCCCCCCAAAAGTTTATGCAGCAGTCTATACTCTCTTTTTCAGACCTACATGGACTGTAAGCAGCCACAGTATGTTTATTATGAAAGTTCTGTCCACTATTGGCTGTTTGAACATTGAAAGAAAGAGAAGAAAGAATTTTACCTACTGCCTCGGAAATAAAAAAAAAAAGAGGAATGTGACTGTGCAGCAGGTTATTAACTACCTCATACTGGCATCAGAAAATAGAAGACATGGAGAAAGCTAACTCCACATTGGTGGAGCCTTTCTGGTATTACATAATTTTCATCAGCTACATAAAACTAACCACTTGAGGTTTTCTGTTGGTCTTTTTGTTTTGTTCTGTGTTCTAGTGCTAAGGCTCTGGCCAAGGATTATAGCCACTTCAAGGAAGTTTTAAAATTTCACACAAACAGCAGTGATTATCTTTGCTTCCACAAAGAATTAGGGTTTGGAGTTATTTTCAGCAAATACATAGCACTCTCTTGGCTTATGCCCTTAATCTCTAGAGAGTTAAGCAACCAAAGAATGGTTTGTCAGGAAATGGGATGGGAACCTTTTCTTCATTGGAGATTTGTGTAAAATACTTCATAGGTACAGAATAATACAGAAATTATGTGTTACTTACTTATCCAATAATTAAGCAATAATTTGACTGAAGCAATAAAATATACCATTGCTTTTTGAGAACATGGCACCTTTCACTCAAAACTTATTTCCTCACAAAACCAGATCTTCTAAGGAATACCCCACTGAGGTCAGATTCTCACTAGACAAAATCTTGGCCAGCATATCCATGCTGTTCCATGTGGTTTGAATCATCTGAGTCAGCAACATATTCAACTAGCTTACATTATGCAAGATTTGTACAGAAGCTTAATGTCCATCCAGAGATGGTAGAACTTGAGGCTGAGAACAGTGACTCCATTGCAGGTCCTGAAGAATTACAAATCTAAAACTTGGTGAGATATTAACTGAAATAAGTGGTCATACATGCCACATACTGCCAATGTCAAAGATTACAGGTCATGGCTGTACAGCAGTCTTAAAGATGATTAACAGTACATTTCAACAGGTCTCAGTAAGGAGAACCTGCCAGATGAAAAAGGACCAAGTGGACTGCCTCTGCAATAGATACAAATGTTGATGAATCTGTTATCTGACTTCAAGTCTTGAGCTTTTCTTACCATAATCTACATTTGACATAGAGTTGAATGGTATCAATGGGAGTTTCATTATATATGTCCTGGGTTCAGCAGTAGCAGTCATTTTTCTCCTTCTTAGTACCTGGTGCAGTGCTGTGTTCTGACTTTCGGCCTGGGAACAGACCGGATAACACTGATGTTTTAGTCTGGCCAAGGACTTTCTGAGCCTCATGCTCTGCCAGGGAGGAGGAGAAGCTGGGAGGAAGTAGAGAGAGGACACCTGACCCAAACAGACCAAAGAGGTATTCCATACCACAGCACGTCATGCCCAGGACGTAACAGAGAGTTATCCGGAAGGGCCAGGGCACTGAGGTGTTGAAGGAGGTATCAGTCAGTGCTTGGTCAGGCTGGGGGGAGGGGGGGGGGGGGGACACACGACACGTTATTGGTCGGCTGGTGGTGAGGTGTTGTATTCTCTTCCCTTGTTATTTCCTTTATCATTAGTATTATTGGTGGTAGCAGTAGTGATTTGTGTTATACCTTAGTTACTAAACTGTTCTTATCTCAACCTGTGGGAGTTGCATTCTTTTCAATTCTCCTCTCCTTCCCTCTGGGAGTAGGGGGAAGGCAAGAAGGGGGGGGGGAGGGGGGTGTGTGAGTGAACAAGCTGCCTGGCTGGTTTTAAACCATGACAATACCAAAGTAAGCAGATTCATGTCTAAATTGACAGATAGAAATTAGGAAAGAAAATCAGAAAGATGGAAAAAAAAAAAAGTGTTCTCAGAACACTTATTAGAAAAATAAAAGATGATAGTTGCAAACCAGATGTAGATGCATTCCAAACATGGGTGCACGAAGTTTCTTGGTTTTACAAAACACTGCCGAGTTGAATGGAGCTTCACATAACATAAATGAAGAAAAAAAAATCTCTTCTGTCATAAAAGGAAGAATACAAAGAACACCAAATGACAGAGCAGGGAAACATCTGTATTAACTATTTCAATAATGGAAGCTGATGAATTTTACTCATCTGCCAAGACTTGCCTAAAATGTAATGGTGTGCTGAGAAGCTACTCAGCACTATGACTTCTCTTGAAACTGCTACTTGGCAAGTCTTCCTGACCTTCACACCTATTGTACCACTCATTAAATAAATTACAGCAACACAAAAAATATTATAGTAGAAGAGATCTTCTTATAATTAAAATAGAAAATTAATGAAAGCTGTACTGTATCAGCACCGGGAAAGCAGTGTCGTGATAAGACCAAATAACAGGAAACAAAAGTCAAATAGCATTAAAACACGGCATAGTAGAACAAAAGATTTACTTTATTTCTACTTGGCCAACATTAAACCAATAAATTACCTATGGTTTAACAAAGTTTCTTTCAATTGACTCAGACACAAACAAAAGTAGAGCCAAGGGTATTGGTTTAAGAAGAACAAAGATCTAGTGTGAAATAGCAAGATTTGTACTTCAACATTTAGCTGTCTGAATAAATTTGCACTCAATTTGAAACTTATTTAAGTAAATGAGAAAACTTACTTCATGTTCAGAATATTGCTTCCAACTTTTTATTTTCCACTGTCAAACTTTTTTCAGCCATACCACATAAGTACACCGATTTAAATTATGATCATAATAAAAAAAGGTTTTCAGTTATGTTACCTGTCACTAGCACAGTTAGTAGTTGCTGTCCAGTCACGCTGAGGGTTGACTAGGATGCCCCAGGAGAGAAACACAGAGGTTGGGGTGAGAGTGCCAACTACCAGCTGCAGAGGCTTTTGATTCTTGGTCCGACCTACATAAGAAACATATAGTTCCAACTAAAAGTTAGTTTCTTTCTCCTGCATTATGTAGGGTAAAGTTTTTGCAGTATGCTTAACATAAGAATTAGATATATGTAGAGTAGGTTTGAAGCTCTGGCTGTCTTGGACTGCATCACAGAAAGCATTGCACAGAGTTTAGGGCATCAGGAAGTCTCTCTGAATGCGACAGAAACAGTAACTTCTTGGCAGGATTCTTAGTAGCACTGAAATTACTTCCACAGATAAGTCATGCTTTCTAAAGCATTCTTCATCAAGGGTTAAATTGAACCTACAAAAATTATTTTCCTTTTCAGTCTAGGCAGATCAGAGTTAGTATCTGGATCTAGGGGCATTTTTTGTTTTAGCCACCTACTACACTGAAAATGTTCAGCTTTTGCGTGATACTTAACTTTACCTTTGATTTGTATGAGCTAGCACAACTCTCATACAGAGAAAGAGCTTTCTTTAAAGAAAGTTTAAAAGCTAACATTTGAAAATGAAGAAATTATCTAGAGCAACCATTTTGAACCTGTAGCTTGTGGACTGCTACAAGCCCAAGGAGAACCTTTGGTGTTTGGAAGATGATTAATTAAAGGAAATCCCTATATTCTTCACAACACGTTACATATCTCAAAAATCTAAAGTATCTGTATCACCTCAAAATCTACAGGTGACCACAAATTCCCTAAAAGTTTATAAGCCACTGATCTAAGGGTCATATTTTTTACTATTGTGAAACAGATCTGACTTTCTTTTCATGCCTTTTGAACCCTAGTAGCTTTTCATTTAACAAGCCCCAGTGAAAGTCTGATTTATACTTTCAACCAATGTGTAAGTGTGCATTTAGAAATGTTAACCATGGGGGTTTTTACTTTATATTGATGATGAGTATGTTGACACCCCTCCCCAAACAAAACCAAAAAAAGCACTCTGTACCATTTGAAATACTGTGGAACATATGATATTTCCAGAAGAGCAAATGCCCAAAGAATTTTCTTGTTTTCTGGACTAGTTCCTACACTGTTTCTCCATTTTTAAAGAAAAAGTAAAACCCAACAGCTTGGTCATTCAGCAAACTGCCTGGCAAATCTGCTATCTATAGCAAAATCCCTTTCTTGATCACTTGCTGAGAAAACATGGAAAATATGTGAAGTTTAAGGAAAAAAAACCCAAGCTCTCATATAACTTGAAATCACACTGGCTTTTGGGAGGACCTATATATGATTTTGATTAAGACTTATTACGCCATTAGTTCCCACTTAGACACTGCAATGATCTATACACCGTAAAACCAGGAATTACCTTGGTGATCATCTATGCTGATCTGTATGAATACAAAACATACAACTGCTCTGTATTAATCACAGTATGCACTAGAGTGTCTCTTCCAGAAATGCAACCAGTTTTCATTTTTAAATTTAAAATTGCAGCAACTCAGAACCTACCACAATTATTGGTGATTTTCATAGTGTAACTATTCTCATTACTAAAAAGACCTGCCATATATGTAGCTAGCATTAAAGCAACAGCTGTTCTTACATCTTTGTCTGCTGGAGTGAAAAGTCAATTATCTGAATCCTGTTCCACAGGATTTGCTTTTTTTGCGTTTTTTTTTTTATATATGTGTATGCATATATACATATGCACATGTATATGTATATGTATATATATACATATATATATGTTGCATCTGAAAACTAATTCACCTTTCAAAATCTTTCCAGACGTACAGTTTTACATCTGGCCAAGAGCAAGAAATTAATTCCAAGCAGTTATCGGGAACTAGAAAAAGGCCAAACCCCATGCAATGAGCAGGGACATCTTCAATTAGATCAGGTTGCTCAGGGCCCTATCCAACCTTACCTTGAATATTTCCAGGGCTGGGGCATTTACAGCCTCTGGGTAGACTCTTCCAGTGTTTCACCACCCCCACAGTAAAAAAAAATTCTTCCTTATATCTAGGCTGAATCTCCACTCTTTAAGTTTAAAAGCATTACCCCCTTGTCCTACTAAAACAGGCCCTGCTAAATACTATATAGTATACACGTATCAGTTTATTCTTCAGAACAGTCCAGTGATCCTGAAAATCATCTCCATATTAAATTAAGGAATTAAAATCTAACAACAATATTAATGACATGATTGAGCTAATGCAGAAAGTCATGGGAACAGATGAGAATCAAATCCAGATTTCTACTTTGCTATGTACAGTTTAAACTAGAAACATCCCACTTTCCTTAACCCAATGCATCAGCAAACTTAGTGGTAATACTGACTTACAGATATATACAGATACATACATATATATACAGATATATATATGTGTATATATATACACATATATATGTATATACACACACACAAACACACACACACAGACACACACACGGTACCATTTTCCAATGAGAAAAAAAGAGCATCAACATGTACATGAATGAAGAAATCCTTACTGGTACCTTATAGAATCATAGAATCATAGAATAGTTAGCGTTGGAAAGGACCTTAAGATCAACAAGTTCCAACCCCCCTGCCACGGGCAGGGACACCTCATGCTAAAGCATATCACCCTTAGCAAGACTAGCTTCAGTACACTAGATTACTGTATGCAAAACTTTTACTTTTTTTCCATGCACTTGTGACCTCTTTAGACATCAGAAATTAGCATTCTAAATTCAGTTTTCATTTGTAATAACTTTTTACAAGAACAATCTTTAGGTACCTCTTCATATTTTGACCACCACATTTTTGACCAATTACTGACTAGGAAATACTGTCCTACATTTTATCTTCCTGCTTATGGAATTTGTGCATCCCAGTCAAGCATCTACAGTTACTAATATCTTTTCAGAGAAACCCAGTAAAAGATTCTGTTTTTCTTCAACTACCTTAAGAAAGATATGCAGTAATGGTAAAATACCTGAACAAGATTTCTTGTTACTTGAAACACGTGATGGTCTTACTGAAACCAAATAGCGTGGCTCAGCATCTGTAAATGAAGAAAGCATCAATTAGTACAGATGTGCTATTTATTTAAGAAAGGGATTAACCTATAATTAATAAGTCCAATATTCAGTCAATGCTTGACACATTATCCAATCTTTGTGATTTCCAGGCATGTTTGCTTTAAGCTTATTGGCCAATCATTCAGAAATACTCTAGCATTAGGAAAAATAATACACCCATGCAGAAAATATTTGGCAATTCTTTTTGACTGTAACACAACAAACAGGTGAACATGGCAGGACATACATGTAACACTTCAACTCAAATATTAAGTGGAAAGTGAATGGGAATGAAAACCTGGACAAAGAGGAAGACATCACAGAATCACAGAACGGTTTGTGTTGGAAAGGACCTTAAGATCATCTAGTTCCAATCCTCTGCCCTGGGAAGGGACACCTCACCCTAAACCATGTTGCCCAAGGCTCTCTCCAACCTGGCCTTGAAGACTGTCACAGGTGGAGCATTTGCCACTTCTTTGAACAACCTGTTCCAGTGCCTCACCACCAGCACAGTAAAATGATACCAAAATAGAAAAGCAAAACATGTAAAGTAATAAGAGGGCAAAGCCTAAAGAGTACAACCAGAGATATCTACTCTCCTGACAGGAGCTGGAGGAACTTCTCCTACAATATTTTCTATGCTCTGTTTCAAGCCATGCACCTTAGATTTCATGTTGTAAGGCTGGAAGTAAGCAGACTCTCATAAAGAGCTGCCCGATTGTAAAAAGAATAAACAATATTTTAGGTGTGCATACACCAATAGACCAATACTAAATAATTCAAGATTTGCATGATAGTCTGGTCACAGGAAACACCACAATGTCATATAAGTTTAGCACAGTCTCCAAATCAGTTACTGTCTTATTTTATAATTAGGTTTACATACTTCTTCCAGGGTCAATTTAGGAGATTAATTAGACTATTAGGTGCTTTGACAGTTTTGAATAGTCTTTATGAAAGCAAAATTATTACTAACAGTTAAGAGCAAGGGACTTATATTTGTGTAAAACCCACAAAGGGCTGTGACTTTGACTGAAATTTCTGGGTAATGTTACACTAGAAATAATGATGCATGTAATAGGACAGCAACAATTTAAGTGATTTTCTTATTCAATAAATTAATCTCAGAGACAAATTGCATTTTTCAGACTTTCTGACATTTACACTTCTTTTAATTTTACCCCCTATTCATTTTCTCCCAGGAAAAATAAACCTTTGCGAAATTGTTTTTAAATTAATTAAAATAATAATTTAAATTATTATATTTATCTTAACTCCAGTCCAAATGTATTTGTACCACTTCCCATAAGAGGTTCAATTGCTTCACTTCAAAAAGGTAACAGAAATGACTGTTTTACACAGCAGGGAAAAAAAAAAAAAAAAGCCAAAGCAAAACCAGCCCTACCAAAGAAGAATTTTTGCATTTAAATTCATTCCCATGGAAATGGCCTCAGTTTCTTTAAAAGTACACAAGAACTGCAGCCATTCTAAAGGATGCAGAGTCATCACTAGCTGGGTGTCAGTGTGAATCAGCTTGGAAAATTTCTGGCAATACTAGTCTTCATAGGAAATAATGAAATTAAGTGAACTGAATTTTATATGAACTCTTAATACATTTCAGAGACACTGAATGCAGTTTGGATAACCTGAGGACATTGTGGTAAGAGGCCATAACCTCAGATGCATTCCCGTTTCTGGCAATGAAAGGCACATAACTTCACCCTGCAGCTTAAAATAGGAAATATTTTGATTAAAACAATGTTGAGATGGTGATTTTAGTTTGGGGAATTCATCTTTAGAAAGATCTTATGCTTGACATCAGATGTCAGAGATTTTTGCCCTTCTGAACTGTTTAAAACCCAGCTCTATTCTCACTGAAGAAAGAGCAACACTAAAAGCTGTAAGAGCTTCCAAAGATATATCCATGGGCAGAATTTGGCGCACCATAGATTCATCAAAACTACTTTAGCTACATTTTTTCTTCTAAGAAAATTCCTCTGTAAAATTCCTATATCTAGTTTAGACACATATATTTTCATCTGTATCTATGGATGAGATACTGAATTTCCTGTCTATCTCAGTGTAACAGATACCTTGAAGTCTACCAATTAAACAGAACCACTGAGAAATCATTCAAATTTTTTATTAAATTCAGAAGCCCACTAGGTTTTCACACTGTTTGGTCTTCTTGCTAAGAAATGTATGCACTGATCATCACCACAAAATGGAAATCACTGGATGCTACCACAACTCAGTTAATTTTCAGGGGCTTAAAATATTGCCTTATCCATGTATTAAACTTTATCAAGCTGCAAGAACTGTTTTCCTGTGTTCCTTTATGATGCCTATATATATGCATAATCCTCTCTATGCATCCATGTCTATAAGAAGCAGGAATCTTGGGGAGAGGTAATATAGAAGGAGAAAAAGGAAATGCTGTTAAATACTGAAACCTAAATAAAATCATAATTTAGCTTGTGCTACTTCCTCTTAATGCTTAAGATAAATTAAACTGACTGCTGAAATAAAAGATAGGCAGCAGAAAGGTGACCATTCCGACCCATAAAAATATGAGGTTCTGACTGTGTGTCATTATGATTCACAGAATATATCAACTATTTACACTGGCTTTGGAAATCTTAGCGGTTCCTTGCTCCTTAGCACGTTCTTGAAGGCCTGTTACTGTAAGACTAACCTGCTACTGCCTAGTCCCCTTTATTAAGGCTGGAATGACAAATGTAATGGATAACAACTCTTTCAGCTGGCACACAACTATTGCTGCAGATCAGAAATAAAGACCATATAGTGACAATCTTCAATTCTTTAGCTATGAAGTACTACAGGGTGAGGAAGTTGACGAGGCCTTCTACAGGCAGCTGAGAGCGGCCTCACAGTCACAGGCCATGGTTGTCGTGGGGGATTTTAACTTCCCTGATGTTTGCTGGAAGGACCACTCAGCAACCCAGCCACAGTCCAGGAGTTCCTCCAGTGTATGGATGATAACTTCCTCCTGCAAATGGTGGATGAGCCAACCAGGAGAGGAGCGCTGCTGGATCTCATCCTCACTAACAAGGAGGATCCAGTCGAAGCAGTAAGGGTTGAGGGCTGCCTTGGTTGCAGCGACCACGAGATGGTGGAATTCAGGATCTTGTGTGGTAGGACCAGTAGAATAGCAAGTAGAATTGCAACCCTGGACTTTAGCAGGGCAAACTTTGGCCTTTTCAAGCAATTGCTAGGGGAAATCCCATGGGCAAGGCTGCTTGAAGGTAAAGGGGCCCAAGATAGTTGGTTGGCATTCAAGGATTGCTTTTTCCGAGCTCAAGATCAGAGCATCCCGGCACATAGGAAGTCAAGGAAGAGGGCCAGGAGACCTGCATGGCTAAATAGGGAATTGCTGGGTATGCTCAAGTGGAAGAGGAGAGTTTACAGGTGATGGAAGGAGGGGCTGGCCACTTGGGAGGAATATAAGGCTGCTGCTAGAGGATGTAGGAAGGCAGCTAGGAGGACTAAGGCCTCCTTAGAATTAAATCTGGCGAGAGGGGTCAAGGACAGCAGAAAGAGCTTTTTCAAATACATGGCAGATAAAATTAACACCAGAGGCAATGTAGGCCCACTTATGAACGGGATGGGTGCCCTGGTGACAGAAGATACAGAGATGGCAGAGTTACTGAATGCCTTCTTTGTCTCTGTCTACTCTGCCGGAGGCAGTCCTGAAGAGTCCTTTACCCCTGAGACCTCAGATGAAGTCAGGTCAATGGAGCGGTTTGCCTTAGTCGATAAGGAATGGGTTAGAGACCAGTTGAGCAATCTGGACATCCATAAATCCATGGGTCCAGATGGGATGCACCCGCGGATGCTGAGGGAACTGGCGGAAGTCATTGCTAGACCACTCTCCATCATCTTTACCAAGTCTTGGGAAACGGGAGAGGTGCCTGAGGACTGGAGGAAAGCAAATGTCACTCCAGTCTTCAAAAAGGGCAAGAAGGATGACCTGGGTAACTATAGACCAGTCAGCCTCACCTCCATCCCTGGGAAAGTGATGGAACACCTTATCCTTGGTGCCATCTTAAGGCATATCAAGGATAAGAGGGTTATGAGGGGCAGTCAACATGGCTTCACCAAGGGGAAGTCATGCTTGACCAATCTCATAGCCTTTTATGAGGAAATAAGACGGTGGATGGATGATGGCAGAGCGGTGGATGTGGTCTACCTTGACTTCAGCAAAGCATTTGACACAGTCTCCCACAGCATCCTCACAGCTAAATTGAGGAAGTGTGGTCTGGATGATCAGGTAGTGAGGTGGACTGTGAACTGGCTGAAGGAGAGAAGCCAGAGAGTTGTAGTCTATGGGGGCGGAGTCTAGTTGGAGGCCTGTATCTAGTGGAGTGCCTCAAGGGTCAGTACTGGGACCGGTATTATTTAATATATTCATCAACGATTTAGATGAGGGAATTGAGTGTACTATCAGCAAGTTTGCTGATGACACTAAGCTGGGAGGAGTGGCTGACACGCCAGAAGGCTGTGCTGCCATCCAGCGAGACCTGGACACGTTGGAGAGTTGGGCAGGGAATAACTTGATGAAATATAACAAGGGAAAGTGTAGAGTCCTGCACCTGGGCAGGAACAACCCCAGGTTCCAGTATAGGCTGTGAAACGACCTGTTAGAGAGCAGTGTAGGGGAGAGGGACCTGGGGGTCCTAGTGGACGACAGGATGACCATGAGCCAACACTGTGCCCTTGTGGCTAAGAAAGCCAATGTCATCCTGGGGTGTATTAGAAGGGGGGTGGTTAGTAGGTCGAGAGAGGTCCTCCTTCCCCTCTACTCTGCCCTGGTGAGACCGCATCTGGAATACTGTGTCCAGTTCTGGGCCCCTCAGTTCAAGAAGGACAGGGACCTGCTGGAGAGAGTCCAGCGCAGGGCAATGAAGATGATTAAGGGAGGGCAGCATCTCCCTTATGAGGAAAGACCGAGGGAGCTGGGTCT